CACGTGAAAACGCGCAAATTTTCATTCAGTGCGCATAAACGTGAAATTTGTTAAAATTTTGATAGCAAACGTTAAACAATGCGGTCTAGAAAAATAAAACACGGATTCGCAATAATATATTTTATTATTCATTGATACATAAACAAAACAATTAAAAAACGTTGAAAATTTATCATTAAAATTAAATAATCAGAAACTTATTATAAACAGAAATTTTATAAATAATAAAAATTATTAAATATAAACAAAAATGATATGAATAATAAAATACATATAAACAACTGTTTAGTTTAATTGAGTTAATAAAATATTATAATCGGGAACTCTTATATGGAGTCTTGGTTGGCGCGGGGCGCGCGGGAGATGGCGCGCCGTATGCGTGAGCTGCTCAGAAAACTCGCGCGCGTTAAGACTAAAAATTCTGTATCTTCTAAAGTTTTTGAGAATCCCACTTTTTTATTTTTGTCATGGAATCGTGAAAAGTCCCTTTTTATGATTCTATAAAAAAAATTGGAAAAATCGATTGAGAACATTGTTAATTTATAAAGTTAAAAATTAACAATATAATTTGTTTAAACAAATTATACTTTTTATTCATAATTTATTTATTTATCAAAAGTACGTATCTTAATCTTTCTCCAAACCAATTTTTATTAAAATCGGTTCGGCCAATTTCCAGATACAGAATTTTTTCCAAAACGTTGCAAAAAAGTTTAATTGTTTATAACTTATGAAAAAATTCGAATTTTGAAAAATCGTTTCAGGGGTTTCTTAGTGACATCATGGACTACCAAAATATGTGGGTATCACTTTTTTCTATTACACAAAAAATATTAGGGGGCCACTTCAGGAATTCTTACCCTAATGCATACTAGCAACGTAGTCGGCCGCTTGCGGACGACAAAGTTGCTAGTTATATTATAATTTTGAAATCTTTTAACGATTATTGATCAAAATAAACGTGTATCGTCCACATTATTCGAACACTTAATTTATCTTTATAAACTTACGCTGAAAACCAAAGGGAAATTGGGACCAAAGAAATCATCGCGGTGTAATGATGAGCAAACAATATTCGAGCAAGAAGCAAAATCACATATATAATATATTCACATAAAATACCTTCAAATTAAAGCAAGAAATAATAAAATAAGCGTTTACTTTATTCTAAATTTAATTATTAAGTTTCTATATAAAATAATTTCCTGTCATTAAATAAAACAATTAATAATTCAACAACAATAATTGACAAAGAATATAAATGGATTTATTAAAAATAACACTAGATTAGATACAATAAAAGCGTGAAATGCGATTTTTAGAAAAATATAAAATTTCCCGAAATGCGACTTTTCAAATAGAAGATCCAGAATCGAATGACAAATTGACGATCACTTTCCCTTAGATCCCTAATCCGAGAGAGGAGTACGATTCTTCCTAGTCAACCTCATCGCTCCATTCGTTTCCTTGGACGACTTTGGTGGCAACAAATATTTATATGGAAACTCATAACGACGCTGACAATCGGGCCTTTAGGCGACACACATTCATAATTCATTAACGCGGAAAAACTGCTAGAACACAGGTTCATAACACGGTGACATTATTAAAATATCTGTATATAATTATTTCAGCAGCAAAAACAAAAAATGAACACAGTAGTATAGCAAGGGGGCTTCTGCCCCAGGTTCTGATCTCGGCTAAGTACCTGCAGTCGATAACTACTCGGTCGGTAATGCAGATTTCTACTTTATCAACAGTCGGTAAGGTAGGAATCTGACAAAAATTTCAACTCGGGCGATAAGGTAGGAAACTGTTTTACCGACCGAACATTGAAGTTAGTTTACCGACCACCCAATAGATGGCGCTCACTTCAGAGTGTGTTGCCGACTTTGATTAACCTTTTAATTAAAAATAAAATTATTCTGTTTTACTGAACATTGAAGTTAGTTTACCGACCACCCAATAGATGGCGCTCACTTCAGTCTGAATTTTTTGTCAGATTCCTACCTTACCGACTGTTGATAAAGTAGAAATCTGTATTACCGACCGAGCAGTTACCGAATGCAGGTACTTAGTCGAGATCAGAACCTGGGGCAGAAGCCCCCTTGCTATACTACTGAACACTAATAATCAATCAAAAGTATAATAATCATCGAATTCATGTATTTTGGGATGTAAAAGAATTTTCCAGTTTGTACAAATCGATTAGACTTTGAAGATTCGATACTTGTGGAATGTATGCAGCATCCCACTTTTGACTGATACCAGATTCAATAAGAGCTGATGTAATATACTCAAATTGTCTTTTATAAGGTGATCCTCGTAGAAGATACAATACACCTGGTCATACTCCAACAGATTGTTTCAAAATTTTTATTTTCGATTGATTAATTGTATTTCGATCATTTTGAATGATCAAATGTGCAGAATCTTCTCGTCCATCAAAATTTCTGCACATTTATCCAATGATTCTGCAGAAAATATTCTATTTTTCAGCAGTATTTGATAGGTATCATTTGTATTACTTTCTTTATTTCATTCATTATTTCCATGTTTGATTATCGTCAAATTTGCGTCAAGTATGTCTTCAAATGTTTCCATTTCTTTGATAGCTGTTTTTTGTAGTTGAAGACTTGTTAATGTGGTAAGAATATACGACGGCTGGAGAAAAAAGAATATTATCATTGTTATAAATACTATTTTCTCTACAGAATTTTTCGGTTCTTTTGGAATGTAAAATCCGAGTACGATTTGAACAACGTTCATCAGTTTCCAGATGCGTTGGTCAAAATTGAAGAATCTAGCTATCAACCAAGGTAACAAAATCAAGCACATGATGTTAACTACTTTCATTAAATTCCACTCGGTTGTTAAAGCTTGATTTAATCATAGCGGACTAAATAGGTGTAAACTCGATCGTTATGTCCATTTTTTTGGCATAGTATGCTCCATTTGAGTTTGATTTCAACCAGCTTGAATAATTACACAGGTCCACAAAATAAATTCAATGAAATTCAATACTTTGACCAAACATGATGTATTATATGTTTTTGGGGCCGCTGATCACGAATCTGAAATCCGTTTTGCTCCATCACGTCAGGATTTTTTCCTAACCTCAAAAATATGTTGGATTTTACGTTGCAGACAACATTTTGTAAATATTGACGGATTTATCTCAATCTTGGTATCTAGGGGTTTTTGGGGTCGCTGATTACGAATTTGAAGGCATATTTTCAAAATACAAAATGGCGGATCCAATATGGCGGACGTAGTTTTAAAAAAAATTGCATTTTTACAAAACTTGGTATCTAGGGGTTTTTTTAGGTCGCTGATTACGATTTTGAAGTATGATTTTCAAAATCAATAGATATAACATGAGTTCAAGATATGTTTTAGTTTGCAATTACCTACATTCAGCCGTACCCAGGAAGAAACGACGTGGACGTAGCAGGCTTCTGTTCCCTTCGGGGTGCTTGTTTATGGTGAGTTTTTTTGCCTCTCACTATTCTTAAAAGGAGATTGACTGGGGTCGTAAGTGGAGAATTAGCTATTAAAAATGTCCGATTTTTTTAAAGCCTGCTACGTCCACGTCGTTGTTCCTGGGTACGGCTGAATGTAGGTAATTGCAAACTAAAGCATATCTTGAACTCATGTTATATGTATTGATTTTAAAAATCAGACTTCTAAATCGTAATCAGCGACCTAAAAAACCCCTAAATACCAAGTTTTGTAAAAATGCAATTTTATGCATTAGGTTAGGAAAAAATCCTGACGTGATGGAGCAAAACGGAATTCAGATTCGTGATCAGCGATCCCAAAAACATACAATACACCAGGTTTGGTCAAAGTAACCTTTCATCGAATTTATTTTGTGGACCTGTGTTATATATCATATTCACCGCAGTGAAATTCATTACTTTTGAGAAGAACAGCATTAAATTGACATCAGGGCCGTGGACACACACAACATGTCTTGTAGAGTTTCGTTCGATATAGGCATAAGGTGGAAAGTGAAAGAAGTACACTTTTATTTTGTATCCATTCATGTTAGTTTATTTGGAAACAAACTAATGCTTTTTAGGAATGATCTTTTATAAGACCTTTCAGTGAATGGATTGTAGTAACGCAAATTAACGATTTTCGGTTGAAAACATTGAGCTAGCAGTTTGTTACATTTTTGAATTTTAAGCTGAAGAATAGTGACATTCAGAAACTTTTTAGACCACAACAATTTGAAAAATTATTGATATCTTGTATGTTGTGTAACTTGAGTAAAAATCAAAACCTTTGGACGCATTTTTGGATGAAAGAATTTCGCAATTGATTTCAGTACCTCAAATAATTTTGATGAGTTTCCGTACTCACTTTGGTTTGAAATAACAACAATTGCTTTTATTTGAAATAAGTTTGCTACTTTCAGTAAATTCTTATTTTCATCAATAACGTTTGTAAAATTGACATGTCGTGTTGGCATCGTTCTTAAAATATTCTTAGAAAGATGGAAAATTTCTGTACTCATAAGATCGTCTTTATACAACAGAAGCAGTTGATTCATTTTGGATTCATGTTTTAGAACATTTGATACATGAAGTTAGTCATTTCCTGTCGTTGTTCCTTTGCTGATACAATAAAGTACAAACAAAAATATTCTTGAAGTGTTTGATGTCCTCATGTTGGTTTCTGCCTCAGATTTTAATGTTTAAATTTAAACATTCTGAAATATTAAAATTAGTATCGAATTATGTAAAAAATTTAATTATACAAATGCATAATCATATTTACCAATCAGAATTTGTCTTCTGTTTTACTAATTTAAAAAAAATGCATAACACATTTGGGTGATAACACATAACTAAACTGCAAAGCAAAAAGAAAGTGTAGCTGTAACGAAATCGATGTTAATGTTTGGAAATGTAGATTTGTATGCTAAGATAGAATCTGAGTATTTATATTTTCTTTATGGAATACGAAGGTTAAAATGTGAATAATAAAGGCCATTGTGAAATAACGATTTTTTAGTATTTTACATATATACTGCAATTAGAATTTTCTTCAAATTACATATGTACAGAATAACTTTTATTGAAACATTTTTTTGCAACTTTTAACAACTCTACGACTTCCTGGAGGACAAACTTTTAATGGAGCATTTATAATTCCACCTCCACCCATACTAGGTGGTGGATTATAAATACATTCTAGTTTAAAAGTTTTTGTTGTAACAGTTAATTGAGTATATTTTTCAGTACAAGGATGTCCATATTCATAAATTTTATGACAATCTCCTTGAAAAGGAACAAGACCATCTTCATGACATGGATTTTTTTCACATATTGGCTCCTTTTGCCCTTGAGGAAGTACATAGTAACTTCCTGTTGGGCATGGACCTTGTCTATAGGCCAAGTGACAAGATTTATTTTTTGCCGAATAGATATAAGTTTCTTTACATTTGCAAAAGTAATGCGTATGTTCATCATTTGTTGGCATCAGCAATGAATCCTTTGGACAAGACTTGGATGTTTTCTGTATGAAGAATTATTAAAGATTTTATTATATATAATGACTAAGTGCATATAGGTGGTATTTTAAAAAAAAATTTTTTAAATAAAGAAAATTAAAATTACCCAATCATAATACCAGCCATTATAACCTGTTCTACTGCATTCTACTTGAAAATTGTTGTTAATTCCTAAATATGTGTCTGTGTTTTTGCATGGAACTCCTGATTCCCATAGAAAATGACATTTTCCTTTAAAAGGCACAAGGCCGTCTATACGACATGGATTTCTTTTACATGTTGCCACATTCTCTCCAGGTGATAAAGCAAAGTAATATCCAGATGGACAAGGTCCTTGTCTGTATGCATCGTAACAAGAATCGTCTTTTGGATTATATAAAAATGTTTTATCGCAGTCACAATATTTTTTTTCACTATTTTCACTAATTAAAAAGGGTTTCATATGTTTTGGACATTGTAGAGACTGCGAACAAAAAAAGTAATTGATTTTTATTTCGATGATAAGTACAATTATATAAAATATAAATATTTATATGGGTGATTCTACAAACGAAGGACGAAAATGAAGAAAATATGGACACAACATTTTTTTCTCATTTAACGTCTAAAAAGTACTTTAACTTCAAGTTAATGACACTAAAAAAGATATCTGAAAGTGGCCAGACAAAATATTAAAAATTACAAAACTTATGGTTGTTTATAAACAATTTATCAAGGAAATTAAGATCGTGTATAGAAAATTCACATTAACACTAAAAATAATGGATGGATTTATACAAAATTTATTACTCGGAGGTTTTCAAGGTCGCTGATTACGAGTCAGAGTTCAGTTTTTCAAAATTCAAAATGGCGGATCCAATATGGCGGACTTTTTTTTTAAAAAAATCGTTCAGATTTGCTTGAAACTCTCTACTCGGGGGTTTTTGAGGTCGCTGAAAATGAATCCGGAGTCAGGTTTTCAAAATTCAAAATGGCGGATGCAACATGGCGGACAAATATTTAAAATCACTGGAAACTACTTACTTCAGACGAATATTTTAAGTTTTTTCAAAAGTTGTCCGCCATATTGGATCTGCCATTTTGAATTTTGAAAAACTGACATCGCATTCGTAATCAGCGACCCCGAAAATCCCCGAGTAATTATTTTCAGACAAGTATATTAAGTTTTTTCAAAACTTGTCCGCCATATTGGATCCGCCATTTTGAATTTTGATAAACTGACCTCTGATTCGTAATCAGCGACCCCGAAAACCCACGAGTAACGAATTTCACAAAGTTCAATAATTAGTAATTTGTTTATAACAAATTACGTGTGTTCTACTAGAACATAATTTTACAAATCACAAATCTATAGGAGTACTTTAAGTGTCTAATAATAAAAAATATTTCGATTTTGTTGTGATATTCATACGATTCACAGGAAAAAGGTACTTTTTATTTGTTTATTTATATTAATATAATTATATATACAAAATGAAAATTAAAGATTGTGGTTTAGCAATATCTTAAAAATTTAGTGAGGATTATTTTAAGTCAAGAAAATCGAAAATTGTTAAAAAATTATTAGTTTTACGCTGTTTTTAGTGCTTAATGTATATCCTGTCTCAAAAGTGCCAGACGAATGAGAACCAGACGAATGAGAATTTGGCAGTTTTTTTTTAAAAAAAAGGTAGAAACAACATTAAATAAAAAAATAAGCAATTCTATCCGATAGAGAATTCAAAGTTGCAATACATAAGGCTATAAAAGGACCTAAAAATAATATTTTTTTCAAAAAAATAGATGCCAGACGAATGAGAATTTAGCACTTTGATGTGTATTTTTTGCAAGAAATATTTTTTTTCATCGGCTGCTTTTTAGTGCCACAATAGAAACCATTTAGACTTACAATTTTCATTAAAAAAAATTATTTTTTTCAAAATTAATATACAAAATATGCTTGACCGCTCATAATTCCCTCGTTTGTAGAATCACCCATATATATTATATAGAATAATTAGTCATGAGATGTATACTGTGACGTTGTAAAATTTTTATTAATTTTAGTTTAGTTAATCTTAGATTTATGTATTAATTTTGTAAATTTATTTCATTTATGTAAACTTCGTTTTCTGATTTCTAATTCCTGTTCAATGAGGAGACTATTGAATGATCAATTTTATTTAACATAACATCTGGATTAAATAATAATCTATTATTACACCGTCCGACAAAATTCAACTTTTTTTTTCACACACGAAAAAATCAATGATTTTCAGAAACTAGGACCAAAAAAAAATACCCGTGTCTGGCCGTTTTGCTAGATCAGGTCATTTTTTGCTTTTAGGGGTAAAAACAACCCTTAAATGAAAGGTGATAGGAAATCTTGTACAAAAAAATAATTTTTTATGAAACCTGGTATCTCGGGGTTTTCCGGGTCGCTGATTACGAATCTGATGTCAGATTTTCAAAATTCAAAATGGCGGATCAAATATGGCGGTCGAAATTAATAAAAATTCACCAATTCATTTAAAAGTTGTTACTTAGGGGTTTTTGGAGTCGCTGATTACGAATATGATGTCAGATTTTCAAAATTCAAAATGGCGGATTTAATATAGCGGTCGAAATTTATAAATATTAATTATTTTTTATAAAACTTGGTGTCTATGGATTTTTGGAGTTGCTGAGTACGAATCTGAAGTCAGATTTTTAAAATACAAAATTGCAGATTCAATATGGCGTTTGAAATTTATAAAAGTTCGTCGAATTCACTTGAAACTTGTTACTTGAAGGTTTTTGGTGTTGCTGATTACGAATTTAATGTTGGCTTTTCAAAATTCAAAATGGCAGATCCACTATGGTGGTCGAAATTTATAAATGTTATTATGTTATTATTATTATTATTATTATGTTATTATCAGCGACCCCAAAAGCCTCTAGACACCAAGTTTTATAAAAAATAATTAATATTTATAAATTTAGACCGCCATATTGGATCCGCCATTTTGAATTATTAAAATCTGACATCATATTCGTAATCAGCGACCCCAAAAATCCCTAAGTAACAACTTTCAAATGAATTGGTGAATTTTTATAAATTTGGACCGCCATATTGGATCCGCCATTTCGAATTTTGAAAATCTGACATCAGATTCGTAATCAGCGACCCGGAAAACCCCGAGATACCAGGTTTCATAAAAAATTATTTTTTTGTACAAGATTTCCTATCACCTTTCATTTAAGGGTTGTTTTTACCCCTAAAAGCAAAAAATGACCTGATCTAGCAAAACGGCCAGACACGGGTATCTTTTTTTTGGTCCTAGCTTCTGAAAATCATTGATTTTTTCGTGTGTGAAAAATCGTGTCGGACGGTGTTATCAAGGAATGAAAAGGGTCCCAAAAATAGCCTTACAATACGTCTCTGTATGAAACAACGAAAATTATGTTTGATAGCAGAAGACAAAAGAAGACCGGTACATGACAACCAAATAACAAAAATCTTTTTATCAGTCTCTTTTCATCAACCTCCAAAGGATAAACATCGTTTGTAAATTAAAAATTGATTTTTCTCTTATAAAAGTTGTTCTTTTAATTAATTATTTTGTGTCCTGTGTTTATTTCGAACATTTGTGATTGGTGAGAATCTTTTCTATTAGAATTCAGCAAAAAGAAGAAAATTTATATTAATTTAATTTTCGTTATTGTCAGCCATTTTTAATTTTTATTGAAAATAATTTTCTTTTTCTGAATTTGTCTTATTAATTTAATATTTGTGACTTATTTCGACATGTTTTGATTATGTATTTCACCGTTATTAAATGTGTTTTTATTGAAAATTTACTATTGACCCTTTTTCCTTATTAATATTTATTTACGATATGACAATTATTAATTTTTTCTTTTTATGTATTTTTACGATTCCCTTAAAATTTTCTGATTTATTATTGATTGATTTTCTAATTTATTGATTTATTTCATTATTTAATCGATCTTGGAATTCCGTGACAAGAGAGGGCAAATGTAACGTTTATCGTTTGTTTTTGTCCATTTTGTATTTTTAATCATCAATTTTAAAAATTGTGTTTTAAATCAAAAATGTTTAATTATAAAATTTATCTTTTGTAATTTTCGTGAATTTATTGTGTTGATTTAATTCTTGCAAAAATTAATCCGTAGTTTATTTGTGAAATGTGATTAGATGTTCTTTTACCATGTCCACTTAAAAAATGAAAGAATGTTTAAAAGTGTATTGATAATTTTTATTTAAAAAAAATAATCAAAAATTTATATTTTGTATTGCTTACAGAAGCTACTCCACTTGAAGTTTGGTAGAAATGTGTAAGAAAAACACTGATTACAAATAGTAATTGCATTTTTATTTCACTTATTTACTAACAATTTTGAAGAAAATTAAATTTATTCAGTTGATTAATTTTATTCTTTTTCTTAGTGAATGACATTCATGAAACTAAAGATAATCTTTGTAAGTCCATTTGTATATATATTAACTAAGACTCATCAAATCAGTAGGAAATATTAATTTATTTCATTATTCAAGGAAAACCGGTTTAAATTATCCGAAAAAATAACAACACAATTGTTCTGTCATTATTTATACACTTATTCAATTATTCAAGTTTTCGCTTTGAATAAAAGATACAGACAAATATCATTTTTCACCTTTTAACATATTTTTGCTAATATAAAATTTGTAAGAGATAATTTTTTAATACAATATTACCTATTCTTCTGCTTCCAATTTTTTTTTTTTAATAATTAGATTCAACAATTGCAATTTAATTGTAAAGTATGATTGTAGTTAATTATTGTACACTTATTGATTAGTCATTCTAATTTGAAATTTTTAAGTTATAATAAATCAATAAGTTGAACATTTAAAAGTTTTCATAATCTATTCTTTTTTGATTATATCGTTACAGTTTCTAGCACATCAAGATATGAAGAAAAAATACTAAAAACTCTGAAACCCTAATTTTTTCAAAAAAAATTTTTATCTTGCACATATGGGTCTTACAGTGTACGATTTAAGCAAATTTAATTTGATATATATATATATATATGTGCCATTCCAGGAGTTTTTTAGCACTTTTCGGAGTAACCTTTCCAAATTAAATGAAACATTTTTTTAATAATATTTATTAATATAAAGGTCCAAAAAAATCACTTTTTAAGTAAAAACAATTGTTTATTTAAAAAATACAACAATAAATAATGCAAAAAATTCACTTTTTTCCTGCAACTCCAAATAAATTGGTTTAAAGATCAAAATTTTCCTTATTTTTCAAGCTTTAATACCGCACAAGAAACATAGAGTCCGAGAAAATATTCAACTCGCAATTTTTTAAACAATGTTTGTTTACTTTTTTGTATTTTATTTACTGTGAAACGTCTGCTAAAGCTGCGCGCGACGTTTGGAAGTTGTCGCTTTCCTTATTGAGCAGAAGCTCATTACACTAGCGTAGTAGAAAGCATGTTGTGCGAAAAGTGAGGTTATGTTATCATTAAACGAAACGTAAAAATTTCTGGTTATCACATTGAATGGTTTTTAATTATCTACTTTGCAGTAAAAAATCATAAAAAACATTTTTAAAGGATGAAAAACCTCACTTTTCACACAACATGTTTTTTACTACGCTAGTGTAATGAGCTTCTGCTCAATAAGGAAAGCGACAACTTCCAAACGTCGCGCGCAGCTTTAGCAGACGTTTCACAGTAAATAAAATACAAAAAAGTAAACAAACATTGTTTAAAAAATTGTGAGTTGAATATTTTCTCGGACTCTATGTTTCTTGTGCGGTATTAAAGCTTGAAAAATAAGGAAAATTTTGATCTTTAAACCAATTTATTTGGAGTTGCAGGAAAAAAGTGAATTTTTTGCATTATTTATTGTTGTATTTTTTAAATAAACAATTGTTTTTACTTAAAAAGTGATTTTTTTGGACCTTTATATTAATAAATATTATTAAAAAAATGTTTCATTTAATTTGGAAAGGTTACTCCGAAAAGTGCTAAAAAACTCCTGGAATGGCACATATATATATTTTTTTTTTTTGATAATAACGCTGTGAATATTTAAAAACCATTATTGGGTTAAATTTTTTGAATAGGATTGTTATTGATGCTTATTAATGTGTAAATTTCATATAATCAACTTCATTTTATTAATATTTAACGAAATTTTCAGATAACCGCGCCACCTAACCCCGAATGTACTTTTGAAATATTTATTAATTTTTTATAAAAACTGTTAATATAAATGAAAAAATTTTTTTTGTTTCTTAATAACAAATGTATAGAGCTCAAAACTTAATATTTGAGCTCTTCTAAAATGAATTTTTTAAAGAGATATCACAAAAAAATGAAGAGGTTAAAAAATTACTTTGGAGTGCCAAAATCAGTTATTTTAATCTATACTCCACAATAATTAATGAATATTAATGAAATTTTGTACAAACTTACAGTTCATCAAGTACTTTAAGCAGAATAAAGAGAAAAATTAATGTAACTTAACACTTTTGAATAAAATCAAGTGCGCCAAACAACCCCGGTCTCCCCTAATTAACAGCTTTTAATATTACAAATACTAATGTGAGAATAGGCTACACCTCGTTTAATTGTAACAAAAATAGATAATCGTATCAGTTTTTATATTTTTGTATAATTAAATCTAATGTGCAAGGAAGGGTGTGTAGTAAGTAATGTCAACATAAGTATTCATGAAATAATATATTTTAACCATTACAATTCAACTTTCATTAAACATAAATTGTTTAAACCTTTTCGCCTTTGTATTACCGGATTTGGAGAAAATAACTATTTTAGTTTTTTCCGTGTTGACTGTTAATTTATTTAAAACGCAGAAATCATGCAAAACTTATCTAATTTTTTTTTTATTAAATTCTAAAGAAGAATCTGCTAGTAAAAGTTAGTTGTCGGCATACACAATCATAAGAACCTCAGTTCATTCATCAATTAAGAAAAAACAATATATCCTTATACACACAGAAAAAAACTGAACTCAGAATGAGTCGTGTAGGCGGCTCATTTTGATGTGCAACAAAATTGAGTCAAGTTGGTGGCGCCACTTTCTATGTCGTTTAGCATTGACTCATTTTGAGTTGCAACAAAAATGAGACTAGATTTTTTCTGTTCAGTAGGATCCGTTTATAATGATATTGAAGGGACATAGAAATTTGGTCATACTAAGCGGACGTCATAGTAAACGGAAAATAAGCAATGTCATTTAAATTGAAAAAAAAGATCAAGTTTAATAATAAAAATTAAAAACGTCAAATATTTTAATTCTGGATTTACTGTACAAATCGATATATTTTGTTGCAAGAATTTAATTCTTCAAATGTGTCATATTTTTTATTGTTTTAAAATTTTTCACCTTTATTAAAATATATTTCTATATGTTAAAGGAAATATTGAAGAAATTTGCAACTAATTTTTTTTTTTAGATACAGCAATGAAGCAATAAAAGTCAGAAGGATAATATTAAATATTTTAACGTTTGACTATATCAAACAAAATTTTATTCATTTTTTAAAAATTTTTGCCATTTAATATTTCTTTTTTACTGTTGTCGACAAATTGATATATTTTATTGCAAGAATTTAATTCTTCAAATGTGCGTCATATTTTTTACTGCTTTAAAATTTTCCACATTTATTAAATGTATTTCTATATGTAAAAAAAAATATTGCAGAAATTTGCAACTCATTTTTTTCTAGATACAGAAATAAAAGTATGAAAGTTAGGACAATTAAATATTTTAACCGTAGATAACAAACGTTTCCCGTACGCCCTGCACATTGTATTTTTTTTAAATAATATAAAAATAAGAATAGGGGATATATAAATTTTAGTTTTAAAATTTTTCACATGTTAAAAATTTTTTTTTCTAGAATTCATTCATTCTATGAATTTGTTTTTTTTTTTACTTTCTGACTTTCTTTCTTAGAAAATATAAATTAGAGAAAGTAAATAAAAGTAGATTCAATTTTCGTTTCGTTCAACAAACGGAATCGAAAGTTAATTTTTGATTCCGATTTCGAAATTAAAACTTAAATGAACAAGTGTTTTGATAATACAATAAAATCACGGTTTTATTAAAAAAAAAAAAAAAAAAAAATCTATTTTTTTAAGCCAAAAATATATTTTTTAAGTCAGCTATAACCTATCCTATTAGTGGATAAAATAAAAACTATTATAAAAAATAATATTTTCAGCTTAGCATATTTTATTGAAAAGCTTTTTTACATAGTGTTAAAATTCGTCGACTTCCTAATGGACACACTTTTCGCGGTGCATTTATAATGCCACCAGCACTTAGCGGTCCAAAAGATTTAGTTTCAAATGTACATTGCAATTGAAAAGTAATTTCGTCGACTGTTAATAAATCAGGAATAGGACAATGAGGTCCTGATTTATAAACTTGATGACAGCCACCTTCAAATGGAACTAAACCATCTTCATGACAAGGATTCTTCTCACATCGCGGTTCATTCTGACCCAAAGGAAGAACAAAATAGTTTCCAGGAGAGCAAGGGCCTTGTCTATAAGCCATGTGACAAGAATCAGTTTTTGATAAATATAAAAATCTTTGATTGCATTCACAACTGTAACTAGTGTTGTCCTCGCTTGTTGAAATAAGGTGCGAATTATTTGTACAGAATTTTGATATTCTCTGTAAAAAAAATATGCATTTTATATATTAAAACATTAAAATATAGTAGAACAATATGACATCAATTATCAAAGGCATTAATCATTTGCTTATGCTAACTCATCTTTACAGCAGCTTTTTATATCGTAGTTCCACATTAACTAATTAACTAAATTCAGATTGTTGCAGACTAATTGCGGATTTAGGGGTATGTGGGAACCTCCCACGTGGGGCGGTATGAATTCAACACAAATAAATTCTACACAAGAAAATACTGCACCGCTAACTGTACACGAGTCAATTGTCAACAAAATTAAATAAAAATATATTCTTCACAATTAAATACTACATCGAAAAGCCCTACACAATAAACTATTTACTAGAAAATTATCTTCATAAACTCTACACAAATAAACTCAACACATTAAGATTTAGAATTAGAAAAATGAAAAAAAGAAATTTTTTTTATAATTCTACACAAATAAATACTACATCAGTAAATTTTACACAGCTATAAAAAATAAAAAATTAAATTCGACACAATTAAATTTTACACATGAAAATAATATTTTCTTTATTTCCACGTGTAACAAATTCTTGAAATTTTAAAAAAGTTTTAAAGTATGAATTACATGTGGAATTTTGTGAAAAATAACTTTCAAATTCAAAGTACGAATTACACGTGTAATTTTTTTGTTAGGGAGCCCATGACTTTACCGATAATGGTTCATTATTGGTTGCCATTATTGAAATTATATTGGCATCCCTGGCTCCCATATTATTGGGCCATTAATATGTTAATGGTATTTTTCTTATTGGGAATTCATTTCTATTGATTTTAATTCGTCGTGACAAATCAGTAAGCGGGATTCAGAAGAATTCAACCAAAAGTCAATTCATTTCAATTCATTTTAATTAGTTTTTTTTACTGGAATATTTCTCATTTGTACTAAACGTCGTTTGTCCTAATTCTCATTTGGCATAATCTTTATTTAACCTAATTCTTACACTGAAAAAAAAGTTCTGGTTAAAGCACGAAGTAGTATAAGGAGACGTAACGCCATGCATTCAAAGCAACCCCAAATGCGTGTCCTAGAGTTACTAAGGTTTTCGAATAATGCTCTTGTAGCGCCTCTACTGAGATAAATCGGAATCAAAATATGTCGTCTGCTATCGCGTAAACAACTGTAGTTGACAGCAAAAGTGTTTTGATCACGAAGTGGTTTTGATAAAATATTGTGTAATAAATAAATAATAAAATAAATATTGTGAAATATTAAATATTAGTGAAAGTAAATAATATAATATTAATATTGACGGCACTGCTCCTTTTACAAGGTCATATCTACCTCGTTTTATTTTGTGTACACTACCATCAGGTAACTTTGTGATATAATCTTTCAGAATATCTGATTCCACAAAGTGCAAATCACATATCTTATCCTTTTTTGTCAATTTTGGTTTTTTTCCAATACCAACAATAGCACTCGACCAAGTTAACAAACTTTCATTCTATAATAGGAAAGCATTAAAAAATAAAAAACACTTCGGAAATAATTAAAACTCTAATGATATCCCTACTGAAAATCCCTGTATAAGATCTTGTACAATTTCCTGTACAGGATCAGCAACTGAACTTGTACAAGTTCTGACCAGTTCCTGTACAGGAAAATGCATACGAATTTGGAACAAGTTCATGTGTGAGATCTTGTACAAGATCTGGTGCAAGATCTTGTACAAGAAAGATATTTGTACAAGAAAATGTACATGATCTTGTACAATTTCATGTATAAGTACTTGTACATGAACACGTTCATGTTCTTGCACATGTATAGTTGTAAATTTTTTTTTTTTTTAATAAAATTTGAGATTTTAATAATTTTTAACCACTAAGATTCGTAACTCATGCATGCTAAAAACTATTGCGCAGCTGTAAAGGTTAATGTAAACTATTGCGCAGCCTTTGAAGTTTTTAATTTTTAGTAAAGAAAAACACGAATTAACATGTGCAAGAACATGTACATTTTCTTGTACAAGTATCTTTCTTGTACAAGATCTTGCACCAGATCTTGTACAAGATCTCACACATGAACTTGTTCCAAATTCGTATGCATTTTCCTGTACAGGAACTGGTCAGAACTTGTACAAGTTCAGTTGCTGATCCTGTACAGGAAATTGTACAAGATCTTGTACAGGGATTTTCAGTAGGGATAATATTAACAATAATAAAACAATAATAAATAATAAAAATTAAATACTGTTCGAGCTGAAAAAAAACTTCGATTTTCTCCATTTTTTTCTTCTTTTGTAGTTATTTTTGATCCACATCCTTTTATAAAACATGACATTTCACTGATAACATTAACAAAGCACAAAGTGCAAGCGCGAAACACCGGTTCAAGACAATTTGTAAGCACATGCGAGCACGTGATAAATTTTAATTCTCTATTTCTCCACGCGCGGCGTCCTCATCGCATTATTAGAAAAATGCGTAAACTCTAGGACACGATTTTGGGGCTCACTTTCACCACAATCTACTATGGGCGTTACGTCTCCTTATACTACTTCGTGGGTTAAAGTTACTAGATGCGTCTGGTTAAAAAATTTCTAGTTATTTTAACAAAAAAATATAGTTAAAAAGACTAAACAGTTCTAGTTAAATAAGTATGGTTAAATTATTCTGGTTAAAAACGCGCGTTCGCGGACACTGCGTAGCGTCTGATGTTCTTTTTCGAATATGTATTAGTTTATCGTGCGGATCGCAAGAATGGATGAAAAAGTTAACCAAGCTCTGGAAAATTGGGGTTTGGGAGAATTAAAAGATCTGTTTAAAGGTAGGTTAATTAATTTTATAATATAAGTGAAAAAATTGTTGACGAACGGCAAACCCGTTCGTGTGGAAAATAGTTTGAAGGTTATGTTAAAAACGTGTTCGACACGTTTTATCCGAATTTTAGTTCTGAATAATCATATTTAAATAAACATTATTAAGAGAATTTTAGTGTAAAGGTGTTATTATTTGATTGCATTTATATGTACATAATACAAACTTTTTAATACATATTTTATAATATTTTATAATATAATATAATAATAATAAATTTAATTAATTCTCGGATTAACTAGAATTTCTGGTAAGATCAACCAGAAATTTTTTTACCAGAAATTTTTAACTAGAAAAATTCTAGTAAGATTAACTTGAAATTCTGGTTAAATTAACCAGAATTTTAACCAGAATTTTCTAGTACTTTTAACCAGAAAAAGTAGTAAGGGTATATATAACTTTTTATTCTGGTTAGATTAACCAGAATTCTGGTTATTTTAACCAGACTTTTTTTCAGTGATATTTAACGCCTAAATTTCACTTGGCCTAAATTTTCTGTAACGTAATACTTTTTTAGTCTCATTTTTATTTGATCTCATTATTACTTGGCATAAACACCATTTTTCATAATTATCATTTGAAATAATGTTCATCTTGCCTAATTATTATCATTTGGACTAAACGCCGCTTAAATTAATTTTCATTTCGTCGATTGAGGGCAGAAACACGCCAATTCAGGCGAATGTTGAGAAACATGACAATCTAAAAAATATTAGGGAAACCTGCCATTCCAGTGAAGATTTCAAAAACATGCCATCTCAGATGTCAAATTTTTGTTGATTGTTTTAGGTTGGTAATACTTTCTTGAGAATGTTATATTATAGTTAACAAAATTTTATTCTTGAAATCAATATTAAAAATTAAGAAAAGTATAATCATTAATAATAAAATTATTAAAGGTTCTACCGACTTAGCCATAAATATTCAACAAAATATTAATTATTTTGACTCATCAATTTTTCGTTTACAGTGTTACCAACCTAAAAAAATCAACAAAAATTTGACATCTGAGATGGCATGTTTTTGAAATCTTCACTGGAATGGCAGGTTTCCCTAATATTTTTTAGATTGTAATTTTTCTCAACATTCGCCTCAATTGGCGTGTTTCTGCCCTCAATCGACGATTTGATCTAATCTTTATAGTATTCAAGACTGTTCTCAACTGTGAGAAAAAAAATTATCACCATCTGGCGGCGTAAGAGTGGAACTATGATGATCTACATCTATTTTAGAATTTCCTATATAATTTCCTTTATAATATCTCATATAATTTCCTACTTGGTATCTTAGATGGACAATTAAAATAGTGAAATCCACACATGACGTCCCATATAAATTCCTATATGATAAATTCTTACATGAGATCCTATGTAGGAATCCATATGAGAATATATTTAGGATCTTATATATGATTTCTTATGTTCAAATCCATCATATATATTATCCCACGTGAGGATTCTTAATATGATTTCATGTCAGATTTTTTGTAATAATTTTTCATTCAAGAATCGAAAAAAAATTTGATGTATGATTTGATATTAAGAAAATTTCTGGTTAAAGATTGAGCAATAAATTTTGGTAGGTTTTTTAATAAGAAAACTCGAAGGAAATTGACATAGGAAATTGACATAAGAAATTGAAGGAAAAAATTTGACCAGAAAAAATTGTAGGATTTCACATAGGAATTTACATAATTTATTATTACCTAAGAATACGTTTATAAGAATTTACATCGAATCCCACTTCAAATCATGTCTCAATTTCCTATATGATTTTTCATAAGATCCTATATAGTTTCTTACATGACATAGGTATAGGATTTTATATGAATTTTAATATATGAATTTATGTGAGATCCTATATAAGATCCTACATGAGAATTTTCAGTAGGGAAAATAACAAAAATATGTTTTGTCATTTTCTCTCTCATGATTGACGTTCATGAGCGGATGACAAATGAAGTTTAGGTCAAATGCGTACTGTTTGCGGATAGTTTACATTAAAAATTCTTGATTATTCTGGATTCATTTTGGATTGTTTTTCGATCTAACTAAAATCAAATTATTGCGGGCTAATTGTGGATTTATTTCATGTCAATTTCGAACTATTCCAAACTGATCTCGGATTTATTATATTTACATCTAGTGTGATTGCTGACTAATATGGATCATTTTCGGATTGTTTTCGTAAAATTTCTAGACTAATCCGAACTGATTTGTCTGTGTCCAAAATTTTAACCAGGTATAAGATGTTGTTCGAACAGACATGAATGTTCTAAGAATACCCTAAAAACGACATATCCAAGGCAAAAAAAAAAATGTCCCCGTGCTCATTGGGAAATAAATATAATTACCAAATCTTCAAAGTCTCCATGATATTTAAATTTATTGCATTCAATTTGATAATTTTGGTTGAAACCAAGATATGTATATTCATCATCACAGGGTTTTCCATTTGCCCAGAGAATATGACATTTTCCACGATAAGGAACAAAGCCATCAACGCTGCAAGGATTCTTTACACATCTTGCCACCGCTTCTCCAGGAAGAAGTACTAAATAATGTTTGTATGGACAAGGTCCTTGTCTATAAGCATCGTAACATGAATCATCTTGTGGATAATACAAAAGCTGTGATTTGCAATCGCACACTCTTTCTGTAGGATTCTCATTAATTGAATAAGCTATCATATTTTGTGGACAAGTGAGCAAATTATCCTGTAAACAGAAACAATCTTAAGGTGCTTTTATACCTCCAGTTAATTGAAAAGCCAGTGAAATAAAATGTTCTAACAGTTATTTTATTGTAACTCTCAATAAAATTTTAATCAGGGGACGTTGGTAAGTGTCACGTCTCTGAAGTGTCGCCGTGAGCGCATGCGTCTCGCTAAAGAATTTTAGCGTGAGGCATGCGGTGATCTTGCCACCATTCTTGGGCCTCCCGTCTGAAAAAACTTGTACAAGAAAATGTACAAGTTCTTGTACATGTTCATTAATGAACTTGTTCATTTTCTTGTACATGCTCAAGTAATATTCTTAAACAAGTTCAGCATCCGGAATTAAGACATGTTCTTGTACCAGAAATTGTCCAAGAAAATATACTTGTACATGAAAATGTACATGTTCTTGTACATATTTTTTGGTGCAGGTTTCATGTACATTTTCTTGTACCAGATGTGGAACATGTTCTTGTACATGTTCATTTATATTTTTTTAAATTAAAAACTGTAAAGGCTGCGCAGTAGTTTTCTGAAGCCTTTACAACAGCGCAATAATTTTTAGCATGCATAAGTGAAGAGTCTTAATAATTATAACTTATTAAAATTTCAAATTTTTTTCAAAAACATTTTTAAACAAATGTTCTTGTACAAGAATTCGTGTAAAAGTACTTGTACATGAAACCTGCACAAAAAATATGTACAAGAACATGTACATTTTCTTGTACAAGTATATTTTCTTGTCCAGGATCTTGTACAAGTTATGGTACAAGAACATGTCTCAATTTTGGATGCTGAACTTGTTTAAGGGGACATTCCAGTTTAAAATGGGAAAAAGAAGTCTTTTTTAAGATGTACTTCTAAAAAAAAACCATGACATTTATTCAAAATTTTTGTTTACATGTTATAAATAACTTATTCAAGAATATGAAAAAATTATTTTTTTTCACTTGTAGTCCAAGATGGCGTCGATGTACAACATTTTCAAAAAATGTTCATTTTTTCATGGGGGGATCGATTTCGAGATTTCTACAACAGATAGAGACATAAAATAAAAAGCATTTTCTTGGTTAGATCTTTCTCTATGCATGGAACCTCAAAAACTGGAAAATTTCTTTTTCTCTTTTTTTCTATAACAGAAATTCTGAATAAAAACTACATGTGTTTTTTTCAAGTTTTGAGAAAAACTTACCATAAAAAAAAGAAGAGGACGAAAATTCCACTTTTTTGAGGTTCCATCCATAGAGAAATATCTAACGAAGAAAATGCTTTTTATTTTATGTCTCTATCTGTTGTAGAAATCTCGGAATCGATCCCCCTATTAAAAAATTGAACATTTTTTGAAAATGATGTACATCGCCGTCATCTTGGACTACAAGTGGAAATTTTTTTTTTTAATATCCCCCACAGCACCGAAAATTTCCTGAAAATTTCCTAAAGATTTATTTGCAAACTTCGGAAACTTTAATTGCAAAGTTTAGAGAAAATTGTATAAAGATTTAAATGTCCAAAATGAATAAATGTTTGGCGTAAAACTTGACGGAAGATTTAAATTAAATTTTCCAGAAATTTTCGACGCGAAAATTGAGTGAAGATTTAAATTAAAGTTTCGTGAAATGTTTGGCGTAAAAGTTGACTAAAAATTTAAATTAAATATTTATTAAAAATTTATACCGAAAGTTGAGTGAAAATGTAATTTAAATATTCAGTCAATTTTTGTGACGAACATTTCCTAAAAATTTAAATTAAATTTTCAGAAAAGGTTGGACGAAAATATTTGTAAAAAATACAAAAATAATATTTAAGAAGTATTAATATTATTATTAATATTAATAATAATCTTTATACAATTTTCTCTAAACTTTGCAATTAAAGTTTCCGAAGTTTGCAAATAAATCTTTAGGAAATTTTCAGAAAATTTTCGGTGCTGTGGGGGATTTTTCAATAAGTTATTTATAACATGTAAACAAAAATTTCTGAATAAATGGCATGGTTTTTTTAGAGATACATCCTAAAAAAGCTTTCTTTTTCCCCATTTTGAACAGGAATATCCCCTTAAGAACGTTACTTGAACATGTACAAGAAAATGTACAAGTTCATTAATGAACATGTACAAGAACTTGTACATTTTCTTGTACAAGTTTTTTCAGCCGGGCTGTTTCCGTATAGTAAGCACATGTTTGTTGCGTATTGTTATGGGTTCGCCCAATTTTACCCCCCCCCCCCTTCTTGAGATTAATTAAATTAAAATTTCTTAAAAAAATAGTTTGTAACATGAAATAATATTGTCAACCTTCTGCCGATTGGCGCCGGGCAAATAAATAAAAAGGGAATTATCTTGAACCCACACAGTTCTAAACCCGATCGCATATGGTGTGGAGTAAATTCAAAAAATAAATATATAACTCCTGTTTCAATGTTAATTCAAAAGTGTGTGCTATATATGATTCTTATTGAAAATTTTATGGAATATGAATCTAATTGCATCTTGAAATTTTAATTATATACACTCATATTTTTAAAATTATTTTAATTAATACACTGAGAGTAAAGATTAGTTGGGGTTACCATTTTTGAGGTGACCATTTTTAGTTAGTAAACTATACTGCTGCTAATTTATTAGTTGTGGTTACTATTTTTATTGGTTGGCATAACTATTTTATTAATTAGTTTATTGGAATAACTATTTAATAAGTTACCGTCCTAACTAAATATGGTTATGCTAACTAATTGGTATCAGAAACTATAATAAATTAGCAAAAATACTCTTACTAACAAAATGGTATAATCGCAACCAATCGTTGCGAAATGTGTGAAAGCAATGTGAAATATTTTTGTATAAATATTCCATATTTTAATGTAAATATTAATAAATCACTTTATCTGATTTAATTTTTATTTAAAATTAAATATTTTCAATCAAAAAATACTATAGGGTCAGTTGGGGTAAATGGGGACAAAATCGCTATTTTTCACAAATTACGTAAGTTTCTTCCTTTAAAAGGTGCAAGGAATCTCGCTGTTCTTCACATTTACTATAACATAACGCAAAAATAATAAAAAAAATCTGGCAGCCCCCTGCGGGGGCGGCCACATTCTCATCACGCGCTTCGCGCGTAGGGGCTCGCTTCGCTCGCTAGTTTGAGCGCGCCCCGGGGCGCGCGAAGGATAATCGTCCCGCTTCGCGGTCCGATATTATTACGCGCTTCGCGCGTTTTGTTTGTTTATTACAATTCAAAACCTATTAGCATTAATTACTTTTTAACTACACTCTGTAATACAAAAATTTTCCTATTAAATTTAAAAATTGTATTAATTGTACTACCAGAAAGTAGTTGAATGACCCAAGAATCTATTTGGTAGAATGAGATTTTGTAGTTGTTTTAGACTTTGTAGTTGATTTAATTAATTTTGAAGTAAAATGTCAAGAAGAAAGAAATTATTTTTATTTATTTTATTAAAAAGAATAAAATTAATTACACACAGAGTTAAAATAAGTAAAAAAGTAGTTATTTTAAAAGTGGATGTTCATATAATCGACTTGTTTTGAAAAATTTATTAGAAACAACTCATAGTCTTTATTAAAATGCGTTAAATTAAATTATAGAAATAGGTAAGGTTTAAAGGTATTAGAATAAATTTTTTATCGGGCACTGAAGAATGACGGCACTGTAGCTGTTCAAACTTAGTTCCTTAATATTGCGCCGTGGATTGGCCAGGTCTTTGTAATTAACGAAAATCGACAAACCAAATTATTTACTAAAATAAGATATTCCGCTTTGAGCTAATTTCAATTGAGTAAAAGAAAAAATTAATTGAAGTGCGATTCCAGGTGAGATTTTGACTTTTTCGGAGTAGGTTAACCGATTGCAATGAAACTTTGGAATTTTGTTATATATAGTAAGACTAATCTTTAACGTAAATTTCAGCTTAAAATATTTGTTAGTTTACGAGATTTGCAACAATAACAAAAAATGCGAGTTTAACTTATTTAATTTTAATAATTTACGTGTATAAACAATTGCGATTTCTGCTAGTTGACGTGCAGACGTCATTGCGCACGCAGCATTCTCCTATAACTAGCTGACGTGATTCGTGGACTAAATTGGCTACGTGAGAATGCTGCGTGCGCAATGTCGTTAATGTTCCTTTGGAACATTAAAGAAAACACAGGTAAGATCATTTTAGCGTTTGAGTGATTGAATTTTAGATTGTCGCGTGAAATTTATTCAATTATTATTTAATAATTTTTTTAGTTGTAAAATTATAAAAAATTGTTCTGAAAGAGATTTATTCCTCTCATTTTCCTTGACATTTTAAAAAAAGTAGACCTCAATCCGATTATTAGAACGGAAGATATAGCACTTTAAAATTTTTTGTTATTATTGCAAATCTCGTAAACTAACAAATATTTTAAGCTGCAATTTACGTTCAAGATTAGTCTTACTATATATAACAAAATTCCAAAGTTTCATTGCAATCGGTTAACCTACTCCGAAAAAGTCAAAATCTCACCTGGAATCGCACTGAAAATTTAAAAACACTAAAAAAAAAGAACTTTAAAGTAAAAGCATTTTTTAAAGCAACAAATTTATTATGTGAGGTTTTGCTCTCATGTTTTTATTCATAAAAATTTTTTTGTACAATTTATATAAGTGAAATTTTTGGTTTTTATAAATTAAATTTCATTTTCTTAAAGTACTTTGACTTTAAGGATAACATTCTCATCACGGCACTCGCGTTTCACGCTCGAAAATTAGAAACATACAATAGGAAAAGGAGGCATGCATTAACCTATTAACGAAATTTTTACAGGTAATTTGAGGCTCTCTCAAATAGTGTACTAAAAGAACCGAAAATTTTTAAATAAACAATTTACAAGCATTAAAAAAAAGATTTTTTTAGAATTTTTGTTCAGTTTTTATAATTTTTCAAATCTTATCCCTTCAGAATACCTTTAAATGCTAAAAATATGGTGTCAAAAATGTTCCAATACGCCATTTTGAATTTTTAAAAACTGACTTCAGAATCGTAATGAGCGACCTACACACCAAGGAGTAGAAAGATTTATTTAAATTTGTTAAAAAGATTGTTGAAAAATGAATTTTCTCTTAAAAAATATCAATGTTTCTACTTAGTTAATTCATAATTCTTTATAATTTCGCCTGCAACACTTATTATTTTTGTTTCACTTCACAATGCTTTCGTTATAGTGGAAAAAATGTTTTAGGAATACTGCTTCAAAAACTTTAAATCTAGAGATGAAAGTTGCTAAAAGAAAAGGTGGCAAAATAGGTTAAAACTGGGACGCAAAAAATTAATGAGTAAAATAACCGAATTTTAAAATAATCGAATCAATGTTAAATTATTCCGTTATGATGGGCCAGCCATTTTGGATTTTTTAAATCTAACCTCAAATTCGAATTCAGGGACCTCGAAAACAACAGTGTACTCATTGATACTTAAATAGAAAAAGATTTACTATTTTCTTCAAAGGTGTACAAATACGTTCAAAATCACAAAAACGGAACGTCTTTTTATTGGGATATATATGAGCCATAAACTGTCAAGGGGTTAGATAAAAAAAAGGGCTAAAACTAAAAGAAGTTCACTAAATTCAAAAGTTAGCAATCGAAAACTTACGATATTCTAGTAAAAACAGTGCAACATGAACTAATCAGAAACATTATGAAAAAAATTGCAATTTTTGGAAATGGATAGCAATGGTTCACTTATAAAAAAAAAATTCAAAAAAAGTCAAAAATATTTAAATGTTTTGAAAATTATGAATAAGTTACTTTAATTTATGTTAATTGAAGGTGGTTTAAAGAGAAATAATTCATATTTGAACACATTTTTTCAAAATAAAGTGATTTTGCTCTGCATTTTACCCATTTTTCATCGGTTTTTGTCATTTTTTGTCTTTTTTTAAAAAAGTGGTATAACTTTTTTGTTTTAATCGCTATTAAAAATTGTCAAAAGAAAAAAGTGTTTATTTTTAGTCGTAATTTTCAAAAAAAAATTTAAAAAAATTTTTTTTTGAAAAATGCGAATTTTTGAAATTTTTAAAAACTCAAAATTTGAATAATTTTGTTGATTTTTGATGAAATCATCTGGCCAACGAACTCAGGCGAGATTTTGGTACACTTAAAGTGTATACCAAATTTGAGGTCGATTAATTAAAATTTACTCAAGTTATCGTCGAGACAACTTTTTTGTCTACAGACATACAGACATACATACATACATACATACATACATACAGACAAACATTTGTTTAAAACCTATTTTTTTGGCATCAGGATGTCTTGAAACGTGGAGATTCACAAGAATTAGATATTGGTCAAAATCGGGCAAATGTAATACTTTCTCATTATGATGAGAATGTAATAAAGCAATAAATAGTAAAATAATGTATTATATCATAGTTCATTCAGCGGCCACTCGCTCGAATTGGCGCTGTTTACTGGAGCACTGACACACTCAAGCAACGTCTGTGTATGCGCCGCCATCTTTGTTTTCATTTTCGTTTAAAAATGCCACTTTTTAAACTTCATTTTTTAATAATTTAACACAAAATTATGTATTTTTCGGAGAACAGCGAGATTCCTTGAACCCAAATCTATTATCCCTCAAAATTTTAGACAAAAATCTTTTTTCGTTTTAGAGTAAGACATATACTACCAAAACACATTTTCCCATACTAGGTCACGTGGGAGGTTTCCACATACCCTTAAAGAATGAAAAAAATTGAAAAAAAATTGTAGTAGATATATAATAGTTGAACCGCAATTAAAATTTTTTTATTTTTTTTTTATTTCAGTATTTTGTCTCGCATTTCAAAAAAACACTTAAAAATCATACAAACTTTTTTTTGTTATTCCTTATGACTCCCATAACAGAAATTCACTTGAATTTTTGATTTTTGTTAATTTGGTTAATAATGACAAGCTGTCCCCATTTACCCCAAAAATTTGAAAACTCAGGGTAAATGGGGACAGGCTGTCATTATTAACAAAATTGATAAAAATCAAAAATTCAAGTGAATTTCTGTTATAGGAGTCATAAGGAATAAGAAAAAAAATTGGTATGATTTTTAAGTCTGTTTCCTTTGAAATGCTCGACAAAATAGGTCGGTAAACCTGGAAGTACCACATTCATAAAAAAAGTTTTTACATATGCCAACATTTAGGGCTCAATTAGGGCTAATTTAATACGACATGCAAAAATTTAGGGCCCTTTACATATTTGAAATAACCCTTGGTACTGCTGGCTTGACGTCAAGCTGGAAGTACCACACTATAGAACCTAAATATTTTTCAAAATTTCTTCCATAGAAATTTAGGGCTCTCAACTGGGACTATTTAAAATTTTTAAAAACCACCCCTAAGTACAAAAAAACATCCCCAATTATTTAAACTCAATTAAAGCAAAGAATAATCATATAGGAATTAAGACCTAAATTAGGGTTCTTCAATAGCACTAAATTCACTTTTTAAAAGTGCACCCCAACCACCCCAGCCAAGTAACTGATAGATAGTCAACCACAAAAACTACTCTCAACTAGTTAAAACTCAATATTTTCAAAAACTAACACATACGCATTTAAGACTAATTTAGGGCTCTAAAATATAATTAGATTGGTTATTCAAAAATGATACACCAACTTTAAAAACTACCCCAGAGTGGTTCAAACTTAATTTTTTTAAAAAATAAATACTTAGAAATTTAGGGCTAATTTAGGGCTCTTAAATAAAACTACATTGAGTGTTCAAAAACGATACACCAACTTTAAAAACTACCCCTGAGTAGTTCAAACTTCATTTTTTTTAAAAAAAACTTAGGAATTTAGGGCTAATTTAGGGCTCTTAAATAAAACTACATTGGGTGTTCAAAAACGATACACCAACTTTAAAAACTACCCCAGAGTAGTTCATACTTAATTTTTTCCAAAATAAATACTTAGTAATTTAGGGCTCTTAAATGGAACTACATTGGGTGTTCAAAAGTGACGCATAAACTTTAAAAACTACCCCAGAGTAGTTCAAACTTAATTTTTTCAAAAAAAAATATTTAGGAATTTAGGGATAATTTAGGGCTCTTAAATGGAACTACATTGGGTGTTCAAAAGTGACGCATTAACTTTCCATTTAAGAGCCCTAAATTAGCTCTAAATTCCTAAGTATTTATTTTTTGAAAAAATTAAGTTTGAACTACTCTGGGGTAGTTTTTAATGTTAATGCGTCACTTTTGAACACCCAATGTAGTTCCATTTAAGAGCCCTAAATTCCTAAGTATTTATTTTGGAAAAAATTAAGTTTGAACTACTCTGGGGTAGTTTTTAAAGTTGGTGTATCGTTTTTGAACACCCAATGTAGTTTTATTTAAGAGCCCTAAATTAGCCCTAAATTCCTAATTTTTTTTTAAAAAAAATGAAGTTTGAACTACTCAGGGGTAGTTTTTAAAGTTGGTGTATCGTTTTTGAACACTCAATGTAGTTTTATTTAAGAGCCCTAAATTAGCCCTAAATTCCTAAGTATTTATTTTTTAAAAAAATTAAGTTTGAACCACTCTGGGGTAGTTTTTAAAGTTGGTGTATCATTTTTGAATAACCAATCTAATTATATTTTAGAGCCCTAAATTAGCCTTAAATGCGTATGTGTTAGTTTTTGAAAATATTGAGTTTTAACTAGTTGAGGGTAGTTTTTGTGGTTGACTATCTATCAGTTACTTGGCTGGGGTGGTTGGGATGCACTTTTTTAAAAGTGAATTTAGTGCTATTGAAGAACCCTAATTTAGGTCTTAATTCCTATATGATTATTGTTTGCTTAAATTGAGTTTAAATAATTGGGGATGTTTTTTTGTACTTAGGGGTGGTTTTTAAAAATTTTAAATAGTCCCAGTTGAGAGCCCTAAATTTCTATGGAAGAAATTTTGAAAAATATTTAGGTTCTATAGTGTGGTACTTCCAGCTTGACGTCAAGCCAGCAGTACCAAGGGTTATTTCAAATTGGTAAAGGGCCCTAAATTTTTGCATGTGGTACTAAATTAGTCCTAATTGAGCCCTAAATGTTGGCATATGTAAAAACTTTTTTTATGAATGTGGTACTTCTAGGTTTACCGACCTCGACAAAATACTGAAACAGTTTAACTTTGATTTTCAAGTTTTTATGCATTGAGCGATAACTTTTTTTATCTTGCTGCCAATTGTCAAGATAAAAGCTTGGCAATACTCAAAACCTATTGCAGGTGATCTGAGGTTAAAATATTGACGTTGAACTTAATTTTAAAACTGTAAATTAAGCCCCAAAACATCTTGTCCCATTTATCCCAACTGACCCTAATTAAAGTAATTTTAAAAATATATAATTACAATTTTAAGATGCTAGGTTAAAAAGAGAATATATTTTATATAACCATACGTCAACATTATAATTTTTAAAGGTGAAATTATAATTTTAATGAAAATTGACTCAAATAAACATTATATTAAATTTTTTGTTTAATTAGCATTTTATGACACTCAACTTCAAAGAGCATTTTATTACACAAACAATTGAATTAGCTTCATATTCCACAAAATTTTCAATAATAATCATATAGCACACACTTTTGAATTAGCATTTTATTCCTCTGGCTTTTAAATTAACATTTTATCAACAAGTACTGTCAAAATGTATTTTTTATTACTTACAACAAAATATGCTGTGCTCTGAATTTCCCAAAAAATCATAAACAAAATATGAACTTGAATTAATACCTTCATTTTGATTTCATATAAAAAAGACAAATAATTTCTAAAGATATACTTTTACTTTTTCGTTTGAGAATAAGTTTCTTATAATAGTCTCACTGACGAGCATTAGAAGACTGAAGAAAATCTTCAAAAATATTTAAATAGTTAATTTCAAGGTGAATAGTAATGGGAAAGTAAGGTAATATATTCTAAGAGTACGCATTGCCTAAGAGTAGGCACAATCTATCTCATTAAGTAAAGCAAAAAAAAAAATTAATAATAAGTCATTACATTTACATGGTCAGTTAACTTTCGATCTAAACATTTAATCATGGTGGCCATTTTAATACTCAGATAGCACGTAAGCTTGCAGTAAGCTTAAATAGTTTGCACTTAAACCTTTAACCCTTGTGTCCACACTCAACATTTTCTACGTTGTCTCGCACCCACTACAGCAAAAAATTTATAAAAAATAATATGACGATCAGATCTGGTTAAAAATGTTTACTCAAAGTTTTTTGGGATCGCTGATTATAACATAATAATATAATATAATATAATTTCAATAATGGCACCCAATAATATGGACCATTATTGGTAAAGTCATGGGCTGTCCATGCCGATGCCAATGATTGGCCAATATTAAAAATTTTAATAATAATTTACAAAATCAATTATTTAAAACAAACATTTATTATTTTTTAATAGTTATTATTATTATTTTATTTTTAATAATTAAATTAAAATAAAAAAATAGTCATCACAGTAGTAGTGAAACAATTTCTTCCAAAAAAAAGATGATGTTCGCCCTCCCTTTGCAGTGTTGAGCGAATACTAAAGTCCAGAGATGAGACATTATATTAATAACATAATGTCATATTTAATAATTAGTTCATTAATTTTTTTCAACGAAAATTTGCCAAAACAAAAATTTGTTGCCCAAAAAAATATTACAATAAAAAAAAAATTTTTTTGTCAAATTTACGTAGTAAAAAAAATTAATTAACTAATTAATAAGTTTTTTAGTTAATTTTTTTAACAGAGAAGATTTGAAGAAAAAATTATTTTCTCATAGTGAAATTTTTTGTACTACGTACGAGTAATTTTTTTGTTAAATTATCGTAACAAAAAAAATTAATTAACTAATTATTACGTTATATAGTTAATTATATTTTTGGAGAGAATATTTGACAAAATAATTATTTTCTCATCGTGATATTTTTTTAGGCCACAAATAATTATCTTGATAATAATTTTCTTATTGAGAAAATTTGACAAAAAAATTATTTTCTTTATCTTAATATTTTTTTTGGCCACAAATTTTTTTTTTTGGCAAATTTTCCTTGAAAAAAATTAATTAACTAATTATTAAGTATGACATTATGTTATTAATAATTATTTTTTAAATTAATTACTATTTGTCATATTTAAAATAAAATAAAATATCTAATAAAATCAAATTTTTCAAATGTTCCCGCGCTGCGCTGATGGCTCGGCTCTGGACTTTAGTTCGCTCAACGCCGCAAAGGGAGGGCAAACATCACTGTTTCTCGCAGTTGAGGTGCCACTAGTTTGGTATATAAGCAGTGATCGAAAATTTTTTTCTCGTCGAAATTTGTTTTTTCCCGATGTCTCTCTTATTTATTGGGATGCACAGTGGGGCAGAATGTTAAAAAAGTTGGCATTAAATGTATTTTTCATTAAAAATTATTGACATTAAAGATTTTAAAAGTTTTTGGGTCGCTGATTACGAATATGAAGTCAGTTTTTAAAAATTCAAAATGGCGGATCCAATATGGCGGACAATTTTTTAAAAAATTAGTTTGATTTCTATAAAATTTGGTATCTAGGGGTTTTCGGGGTCGCTGATTGCGAATCTAACGTCAAATTTTAAAAATTCAAAATGGCGGATCCAATATGGCGGACAATTTTTTTTCAAAATTGTTCGATTTCTATAAAATTTGGTATCTAAGGGTTTTCGAGGTCGCTGATTACGAATCTAAAGTCAGATTTTTGGGGTTGCTGATTACGAATATGAAGTCAATTTTTTAAAACTACGAAATAGCAGATTCAAAATGGCAGATATTAAAAAATTAAATCTCTCATCGAATTTACTGCTATTTGAACGGTTCATTATTTCAACGAGTTCTTTTCTCTTTACGCATGAAGCGTGCTTGAAGTCGTTCCTAATATAAAAATTACAATAATTTATTTTTAATTTCTACACTAATTACAAATATTTACTTAAATTAAAAATACTTATCCGACGAAGAAATTCAAAAATTGTAAGAATATTTATTTATCCCGTTTTATAAATTTCAATTATAAACTTTTAAATATAAAATTAATAATATAGAACATTTTAAAATCAAAATCTTATTAAGTTTAATTTTTAAAGGTTAACAAATTTTCTTAAAACAAAGTACACTCATTATTGAAAATACGTATTTCTGTATTTTGCAATGTGTCCAATAAAATCACTTTTTCTCGAAAAATCGCAAATATTCGCAAAAATTTCAAGCAGATTCAGAAACCTGGAATCAAAACATAATAAAAAATTCAAGAATTAACGCTTGGACTAGCTTGGAATATAACTAAAATGATTAATGTTTACAGAAAATTTTTTCAATTTTTGAATTTCAGAAGCTCGTTTCTTTTAAGAATTTTAATAATTAAAATTTTATAAAATACGATTTTACCTTTTCTATAATATAATTAAATACCTGAATTTGAAGATTCCATGATAAATAATTCAAAATCTGTCACATTGTACGTCTTAATCAGGTTACAAACCTTACCTTGATAAATAAACAAAAAAGCGCCAACATAACCGTTGAAAATAGGTCGACATTAAAACATATTTCTATGAAAATCCGCAGTTAAAAAGAGCTAAAAATTATATTTCATCAAACTTTGACTTATTGTTTATTGAAATAATGTAATTAAAAGTTGGAATTGAATTTTTCAATTTTTCATTTTTTGCCAACTTTTTATGCATTCTGCCCCACTGTGGGATGTGAGATCTACTTTTTTTGGAAGAAATGGTTCCACTAATACTGTGATGACAATTTTTTTATTTTAATTTAATTATTAAAAATAAAATAATAATAATAGTAAAAAGTATTAAAAAATAATAAAAATAAAAAAATTTTTTTAAATAATTGATTTTTTAAATTATTATTAAAATTTTTAATATTGGCAAATTATTGGTTGCCAATAGTTGGCATTGGTGTGGACAGCCCATGACTTTACCAATAATGGAGGGACTATACACCGCAGTGAGAAGAGAAACATTGTCATGCGAAAGTGAGAAACTTTTCTCATCGATGAGTGAGTGAAATCAAGGTTGCCAACCTAGAAGACGTGTTGGTAAGGTAGGTATTGAATAGTTTCTTAAGAAAAAATTCAATACCTACCTTACCAACACGTCTATACGGTCAATGACAAGGTAAAAAGTAATGGTGTAGTATCACATTCATATAAAAAACCGGTATAGATCTAATCCATGAAGTTTGACTCTTTTTTTTTTAATGATAAAAGATAAAGAAAAACATTTTGCAATAAACATTTCTTATAGTTTAAGAATCGCTCTTTCGAATTCCACAGTGAAAATTAACGAACGTTTATAAATAAACAAATGGCAGGATATGTTTTTTAATAAAAAACACTATTTTCTTAGTTTTCTTTTATTTATGACTTTTTTTGGCACTTTAATTTAAAGGAATATTTTTTACTAATACATATTTCATGGCAAGAATAGTCAAGCTTTACGGTACAATTATTTATTTTATATTATTTCAAAATGGCGGCTAAAATAGATTCTTTTTTGCAAATTCATATAGTAGGGTGTACGAAATCCTGAGAACAAAAAAAATGATCAATTGTGCTTAAAATTTGGTACTCGGGGGTTTTTTGGGGTCGCTAAATACAATTCTAATGTCAGACTTTCAAAATTCAAAATGGCTAATCCAATATGGCGGACGACTTTTGCAAAAATTGATTAGATTCAATTCAAACTTGTTACTCAGGGGTTTTTAGGGTCGCTAATTACGATTTCAAAATTCAAAATAGCCGATCCAATATGGTTGTCAAATTCAAAAAAATCAATTTTTTTGCAAAATGACTGGATTTTTAGAAAATTGACCGCCATATTAGTTCTGACATTTAAAATTCTACAAATATAACTTTAAGACCCCAAAAACCCCCGAATAATAAGTTTTAAGCCAAATTGATCATTTTTGCAAAAGTCGTCCGCCATATTGGATCCGCCATTTTGAATTTTGAAAATCTGACCTCAGAATCGTCTCCAGCGACCCCAAAAACCCCCGAGAAACAAGTTTCAATCCAAATTGATCACTTTTGTAAAATTCGTCCGCCATATTGGATCCGCCATTTTGAATTTTGAAAATCTGAACTCAGAATCGTGTTCAGCAATTCCAAAAACCCCCGAGAAACAAGTTTCAATCCAAATTGATCACTTTTGTAAAATTCGTCATTAATCTGCTATATTTATTCCTGGAACATTATTTTCTTTTCCAACAATTTTTTTGATCCAGGGACCATTCAAATGTCTAAAGTAATTAGGAAAGCTAACGGCTTATAACAACTACCGGGGATTCCCCGCATTGGCTATATTAATAATAATTCAACCTTGCTTTTCTTATATTGTGCAACTTATTGTTGATTTGACTACAATTTTGAAACCACTAATAGTTTTTTTTATGTACAATTTTCTATTTGAAATGAACGCCATATAATATTAAGTGTCTAATATTTTATGATTGTTCAGAAAAAAATACTATTAAAATCAACCTTGGAATTTCTTGTACTCATCTTAAAAATTCTACTTTATTTTTTAATTATAAATATAACCGGTTTTCATATAGATATAATAAATACGATTCTCCACTTACATATATAATCACTATGTATTCTTATAAATATGAAGATTATCAAAGATTTTCTACCAGTCATTATTTAATTGAAGGTGCTAAGTTATACAAGCAAAACTAACTTGAAGAAAATAATTTTCAAAATTGTTTTTAATCATCAATAAGTGAAGACAACATGAAGTTATTATTTCAAATATGTGTTTCCTTTGTTATTTTTTGGGAAATATCGTGCGACGTAAGTCCCGTAATTAGTTATATCAAGGACTTTTCATATAATTAATAAATATAATTGAGACACCGGATTAAAAAAAAACTTGATTAATCAATCTTCAATACTAACTTAATGTATTGTAGACAAATTATTTTGGAAAAAAAAAATTGTGGTTCTTTCCGATCTAATAATGAGAATTTAATTTTTATTTACTTTATAATTATATTATTACATAATATTACATAATTCTAAAATTAGATTTCTATATTTTATTATAATTATAATCTTTTTTTTTTTGCTGTTATTATTTTAATTAAATTTAACATTAAATTAATAATCATGTATTTTACTTTAATTCCTTTTCAATTTTTTCTGTAGTTGTATATAAGATGTATAAAATATTTCCTGAATTTTTTTTTTAATTTATGCTCTTTTTAGAAAAAAATATTGACATTTAAAGTGAAAATTAATTTTATAATTAATTAAAATTTTAGTCATTAGTCGGAAATCCACGTCCAGTTGATGTAAATAAAGATGAAATTCAGCAGTACGCAAAACTTGGTCTTGCGGAATATTCACGAAATTTACAAAAATCCTATGAACCACTAATAGAAACTGTTATTAGTGCTACAGAACAAGTTGTCTCTGGAACAAGATATATAATAAAAGTTAAATTCACTGAAAGCACTTGTTCTAAAGGAGAGAAAAATAATGAATGCCTTTTGAAAGCGAAAGGTGAATCTGAAGTTTGCATCGTTGACGTTTGGTCACAACCTTGGGAAGATAAAGGTGTTCCAAAAGTAACTGTTAAATGTCAATTGGAACAGTAAAATAAAGGTAATTCAACGTCTTTATTTTATCAACCGTAATCTGTATTTAGTCCAAAACGATCTGGTTTTTGTCATCCTGAATTAGTCAGATAATGTCCTAAATTTGCCTGGTTTGTGTAATTACAGTGAATCCGAAATTAATCAAATCTAATTCGAATTCAATCCAATCAAACATAATTAGTGAATTCAGATTTCGGATTTAGTATTTAAACATCTGAAATTAATTTTAGATTCAATAAGAGTAATTTCACAATCGTAGTGGTTGTGTATCATTAGATTAATTTCGGATTGTATCAGATTAATTCTAGTTTTTACTATTCACACATATAATACTAATTTCGAACACAACCATCTAAATTCGGATGACAAAAACCTGACTATAAACTGTAGCGTTTCAGATTAATTCCAAATTCAGGAAATTTAACTAAAGTATTCATTATTGAAATTTATATACGAAAATTTGTATCGTCTGTGTATAACTAAACACATAATAATAATAACAATAATAATGATAATAATATCGCTAGTTAATAATCAACTTATCTACATTTCAGATTATTTACTTTTTTTCAAAATATAAGATGTTATGAAGATAATCCTGAACTATTTACGATTTGATTACATCAAAAATCTTTTCTAAAATTTGGTTTTATGCTGAAGCATAAGTAACTAAAAATACTGAGAAAATTTAATTCTGATTAAAATTCTTACGTTCTACTATTTCAAAATTGTATAATATCTAAATGGAACAAAAAATTAAAATAAAAAATTTTATACAATTATTACGTGTTTTACCTCCTCATAAATATAATAAACTTATACCGAATTTTCCATATCAAATTAAAGTTTTAAGTGCAACAAACAAATTTTCAAGCAAATTCAAATGTTCTTTTTAACAACTAATATAGCAAAATTATCAACTTCTAAATAAGAATAGAAGTTAAGATATATTATTAAAATTCATTTCAAAATAAATTTTTTTTTTATTGTACCAATCAAAATTTAGAAGCAAAAAATTATAAAATACTTACATTTTTAAATTAATGTCATATTTTTGAAAAATTGAAACCGGTCTTTCATGAATAATAATTACAATTTTCCTGTTTTTATGTTTACCATCTTTGATTTAATGAGGCGATTATAAAAAAAAATCCCCTACAGTCTTTGAACAATTGTTGTATTCATGACAAATTAGATAAAAGGAAGGAAAAGAAAAAATATATTCTTTTAAATATTTCACTAGTGCAAACATTATGAAATTATTACTTCAAATAAGTGCTTCCTTTGTAATTTTCACGGAAATTTCGAGCAATACTACTCTTGTAAGTTAGAAAAATATTTATAACATATAATTACTGTCATTAATAATAAGTACAACCTTTTTTTTAAATATGTTATTGTGTAACATTTATTAAGTAATATTGGTTATTATCCAATGTTTTCTTCACATTTAAAACAAATTTTCAAAATCTCAATCTGTTCACAGCTTTCAATTATCCAATGTCCAATAAACATGCAACCTTTTTATGCTGATAAAAATTCCACTAGACAAATATGTGATTGTGAAGATACTTTTCTCTATCATCCTGAAGATGATTCATGTTACGATGCCTATAAACAAGGTCCATGTAATTCTGGACAATATTTTGTACTACCTTCAGGAGAAATGGTAGCAAAATGTATAAAAAATCCTTGTGATATAGATGGATTTGTTCACTATCAAGGAAAGTGTCACATTCTTTGGGAAAGGGGAATACCTTGCAAAGATCAATCGACTTACTTAGGAGTAAACGACAATTTTGAAATAGAATGCAATTCAAGAAAATATTTAGGAAATTGGAAAACATTGGTAATTTTAGTTTGCGATCGTTACAATAAAATATTTTACCTAATCATCATCTTTCAAAATTAATTCTTTAGTATTTGAAAAAAAATTAATTCATACCTTCTATAGGTGACGCTCGGTGATTAAAGATACCTTAGCTCCTAATTGTCACAACTTGCAAGCCTGTAACGCTAATTTAGATATTAGAAATATTAATTAAAATTATATTATTTCACAGCCCCGTGTTTAAATTACGTACTGTTATTTCCCTACACACTACTCTCCGGCATACGAGCCTCTCTCATGGGGAGATTCCGCTGAAACGATTGAGAAACACGACGACGACCTGATTTGAACTACCTGTTACCCTTATATATGCTACTCACTAAACACACCTTTGTTGAGATAATCCGCTGGAACGACGATGTGGCTGCGAATTGACCCCAAGGATTGAAGACACAAATAACTCACGATTTTAACTTGGTCGGTGAGAATCCGGAAATATCTGGGACTTCCTAATCCTTCATTGGACAACGAACCACCTATACTAAGGAAAACCGCTGACACGCACAATCACACACAAATACGAATAGATTTCCCTGTATGACATATCCGACGCTGATACCAAAGAATTCACGAAAAATATAAATATTCTTTAGAATATTTATTATAACGTATCCTTCGTTATAAGCCATAAAATTTCAATCAGTGATGTAATACAATCATGTGTTTTAATTAAGTTTTAACTTGAATTTAATTTAATCCAGCCAATTGCTTGACCAAAATACTGGAGTTATAAAAGCACCTTAATGAAATGTATTTGGAGTGAAATAGTGAAGTTCCTATTTTTTTACGAGTGAAATGGAAAATTTGCATAATCCTTGGTATGTAAAGCAGATATTTGGAGCCTGTAATCAAAACTTATGAGGATTCTTCTTTTTCAAGTCAACCCACTAAAAACCGCACCATTTGACTGGACTGATTCTCACACTACGAAACTAGCGCCAGGCTTTAAACTTCGTAGGTGAAGGTCCTTGGGATCTCGATTTCACGACTTTTCCATTGCCGATCTTTCTGGCCTATTTATTCTTCGTTCGTGCGAAAGTCTTCTTCGTTTCCTCGAAGGCTGATCAAAAGACTCTGCAAACTTCTGTACCGGCGACATGGTTGTTATTTGCTATATCGCCGTACTTCTCTTTGTATAAAATGCAGCTTAGGCTTCTCTTGCAGTCTGCGAACTTGTGATCAGCTTCACTACTACTAAAACGCGCAGCTGAGCTGTTCGCCGCCTTACAAGCTTATCCTATGTACCCATAATTAAGGCATCGATGACACCTACTCACCAAATACTCTTTTCTTTATCGGGCACAACGTAAAACCTATCTTTAAACGTCCTAAGTGATCAAGTCAGTACGCCTCTTCTTCGTCAGTGTCTATAACTGCAAGCTTCATCCCACGCTTGATCATTACCTTTCTGAGCACTTCTTGAAACCTTTGTTGTACTTGTTTCTGGGTAAGACAATCCAGTTTGCGAATCGTCAGTGTGATTTTTCGATATACCGTCAGAACCTTCCCCAAGCTTCCAACGTTTTGGTGACCTATGCAATCAAGGCCTCCTTGTCGGAATCTCCTCCGATTTTGATCAAGTCCTCCTTCCTTTAGACCTTGCATCCACGACCTGTGCGTGGCTGACATCTGGATTCACTTTCCTACGAAGTTTTGTCAGTACGTCGGCATACGTATTTCCAGTTACGACTCGGATCACCAGTGAAGATCCACTCGTTACCATCTTCTTTCTGGTTTGCTTAGGATTCGGTGATTCCGTCATTTTCGAAAATTTAGTGAAGTTTCTATTATCAGTATCCTATTATTATTCTCGAAAGAGCCTAAGTTTCACATACTTCGTGCTCGGTAAATTATATATCAGAGAGAGAAAGAAGTTACAACGGAAGAGAGAAGACAGAGCCGGAGTTTCACGAAGCTCAATGATACAGTGGGAATAGTAGTAAAATTAAAGTGAAAGAGCATGTTCAAATTCGATTTTTTGAGCTAAGGTACCTTATGTCGTAGAACACCACATACAGTGGGACCGTGTAATACCGACAGATTAGATTTGAGGTTAGGATTATTAATTAATAATTGAAACAGAAATAAATTTATTCCCACTGAAATATATATATACTACTGGAACAGGCACTGTCTACTCGTGGCTGTAAGAGGAAAACGATCCTGCGATAGACTGCGATTGGGGGGCTTGGTATCTTTCTTACTGCGTTTGTACGTAGGCGAAAAACGCGTGATTACATTGTACTAAGAGAGAGAAAGCGAGCCACCAACACTCTTCCGCAGGCTCGTTTTTAGCAGCGTAGTGCCTGTTCCATTAGTATATATATATATTTCAGTCAGCGTTTCTTATTAGTATTAATTTATTCTTAAATAATAAACCTTACCTAAAATTACCTAAAATTTTGCAGAAGGAATCGAAATCCTGTCCGGAGAATTCATATTTACTTTCAACAAACGATGAGCACACAAGTTACGTTTGTCAATGTAAATCAGAAAATGATTTTAATCTTCCTGAGGGTAGCATTGACATTAGAATCACATACAAGTTAGGAGGTGGTATTATAAAAGCACCTATCAAAGCTTGTCCTCCAGGAAGTCGTAGAATTTTCTCCGGAGAATGCAAACGAGAATTTGTTTAATTTATGATTTTTAGCATGCATAAGTGAAGAATTTTGAAGATTATAACTTATTAAAATCTCAAATTTTTATCAAAAACATTTTTGTTCCCAAATGTACTTGTATAAGAACATGAACGTGTTCATGTAGAATTACTTCTACATCAAGCTGCATAAGAATATGTACAATAACATGTACATTTTCTTCACTAGAACTGGTACAAGTTCAGCTGCTAAACTTGTAGTAAGAACATAACTGTGAATGCAGATTTTGGATTTACTTTAACAATGGATTAATTTCGGATTCAACAGAAGAAACGCATTCACTAGTTATGTATGATCAAACTAATTTCGGATATTTCCGAATTTACAATAATTTACATATTTAAAACAGACACCATTTAATTGACTCAAATAAAAATTATATTCATTTAATAATAGTGAAGTAACTAATTATTTGAATCAACTTCCTTTTTTTAAGTGTAAATAAATAATTAACATGATGTTATCAGTTAAGTTGTATTATGCCAATCAAATTTTAGAAGTAAAAAATTAATTACAAAATATTTTTGAAAAATTAAAACCGGTCTTTCATGAATAATGATTACAAATTTCCTGTTTTTTATATTTATCATCTTTGATTTAATGGCACGATTATAAAAAAAATCCCCTACAGTATTTTAACAAATTGCTTCATTCATGGCAAATTAGATAAAAAGAAGGAAAACAAATATATTCTTTAAAATCTTTTACTGATGTACGCATTATGAAATTACTACTTCAAATAAGTGCATCCTTTGTAATTTTCTGGGAAACTTTGAGCAATACTACTCCTGTAAGTTATAAACAAATTTTCTTTTCTTCAAGTTTCTTATTAACACGTAACAGTTACATAATTAAAAGTAATTTTAAAAACTTCAATCTGTTCACAGCTGTCAATTATTCAATGTCCAAAAAATATGCAACCTTTTTATGCTGATAAAAATTCCACTAGACAAATATGTGATTGTGAAGATACTTTTCTCTATCATCCTGAAGATGATTCATGTTACGATGCCTATAGACAAGGTCCATGTAATTCTGGACAATATTTTGTATTGTCTTCAGGAGAAATGGTAGCAAAATGTATAAAAAATCCTTGTGATATAGATGGATTTGTTCACTATCAAGGAAAGTGTCACATTCTTTGGGAAAGGGGAATACCTTGCAAAGATCAATCCAATGCCTTAGGAGTAAACGAAGATTTTGAAATAGAATGCAATTTAAGGGGATATAAAGGATTCTGGAAAGAAAAGGTAATTTTAACTTGCGATCGTTAGGTGCAATTAAATATTTTATATAATCAGTATAGATATGGATGTTCAGAAAATTGTACAAACTTCCTAATCATATTCCATGGTCTACTGAAAATTAAATCCTTATGACTTCTGTAGAATTTTTGTAATATGCAATTGGATATTTTGACATAAGTTAGACTGTCAACAGAAAACTGCTGTTTCACTATTGGAATGCTGCCGTTTTAGGATTGTGATACAGAGAAGTTCGCTTAAACGGTAGCATTCCTATACTGTAACAGCAGTTTTCTGTTGTCAGTGTAAGGGTGCAGTCCCATGTGGGTAGAATAGTGGAATAAATGTCGACCAATGAGATGAGTCTAGGGGAATTGGACTTAAGGTGTTAAAATGTGAATATCGTTTTGAAATCTATGTGTTTGATGGTTCGTGATAGTGAAATCATTTATTAAGAAAAATGACTTTTTATCATTAAAACTTAAAAATTTAATAGTAATATAATTTGAAAAAAATGTTCTATTTTTTTAATGTACGTTTAAAATAACATTTAAAAAAAAGAAAATTTAAAAATTGATGAATCTTTTAGGAAGTTATGAGCATTCAAATATTAAAAGCCATGAAAATTCTCCAATTTTCAAAATTGCATAACTCGAAAACGGCTTGTTAAAAAAATTTGAAAAAATTCATGAAAGCTAGTCTCAATTAGTAATAAAATAAAAAAAACGGAGATGCAATTGTAGATAGAACGTCACTTTGGCGTGGAACACATCATATACCTACAAAAATATTTAATGAAAATTCAAAGATTTTATACATAGTGTTGAAAATAACCTCAAATTTTATATTTATTTATTATATAAATTAAATAAATTTATATAATAATTTATATAAAATATTATACATTTATTTATTATATAAAGTGATTTTTTATTATAAAAGAATTATTAATGAGTTAGTTTCATACCTATTATGTCATATAGTTTAAATACACAGGCACACAAAAAATAAAAAGTTGTTTGGCCGAGACACTACACTAGTCTATTTTCATGTATTTTTTCACGCTGAATCCGAATCCGAAGTCAGAATTATCAGATTGGCTCTTATTTTTGAGATAAACTCAAAAAAGTGCTCAGAAAGAAAAATAAAATCAAAAAGTTAAAAAAAATTTTAATGTCACTGCCATAGTGTAATTCCATGTATTTTTTGTCACTGAATCCGAATCCAAAGTCAGAATTGTTAGATTCGCTCAAATTTTTGAGATAATTGCAGAAAAACGCAAGTAACAAAAAACTCAAAATACTCAAAATCAGTTTTTTGGAATTATCTTCAAAATTTCAGCCAATCTGTCAATTCTGACTTCGAATTCGGATTCAGCGTGAAAAAATACATGAAAATGCACTATAGTAATGTTTCGGCAAAAAAAATTTCTTTGAGCTAAAATCGCCAAAAACTGATAAAAATTCTGAATTAGGGGCACAGATAATTTTTTTTGCCGAAACACTACGATAGTGCATTTTCATGTATTTTTTCACGCTGAATCCGAATTCGAAGTCAGAATTGACAGATTGGCTGAAATTTTGAACATAATTCCAAAAAACTGATTTTGAGTATTTTGAGCTTTTTGTTACTTGTGTTTTTTTGCAATTATCTCAAAAATTTGAGCGAATCTAACAATTCTGACTTTGGATTCGGATTCAGCGACAAAAAATACATGGAATTACATTATCGCAGTGACATTCAAAAATTTTTTAACTTTTTGATTTTATTTTTCTTTCTGAGCAGTTTTTTGAATTTATCTCAAAAATAAGAGCCAATCTGATAATTCTGACTTCGGATTCGGATTCAGCGTGAAAAAATACATGAAAATAGACTAGTGTAGTGTCTCGGCCAAACAACTTTTTATTTTTTGTGTGCCTGTGATATTATTATTATTATAAATATACGTTAAATGTATTGTACTTTGTTATTATTTTGTCTATTCCACTATTCTACCAAAATCAAAAAGCGCGTGTCCCATGTGGTAGAATAGAAATAGTGGAATAGTTGAATTGCTGTTATGCAGCCAATAATAAGCTGCATTTCCACTAGATCCCAATCTTACAATTACCACGATTCGCTTTTTCTGTTCCTCTATTCCACTATTCTACCAGCTGGGACATAGATACCCTAAATTTGGTAGAATAGGTAATTGGACATTTTTTTAAAAAATTAAAAAAATTATTAAGTTTACAAATCACTCAACCGATTTTATGAATATTTTAATTTTATATTTATTGTTTTGTGTTGTACTTATTATGTATTTATTTAATTATTGTTTTAATTATTGATTATTCTTCAATTGATTGAGTCCAAGTTATATATATGTATATATTTATTAAGAATTTAATTTGTATAGAATGTGGTAATTTTTTAATTTTGAAAAATAAATTTAACATCAGTATTGTCCAAATTTAATTTTTGAGTAAACAAAATTAACACCAAAATTTTTTATTTAAAACTTTTAGTTGGTAGTAGGGATATTAAAGTTGTATATTTAAATATGTTATTTACATATATTTCAATTCCGCAAAATTCTTTACCTCTAAAAATTATGTGCATCACTCACACATAGTTAAAAATACATTTTAGTAATTGTCATTGAATTGTTTGTTCATTTTTCTTAATAAATGATTTCACTATCACGAACCATCAAACACATAGATTTCAAAACGATATTCACATTTTAACACCTTAAGTCCAATTCCCCTAGATTCATCTCATTGGTCGACATTTATTCCACTATTCTACTATTCCACTATTCTACCCACATGGGACTGCACCCTAACTTATGCCAAAATAACATGGTTTTACCGCTAAAACGAAAGCTTTTTCCTCTCAATGTACGAAGGAAGTAAAAAATCTGCATATATCCAAGGCAGACACCTGGAGCCAGGTGCTCTGAAGTTGGGTAGGAATTGCCGTTCTGGTTCTGGTCAACCTACTAAATATCACACCTGTGTGTGGACTAATCCTAAAACTACGGAACTGCCATCAGGTTTTAAACTTCGTAGGTGAAGGTCCCTGGGATTTCGATTTCGTGACTTGCTTATCTTTCTGGCCTATTTATTCTTCGTTCGTGCGAGAGTCTTCTTCGTTTTCTCGAGGGCTGGTCGGAAGACACTGTAAACTCCTGTACCGCGGCGACATAGTTGTTATTCGCCATATCGCCGTAATTCTCTTTGCATATAAAAAGCAGTTTAGTCTTCTGTTACAGTCTGCGAACTTGTGATCAGCTTCACCGCTACTAAAACACGCTGCTGATCTGTACGCCGCGTTACAAGCTTATTCTATGTGCCCATAATCAAGTCATCGATGACATAAACTATACTCTTTTTTTTATTGGGCTTGACGTTAAACCTATCTTTATGCGCCCCAAATGATCCAGTCTGTCCGCCTCTTCTTGGTAAGTGACTACAACTGCGAGCTTCATCCCACGCTTGTTTGGTCCTCTAAGACCATCACCTTCCCGCTTTCTAGCTTTCCGAGCGCTTTTTGCAACTTTTGTTGCACTTCTCCCTCTTCTTGATTTACATCAACATGTAAACACATCTTAAGACAATCCAGGTTGCGAATCGTCAGTGTGATCCTTCGATACACACTCAGCACCCTCCTCATGCTTCTAACCGTTTTGGTGACCTATGTAATCCTTGTTAGAATCTCCTCCGATTTTGATCAAGTCTACCTTTCTCGTAGGCCTTCCAACCGTGACCCGCGTGTGGCTGATATCCGGATTCAATTTCCTACGAAGTTTACTCAGTTTTTTGGTATTCGTATTTCCAGTTGCGACTCGGATCACCAGTGTAGATCCACTTGTTGCCATCTTCTTTCTGGTTTGCTTAGGAATCAGTGCTTCCGTCACTTTCGAAAATTTATTGAAGTTCCTATTATCAGTAACTTATTATTTCGTGCATGGTGAATTGCATATCAGAAAGAGAAAGAAGTTAGAACGGAAAAGAAAAGACAGAGCCGAAGTTGCACCAAACTCAATGATGCAATGGGTATGGTAGTAATAATAAAGTGGAAGAGCATGCTTAAAATCTATTTTTTGAGCTAAGGTACCTTATGTCATGAAACATCACATACAATGAGACCATTTAATACCGGCACATTAAATTTGAGGTTAGGATTATTACTTAATTATTGAAACAAAAATTAATTTGTAATTATTAGCGTTCCTAATTAGTATTAATTAATTCTTAATTTATTCCTAAATAAAATACTTTAACTGTCTTACATTATACTTGAAATTTTTTCAGATGGAGTCGAAATCTTGTCCCGAGAATTCATATTTATTTTCAACAAACGATGAGCACACGAGTTACGTTTGTGAATGTAAAACAAATTTCATATATTTTGAAAATAATAATACTTGTCAGCCATTTTGTATTCAAAGTTTTTGTCCTTCAATAAATAACGTACACCTTAAAATAGATTACAATTATGGAAGTGGTATTATAAAAGCACCTTTCAAAGTTTGTGCTCCAGGAAGTCGTAGAATCTTCTCCGGAGAATGTAAACGTGAATTTTTTTATGTTACACAAGGTGTGCATTTTTAGTTAAAAAAAATTATATAAACCATTATTAATATGTAATATTAATAAATCATAATTTATTTAAAATAAACTTGTAATGGCCTCCGCTTTTAGATTTTTATTTTTTAAGGACTCAACCATAAACTTTGATAATGTTAACTTTTGCAAATATTAAATATTTACTGTACAACCCTAGACTTTAATAAAATGAGGACATGATCAGTGCAAGTACAAAGATTGCGATTTTCAGTATAAAGTTAATTTTATTAGATATTAAAAAATAAAGAATTAATGTTTTTATGAAAGAAAAAAGGTTTTTTTAGAAAAAATTATGTTTCTTTTTGTTAAATTAAAGTGTGGCTATTCGTAATTGAAGTTATATTATTTTTGTCATTAAAATACATCCAGGATTGAATTGAGATAATTTATAAATATGCATATATGTATTCATTGCATTATACAAATGCAAAATATATGTAGCAACATGAAAATAAATATATGTGCATTTTGGGTGGATGAATCAACTAGTTTTCCTTGAAATCCAGTGATTTCCCCTTCCTTCTTAAAGATTCTATATGCTATAATATGTCAATTATCTTGCAAACTTTTTCTTTTGAGTTGCATTCGTTGTTCGAAAAAATAAAAGGCGCTAAAAATTTTTTATTCTTCTGAATATTTAAAAGAAATTTTTGTATTTTCTAAAGTGATTAAAACATGAAATTATTATTGTTTCTTTGTGTCTTTTATCATATTTCATGGACAGTAGTATCCAGACGTGGTTTTTTTATTGTGAGTAATTTTTAAAAAGTATAACAATTTTCTTTTATTTTTATAAATAAAATTATTTTCAAAATTTCAGTAATTAATAAAAGTCGCTTGCGAAGGATTAATACCTGGCAAGAGATTTTGTTGATGCACACGAGCTGCAGATTTCAAAAAATGATAACTAGCATTACTTTTTTTTAATTAACAGTTTTCGTTAATAACGGTGGTTCTCGAATAGTTTCAACTATGATTTTTTTCCACACCTCTAATTTTTTGGGGGAATGATAAGGGACTGACTCAGAATCATTTTCCAAGAAAAATTAAAATCGCAGACAGCATTATTTTATTGTGATTGTTCTACTTATTTTATAGCATACGTTTTTCTTTTTGAAACTATTACGCTTTTCATTCTCAATTTACTCAATATGTTATTAAAAATGTTTTTTTCCGAAATATATTACACAAAATAAATCGAATAAAGGAAATTTCATTTTAAAAATATTTTATTGACTTATAATTAAACAGATGTGTAGGCTTGCTATAAACTTAAAATGTGATGCTTCTACTTTAAACTTATATTTTGATTTTCCTCACCTCTTCCCCATCTATGTCTCTTGTCACTTTTCTAAATTTAAATCTATTTACAACACACGATTGTAATAATATAATAGCAATATGATAAAACTATTTTACTTTGTTTTTAGAAAAATGCAGCACCTTGTCCACAAAATATGGCTCGCTACATTGATGAAACGAATCATTCCATCACATTTTGCGACTGCAAAGAAACATTTTTATATTTTCCTGAAAATGATTTTTGTTACGATTCTTATAGGCAAGGTCCTTGTCCTTCTGAACAGTATCTAACACTTGCTCCAGGGGAAAATGTTGCAAAATGCGAAAAAAATCCTTGCTTATTAGATGGTCTTGTTCCATTCGATGATAACTGTTACTTCCTCTGGAAATCTGAATTGCCTTGTGAAAAAATGTTTCATAAATTAATAGTTAACACAAGTACATTTAAAATAGAATGCAATCAAGGAAGTTATAATGGCGATTATTCAACTTTGGTAATTTTTTAAAAATTTTAAATTCCTGTTATATTTAACTAAATGTGATTGTTAGGTCCAAAATTTTGAATTTTATCAAGAACTATATTCTTAATATATCAAATGGTTTGATCTGAGAATTTATGAACATCAATCCATAAAATATTTTAAGAATAAAGTTCCTGACAAAATTAACATTGTACACCTAACAATTATTATTCAAATCTATTAACACACAAAAAATTGTTCTTTATCTTCCAGAAAGAATCAAAATCATGTTCCAAAAATTCAATACTTTCTTCCGTAGATGAAAACGAAACAAAATGGAGATGTGAATGCAAACCGGGATTTCTTCGTGATGTAAAAAATAATTCTTGCCATGAAGCATATAGACAAGGTCCTTGTCCTCCAGAACATTTCTTTATCCTTCCTCCGGGAGAGAAAGAAGCGAGATGTGAAAAGAATCCCTGTCTTGAAGATTCTCTTGTTCCTTTTGAAGAGGGCTGTTATACTCTTTTTAACTTTGGATCACCTTGTTCTAGTTCTTATTATTATTTGGGTATTGATGAAAATAATTTTCAATTAAAATGTATTTATTCAAGTCGTTATCATTCTGGAGGTCACCATGCTGGCGGTATCATTACTGCACCTCTCAAATCTTGTCCTCCAGGAAGTCGACGTGTAATACATGGTTGTAAACACGTTTTTCAATAAAAAAAAAAACTAGTCACGTTTTAAATTTTTATTGTCTGTTCATAAAATCTCAATTCACTGCAAACAATAATTTCACACAAGCAGGAATAATGAGATTAGTGATTACATTGTGTGTGCTTCAACTAGCCGCAGATATGAAAATGTATCAAGAAACGGCTGACGGGGAATTGTTCTAAATATCCTACAGATTCCAAATTTTTAAGATTTGAAATCCTAGCTGCTCCCCTTTCTGAGATTATAATGTGAAAGCTAAATATTTGCCATGAAAAGGCGAAAGAAGCAACCAACTCAAAAAAATTACGAAATAAGACGCATCAGCTCGTATTATAGACAGAATATACGAAACGCAAACAGTGATAACATTCGTATAACCTCAAATTTTCTGCCAATTTTCAGGTTTTTTTCTGCGTGTCAATTACTGTATTAAAAATAATGCATTTAGAGGTTAGAATGCCCGTAGTAAATGAAGCTAGTAAAAAACGAAAAATATTTCAATTACCGCGGCAGATAAAATTTCTTCTTAAATAATTAAATTATAATAATTGTTTAATCGTGTATCGTAAATATATAATTGCATTAAAGAAGTCCGAAATAACGTATCCCAATCATTTTGAAACATTTATATCAACTTAAATTATAAACAATTAATTATTATTTTTTAAAACCCGCAGTCATTTTTTTCAAAATATAAAAATTTGAGGTTATAAAAATGTAAACAAAAGCGACGAAACTTTGGCTTGAACTACTATAACCGATAAAACTATTAAAAATTCTTTGACAAACTTAATTCATATTAACAATAAGCATTATTCAATTAAAAAATGTTAAATATTATTGTAATTATACATATCTTTTATTGGATAAAATAATAAGTGTTGCAGCTTAATTTAATGCCTTTTAATTTTCTGTGTTGTCCTCACTCGCCAAAGTTCCCACTCGCCATTTGTCATATAATGCTCGTCAACTACCGTACCCTGCTCTAGTAAAAATTTAGTGACTTTATGAAAATTAAAAGTTACCTTGTTATATGCATTATGTAGAAAAACCATATGTTGATTCAAAATCTTTTTTTAAATAATTTTTTTAAACATTTTAATGTTTTTTCTTTCTGCTAAGACGAAGAGTATGAAAGGGAAAATAAAGTTTTGTAGTACCTGCGGACTTTTTAGCTAATACTATTGTTTTATAGTAAAATAACTTGGATTTTCAGAAAAATTATTTCGTAAATTTAGATTAGGAAATTTTTCATTCGGAACATTATCTTTATTCGAAAAATTATAATTGCGGAAAATTTTATAAATATTGCTTTCTTTTATTAAAAAAACACTAGTTTAGCTTAATAATGTAATAATTTAATATTTTACATATTTAATTATAAATGCATCTTATCATTTTTCATAATTTCCAAATGAAATTAATAAAAACTAAAGCCAAAGATAAAATATTTTACATACCTATATTTATTCCATTTGATTGAACAAAATGAAATTTATTAGTACAGTTGTTCTATTAATAAATATATAGTTCTCATTAACATAATAAAATGAACGGATTTCCTTATAAACTATATAATATATGTATAAGATACTTTATTAGAAGACGCAAATGTTTTTATTTCATTCAAGAATTCAAAGAATAATGTATTTAAATTAAAAATTTATTGAAGTTTTCACACCTATTTCAACATCAATTGTTGAATATATTAAATTAATTTTAATAATCACTGGATTATCTCTAAATATAAAAAAAATAAAATTTTTTTAAATTAACATTACAATAAATAATTATCTTTAAAAAGTAAACAAAAAAATGAAGTTTTATAAAAAAGCAAGCATTTTGATTCAAATATAATTTTTAAAAAAAATTATTCAATTTAAAGAGTATATAATAGTTTGTACAGAATTATAATTTTCTCTTTTAAAATAAACACATTTTGAAAAATTTTAGAGAACTAAAATTTGGATTTTATAAATAAATATTTATTAGGAAAGAGTTATACTATATTGTACATTATTGTTATTTTCAATTATTTTATAATATATTAGTAATTTCTATACAGCGGACCATCTGGAATCGGCATTCTTGATGAACAATAATAATAAGATACATCATCTATTACAACTTCATCTAAACAATAGCCTAAGAAAGAAAGAAAATTAATTTAAATAATAATAATTATCTAAAATTAAAGAAATTAATTTTCAATAATCATTTTTTACTCCTAGTGTAATGAAAATAAGTTTTTGAAATTATTAGAAAACAAAATTTTTTTGTTATCGTTATTCACAATTAATATTATTTATATCAAATTATTAATTTTTTTCTTTAAACACTTGTTTCAAAAATTTTCTAAATTCATGATGAATTTCTTTGTATGAAAAATTTTCTATTTTAAAAATGTTCACAAAAAAGGCAGCCTCCAGTTGACTGGATTTTAAATTGATAAAACTTTAAATTTAACAAGAAAATGTTTTTTTGTAATAATTTCAGAAACTTATTTTGATCACATTAAAAGTAAAAAAAAAAAAAAAAATTTTACATTAATAATTAATTAATTTTTGAAAATTTTAGACGATGCGTTTGAGAAATTTTAATCCAATAATTAAAATTAAATTTTGAATTTTATAGTTTTATTATTTTAAAAATTTGACTTACTTGCACCATGAACAATTCTATCGAAAAATTCTACACTCCTATATCCAGTACAAATGAAATAATTTGCCAAAAATTCAGAAGGCTGCGTACAATATACTGAAATTTACAAAAATAATAATTTAAATTTAAATTAACATAAAATAGAGCTTTTGATAACAGTATAGTATTACTCGTATTATACGACTTTTTTCAAAAATACGACTTTTATCGACTTATTTTAATAAAATGAGACATTTTTTTTACATTTGAAAAAAAATGTAAATAAAATACATTTTTTTAGTATAAAATGTAGATCTTCTTCAGATCTTCTTCAATTCAATTATTTAACAAATTTTGAACTAAAATGATTCTTCACTAAATTAATTATTTTTAATAATTTTAATGAAATACATCACAAATTCAATTAAAATTTTTATGAAATTTAACAATTGTTTATAATTTTAAAAAAAAATTTCACAATAAAATTAAATTATTTTTTAAAAATTTCAATTCAAAATAAACTAAAATTCAATTATTACCCGAAATTTTTATTCAAAATCAATTAAAAATCCAATAATTATCCAAAATTTTCAATTTAAAATTTAATTATTTACCAAGTTTTCAATTTAAAATGCAATAAAATTCAATTATTTTCTAAAATTTCTATTCAAAATTAATTATCCAAATTTTCAATCAAAAATGAACTTAAATTAAATTATTATTCAAAATTTCAATTGAAATTCAATTATTTTCTAAAATTCCAATTCAAAATCAACTAAAATTCAATTCTATTCGAAAATTTTAATTCTAAATTAATTAAAATTCAATTTTTTTCAAAAATTTCAATTCAAAATCAACTAAAATTCAATTATTTTCCAAATTTAAATTCAAAATCAACTAAAAGTTAACTAAAACACAATTATTTTTCAAAATTTTAATTGAAATTCAAATATTTTCAAAAATTTCAATTCAAAATATACTAAAGTTCTATTATTTTCAAAAATTTCAATTCAAAATCAACTAAAATTCAATTGTTTTCTAAATTTAAATTCAAAATGAACTAAAATTTAACTAAAATAAAATTATTTTCCAAAATTTTAATTGAAATTCAATTATTTAAAAAATTTTCAATTTAAAATCAATCAATTACTTTCAATTGAAAATGAACTGAAATTCAATTATTTTCCAAATTTAAAATCAAATAAAATTTCATTATTCTCAAAAATTTGAATTCAAAATTAATTGAATTTTCAATAATTTGAATTTAAAAGCATCTAAAATTTAATTATTTCTAAAATTTTCCATCGAAAATTTTTTTTTTGAAATTTAATAATTTCAATTATAACTCTAAGGAAATTCAATTATTTTTTAACTATTTTAATAATATTCTTTGAAAATTCAACTATCTGAAACCATTTTTCAATTAAAAATGATTTTCAAATTATTGTATTTTGTCCACATTTTCTAATAAATTTTTAGTGAAATCATCTAAAATTTTAATTAAAAATCACTTAAAGTTTCAATTAATTTCAAAAATCTCAATTTTAAATCTTTGAAAATTCAATTAAATTTAAAAAATGTTTTCCAAAAATTGTTTGATAAATTATTTTTAGTTCTGTAAAATTTAATAATTGTTTGAAAATTAACAATATCTTTTGAAATTTAATTATTTCTAGAAATTTCAACTTTAACCCTTCGAAAAGGATTATTATTAAAAAAAAAATTTTTTATTTAAAAATCTGTAAAATATTTTTGTTAAAATAAAAAACAAATCCACTTTTTTTGGAATATAAATCGACTGAAACGACTTTTTGTGTCTTTAAGTTGATTCGAGGCCTGTGTTTTTATAATTAATATTTAATAGGTATTCGTTGGCCCCTGGTACCTTAAAAATAAATTTTTAAAAATAAATTTTTTTCAAATTACTATCTTGTACGAAATTTCCTGGCGCATCTTTTTTGCTCATCATAAATTTTTTGTATTTGTATACAATTTTTGAATCAATATACAACTTTAAAAAAAATTTCGTTGGTAAAGGTTGTGTACTTCAGCTTCGTGAATTGAATTTTGGAATTTGGAATTTTAAAGAAACTTATTCCGAAATTTGGAAACACAATTATACAACTTTGGCAAAAATGAGAAAAAGAATTGTCAAAATTTGACACGTCATAAGATTACTATTCAAAAAAATACGTGAAATCAGAAAAGGCCAACTTCAAGTTAGGACAGAAGAACAGACCAAGCATTTTATTATTATATAATTAATACGGTCAATTACAAAAAAAACAAAGTATAGTAATAATTAATTATTTTTTTCACTTTCAAAAAAATTAAATTTATAAAATTATGGTTTTGAATAAAAAAAAAAATTCAACTTACAAGCTGCTTCTGTTTCATTACTAAATTGTCTGGTATTGAGACCTTCACCCTTATAAACAATTAAGCAGATGAAGAAAAGTATTAAGAAACGCATGTTATCAGTTTTATATATATATATATATTGATTTTTGTATAATTAAATAAATTTTTGTATTTATATAAAATTTATTAACTAAATCAATTTTTTACAAAATTGTAAATTAAAATCTTTTTTTGCAAAAGTTTTTTTTTTCTTAGCACATGTCTCAATCATCCTTTTATATTAGTTGATTGGCATAAAAAACAATTTAACCCATTGTCAATAACATCTGTTTAAACAGAATAAGTTACATAAAAAATTGTTAATGAAAATCAAAATTCCCCATTTTAATTATAAGTTTTTTTTTATAGGACAATTCTCATTTGTGTATTCAAAGTTTAAGTTTAATTAATAAATCATTTTTAATCTATAGATTGAATATTTATATCATACATATTATTTCGTAGAAACACTATTTTAATGAGTTTTGAATGAATATTAATTCAGTAACTTTGTTCTCTCCTCTATGGTAGAGACGACAATTTTTTGTACAATATTTACTAGCTGTTCATTACAACTATATATAGAAGACGAAAAATAACTGTACTCTGTATGAAATTTGTTCGATTTTTCTTATTCTTAAATTTTTTATTAGATGCGTGTAAAGTAAAAAATAACAAAAAATAATAATTTTGATCAACAAAATTTATATGTAACAGAATTTTCACAGATATTTATTTCAAAGAATTTATGATTAATGAAATTTTTATTTAATTGAATTTTTGTATTGATTTAATTTTACTTATCTGAATTTTTATTTAATCGAATTTTGACTTATCTTAATTCTTATTCAGCACAACTTTTATTTAGCCAAATTTTTATTTCAACTAATTTTCAATTAATAGATAGAAATAATCTTAAATAAAAACTCTATACGAAATGAAAATTCGATTGAATCAGACTTCGGATCAACTTTAAGGCACAAAAAAATAGTTTTCGTCGTATTACATTACAAAAAAAGTTGAAAAAGTCGATTTTATAATTCTTAATACATTTAATATTTTTATTAAGTATTTTTAGATTTAAAAAAAAATTCAGGTTTCTTTTTTCTTAAAAATTTTATGGAAACTTTTTTAATTCAAATTTTCAATACAATTTCCGAGTTAAAATCGCCTTAAACTTTCAGTCTTTTTTTTAAAAAAATTATATAACGTCAATTCTTCATAAATTGAGTCAAATAATTTAAAAAAGTTTTAAAATAATTAAATTTTCAAAAATTATACAAAAATAAATTTTATGTATTACTTTATCATATAAAAACTCAATAACAAACCAAATATTTGTGATAAATAAAATAGAATTCTTTATTAATAATAATTCATGAAAATATTCTTAAAAAAATGTTATTTAGAATTTTTCAGAATTTAACTGAGAAAAATTTTCATGATCTTTAGATTAAAAAGAAAATTCATGATTCTTTTTTCTGAACTATTCTTAAGTTTTATTTATTTGTTTATTTATTTAAAGTAAATTTATAGAAATTTTTTTCAGATTTTCAATGAAATTTTTGAGTTGAAATTGTCACAAACTAAAAATTAGTTTTATAAAAATTTATACTTAAGATCAATTATTACTGGTAAATTGTTGAGTCAAATAATGAAAATAATTTTTAAGTTAGAAGAATTTTCAAGAAATTCAATAAATAAATCGATTAGTTATTTTTTACTCTATAAAAACCGAAATAAATCTCATTTTATCTGAAAAAAAGTCGCATTCATTGAAAAAAGTTGAAAAAGTCGTACAATTTGAGGCCAGTTGAATTAGTATCAATTTATTAATTCCACTCTATAAACTTTCGCTGAATAAAAATTAGTTCAATTATAAGATTCGTTCCACTGGAAATTTGTACTACATAATGAAATTACTGAAATAATGAACCGTATTATGTAAGAGAACATTTTTGACCAATAGAGATTAAAATTTAAAAACTTCATGTTGATTTCAACTTTAAGCACTAAATTTAAAACAAAAAAGTTGTAATGTCAACTTAGAAACTTGAGATTTTCTCGATTCAAATAAAGGAAATTAAATTTTCAGAACTATATTTCATAAAATTCTCTGCCATTTCCAGGTTATTAAGGTTTTCCATGACTAAAAAAAATTTCCATGCCAATTTCAGGTTTTCCAAATCTATGTCAACCCTGTTTCTCCTTGTCAAAGAATTTCAGAGACCTTTCGACACCCTTAAATTAAATTTTGATTTAGTATTTTAAAAATTTTTAAAATTAGTTTTTTAAAAAATTTTTTTCAAGCTCACCGTGAGGGGTTTTTAACAAGGAACAATTATATAATAATAAAATGCTTGGTCTGTTCTTCTGTCCTAACTTGAAGTTGGCCTTTTCTGATTTCACGTATTTTTTTGAATAGTAATCTTATGACGTGTCAAATTTTGACAATTCTTTTTCTCATTTTTGCCAAAGTTGTATAATTGTGTTTCCAAATTTCGGAATAAGTTTCTTTAAAATTCCAAATTCCAAAATTCAATTCACGAAGCTGAAGTACACAACCTTTACCAACGAAATTTTTTTTAAAGTTGTATATTGATTCAAAAATTGTATACAAATACAAAAAATTTATGATGAGCAAAAAAGATGCGCCAGGAAATTTCGTACAAGATAGTAATTTGAAAAAAATTTATTTTTAAAAATTTATTTTTAAGGTACCAGGGGCCAACGAATACCTATTAAATATTAATTATAAAAACACAGGCCTCGAATCAACTTAAAGACACAAAAAGTCGTTTCAGTCGATTTATATTCCAAAAAAAGTGGATTTGTTTTTTATTTTAACAAAAATATTTTACAGATTTTTAAATAAAAAATTTTTTTTTTAATAATAATCCTTTTCGAAGGATTAAAGTTGAAATTTCTAGAAATAATTAAATTTCAAAAGATATTGTTAATTTTCAAACAATTATTAAATTTTACAGAACTAAAAATAATTTATCAAACAATTTTTGGAAAACATTTTTTAAATTTAATTGAATTTTCAAAGATTTAAAATTGAGATTTTTGAAATTAATTGAAACTTTAAGTTTAAAAAAATTTTAGATGATTTCACTAAAAATTTATTAGAAAATGCGGACAAAATACAAGAATTTGAAAATCATTTTTAATTGAAAAATGGTTTCAGATAGTTGAAATTTCAAAGAATATTATTAACATAGTTAAAAATAACTGAATTTCCTTAGAGTTATAATTGAAATTATTAAATTTCAAAAAAAAAAAATTTTCGATGGAAAATTTTAGAAATAATTAAATTTTAGATGCTTTTAAATTCAAATTATTGAAAATTCAATTAATTTTGAATTCAAATTTTTGAGAATAATTAAATATTATTTGATTTTAAATTTGGAAAATAATTGAATTTCAGTTCATTTTCAATTGAAAGTAATTGATTTATTTTAAATTGAAAATTTTTTAAATAATTAAATTTCAATTAAAATTTTGGAAAATAATTTTATTTTAGTTAAATTTTAGTTGATTTTGAATTTAAATTTAGAAAACAATTGAATTTTAGTTGATTTTGAATTGAAATTTTTGAAAATAATTGAATTTTAGTTTATTTTGAATCGAAATTTTTAAAAAATAATTCAATTTTATTGTGATATATTTTTTTAAATTATAAACAATTGTTAAATTTCATAAAAAATTGAATTGAAAAATAATTTTGATATAATTGAATTTGTGATGTATTTCATTAAAATTATTAAAAATAATTAATTTAGTGAAGAATCATTTTAGTTCAAAATTTGTTAAATAATTGAATTGAAGAAGATCTGAAGAAGATCTACATTTTATACTAAAAAATGTATTTTATTTACATTTTTTTTCAAATGTAAAAAAAATGTCGCATTTTATTAAAATAAGTTGATAAAAGTCGTATTTTTGAAAAAAGTCGGAAAAATTCGTATAATCCGAGGCCTGGAAACATATAATTTTTATTATTATCATTTAATATGTAATAATCTTCTAATAAATTAAATTATTATTGATAATATTAATCTTTAATTTCTTTATAACAAACAATTAAATACTCAATTTGACGCGCTTGCGCGCGTTTAATTTTGCTAGTTCTTAAATAAAATTCAGTGGAAAAACCAATATTTAAAATAGTATTAAAAAAAATAAATGACCTTCAAATAAAAAATATAATTACTTTTATTTTTTTTAAATTACAGTAACTAAGAAAACAATTGATAATAAACATTCTAGTTTTATTAGTAAAATCCAATGTTTACAAAAAATAAAACTAAATTTTCATACATTATAGAAACTTTGAGGTGATTATACAAATAAAAATTAAAAGTTAATCAATAATTGACATCTTAACTGCTCATGATTAGTTTTAATTAAAAACCTAATATTCGACTAACTTTTAATCAAAATTTATAACTCTCGCTTGATGAGTTCTAAGCAATACTTATTAAAAGAATAAGTTAAAGAATAAAGATTAAATTTCTTATTCCTAATAAGTCTTCAACAGTCTCTCCACTTTATAAAATAATTTGTTTTAACAAATTTAATATTTTTTTTTAGGTATCTGAAAATTAGTTAATGAGTTTTACACAACTGATCACAAAAACTATTTAAACAATTAGGTTTTAAGATTGTAAAACAAATTTTTTGTACAAGTTAAGACTTTGACAAGAATAAGTAAAACAACTCATAATAAAAAGAACATTTTTTTTTAAGTTTATGTAAACTTAGTACAAAATAGCAGATTGAAATATTTTTTTAAAAGTATTTCTTTACAAAGAAAAATATTTTTTAAATTAAAAAATAAACTTTTTTTATGTTTAATCTAATAGTCATTAACAATTGTTAAATCCTTTTAAAAACTTCAAAATTTTTGTTTAAATATAAATTTACATGCAAAAAAAAATTGTAATTTATTAATTATAAATCTAAAAATGTTATTTCTTCGTAACAAAGCCAAGATCTCTGGGTGTCATATACTCTTTTACAATTTCGTCTGTTACTTTTGTTCTATTTTCCTGATGAGCGCCTACAAGTTTTTGCAAAACTTCAATTAATTCCTTTTTCAATTCACCAGTCAAGATTTCTCCAGACGTATATCCCTGAAAAAGAAAAAATAATTAATTTAAATCGATTATTCTTTAGATATAGATTGAAATTTTGTTAATTTGGAGTATCAATCAATTAAATTTTCATTTTATTCAAATTTTAATTAATGAATTTGTTTTGACAAATAAAAAATAGAATTGACTGAAAGTTGGATGACATGAAATTTAAATTTAGATTGAATTAAAATTTGAATCGATTAAAATTTAATTAAATTATAATTTTAATGAAATAAATATTAAATCAACTAATATATACTTATTTGGACTTTATATTACAACAATTTAATTGTTATAAATAAGGGGAAATTATATTGTAAAACTTAAAAAGTGTACAATGAAGAAATAAAATCTAATCTTATCTAATCTATTAAACCAACTAAAACTGGAATTTAATAAAATGTAATTAAATTGTAATTTGTATCAATTAAATATTGAACTGATTAAAATTTGGATAAATTAAATTTTGAAAGGATTAATTAATAAACAGATTAGAATTATTAGAATAAATTTAAATTTAGATCGATTACAATTTTAATCAATAAATTCTTCAACTAATTTAAATTTAGATTTATTGAAATTTGATCCAGGTAAATAATTTGTAAATCGTTAAAAATTTTGATAAATTCAAGCTTAGGTCAATTAAATCATCAATTTTTTAATTCAATTTAAATTTTTTTCATTATTAATGCAGGCTATGGATCGACTTTAAGGTACAAAAAAAACCGATTTTTTAATTTTAATCAAATTTATGTAGTTAAGATAACATTTTTTAAAAGTAATTGAATTTTTAAAAATTTAGAATTCAGATTTTTGAAAATAATTGAACTTCAAGTGATTTTTAATTAAAATTTTTGGTGATTTCTGTTGATGAAGTATTTATTAGAAATTATAGAAAAAAATTGAATTTCAAAAGTTTTTAACTGTGAAATGTTTCCAAATAATTGAATTTTTGAAGAATATTATAAAAAATTATTTCAAATCATTAAATTTTGGAAAAAGTTTTAATTGAAATTTTTAGAAATAATTAAATTTTAAAAGATTTTAAATTGAAATTTTTGGTAATTTTATTTGATTTTTTTAAAATTATAAACAACTAGCAAAATTAAACGCGCGCAAGCGCGCCAAATTGATTATTTAATTGTTTGTACATATTAAATGATAATAATGAAAATTATATGTTTACAGGCCTCGGATTATACGACTTTTTCCGACTTTTTTCAGAAATACGACTTTTATCGACTTATTTTAATAAAATGCGACATTTTTTTTTACATTTGAAAAAAAATGTAAATAAAATACATTTTTTTAGTATAAAATGTAGATCTTCTTCAGATCTTCTTCAATTCAATTATTTAACAAATTTTGAACTAAAATGATTCTTCACTAAATTAATTATTTTTAATAATTTTAATGAAATACATCACAAATTCAATTATATCAAAATTATTTTTCAATTCAAATTTTTATGAAATTTAACAATTGTTTATAATTTAAAAAAAAATATCACAACAAAATTGAATTATTTTTTAAAAATTTCGATTCAAAATAAACTAAAATTCAACTATTACAAGAAATTTTAATTCAAAATCAATTAAAAATCCAATAATTATCCAAAATTTTCCATCGAAAATTATTTTTAGTTCTGTAAAATTTAATAATTGTTTGAAAATTAACAATATCTTTTGAAATTTAATTATTTCTAACAATTTCAACTTTAACCCTTCGAAAAGGATTCAATTTTTTTTCAATTTAAAATGAAATAAAATTCAATTATTTTCTAAAATTTCTATTCAAAATTAATTATCCAAATTTTCAATCAAAAATGAACTTAAATTAAATTATTATCCAAACTTTCAATTAAAATTCAATTATTTCCCAAAATTTTCAATTCAAAATGAAGTGAAATTCAATTATTTTTCTAATTTAAAATCAAATAAAATTTAATTATTCACAAAAATTTGAATTCAAAATTAATTGCATTTTCAATAATTTTAATTTAAAAGCATCTAAAATTTAATTATTTCTAAAATTTTCCATCGAAATTTTTTTTTTGAAATTCAATAATTTCAATTATAACTCTAAGGAAATTCAATTATTTTTAACTATTTTAATAATATTCTTTGAAATTTCAACTATCTGAAACCATTTTTCAATTAAAAATGATTTTCAAATTCTTGTATTTTGTCCGCATTTTCTAATAAATTTTTAGTGAAATCATCTAAAATTTTTTTAAACTTAAAGTTTCAATTAATTTCAAAAATCTCAATTTTAAATCTTTGAAAATTCAATTAAATTTAAAAAATGTTTTCCAAAAATTGTTTGATAAATTATTTTTAGTTCTGTAAAATTTAATAATTGTTTGAAAATTAACAATATCTTTTGAAATTTAATTATTTCTAAAAATTTCAACTTTAACCCTTTGAAAAGGATTATTATTAAAAAAAAAATTTTTATTAAAAATCTGTAAAATATTTTTGTTAAAATAAAAAACAAATCCACTTTTTTTGGAATATAAATCGACTGAAACGACTTTTTGTGTCTTTAAGTTGATTCGAGGCCTGTGTTTTTATAATTAATATTTAATAGGTATTCGTTGGCCCCTGGTACCTTAAAAATAAATTTTTTTCTAATTACTATCTTGTACGAAATTTCCTGGCGCATCTTTTTTGCTCATCATAAATTTTTTGTATTTGTATACAATTTTTGAATCAATATACAACTTTAAAAAAAATTTCGTTGGTAAAGGTTGTGTACTTCAGCTTCGTGAATTGAATTTTGGAATTTGGAATTTTAAAGAAACTTATTCCGAAATTTGGAAACACAATTATACAACTTTGGCAAAAATGAGAAAAAGAATTGTCAAAATTTGACACGTCATAAGATTACTATTCAAAAAAACACGTGAAATCAGAAAACGCCAACTTCAAGTTAGGACAGAAGGACAGACCAAGAATTTTATTATTGTATAATATATAATTGTTGAATTTCATAAAATTTGTAAATGAAAAATAATTGAAGATAATTGAATTTGTGAAGAATTCCATTAAAATTATTAAAAATAATTAATTTAGAGAAGAAGTTTAGTTAAAAATTTGTCAAATAATTGAAATAAAGAATATCTGCATTGTATACTAAAAAAGACGGTATTTTGTTTTAAAATTTTGTAAAAAAAATGTAAAATAAAGCCGAAAAAAGTCGTATTTTCAAAAACAAAAAAAAAAAAAAAAACAAAAAAATTAGAATAAGTCGTATAATTCATGGCCTGTTAGTAAAATAAATGATTGAAGTTATATTTTTCAAAATCATCATGTTTGATATACATACGTCAATTCAAGAAAAATTAAAATATTTTTAAATTTAAGATTTCTTTTACGATAAAACTAATTCTTTTAACCATTAAAGGACTTGATTTAAAAGAAAATTAGTTTAAAATTTAATAAATCATTTTTCTCAGTGTACACACAATTCAGGACAAAATTTGTTTTTGAAAAATAATTATTGAATATTTCTGCGTTAAAATTTTTTCAATTTAAATTTGACTTAATTTGAAAAATTTATTATTAAAGATTTTTTGAAAATTGTTGTCAATTTCTTTTTGTTCTGGTCGTTGTAAAAATTGTTTATTTTTAAATATAAGTAAAATTTTTGCAGCACAAATTGGTAGAAAAATTATTATTTTTTGAAAAAATAAAATGGGGTTGCTGAATTTTTACATGTCTTTGTAGCTACATTGTGTAAATAAATTTTTTTTCAATTATAAAAATAAATAAAAAAATTACTTACAACTTTGAGTTTTTCTAATTTCTCATCGTCATCGAGGAAAAATGTTAGCCACTGGTATGAGATATCAACATCGCAGTTTCCTCCAAGTTTTCTATGTTCCTCGAGAGTTGCTTGTCCACCGGAAAAAGCGTGCTTATTCACTTTGTCCTTAATCTTCTTTGGTGTATCAATTAGAAAAATGGCAGAGTTATCTTCGCTGGCAGACATTTTTGTTTTTGAACCTTGCAGTGCAGGGAAGAATGTGGAATGTAATAATGCAGGTTTTGGATAGCCAATTCTTGGAGCTACATCCCTCGTCATTCTAAAGTAAGGATCCTGATCAATTGCACAAGGAATCAAACAGTGTGCTTTTGAATTTTTAAAAATAAATGGAAATGTACTGCAAAAAGCAGGCGCTGCTTGCGTTGGAGGAAAGGAAATTTTTGCAATTGGATCACTATCACCAAATCCAAAAATTCCTTTAACTTGATTAAATGTGACGCATTTTTGAATTCTTATCATATTCTGATAGAAGGCAGGATTATTGCCAATATGTTCAAGATTTGAAAATATAAAAGTTTTTTTAATATTAAAACCACAAGCAATAATGTCTTTTGCATTTAAATAAGCAAGTTCAATTGCAGTTTCAAGTTTGATATTTTTCCAAATTGATTTCTCGTCATCAGTTAATTGAATCACTAGAGGAACATCGAAAACATCCTGCAACCATTTACAAAACATAAAAGGAATCAAATGACCAAGATGCATTGACTCAGAACTTGGACCACGTCCTGTATAAAGATAAAATGGTTTTCCCTCTTCGTATAATTTTAAAATTGTATTCATATCTCTGTGTGAGAAAAATATTCCTCTACGAAGAAAATGATGTGGCTTTTGTCCAGTAACTTTTTCGAATCTTTGAAGAAGTTCATCATCGATTTTTGAGCTTCCAAAGCGTTCTATTAAAGAAAAATTTCATTTTTAGTTAAAACTTTATCAACTTGCTTTGAGAAAAAAGTAAAAAAAAATTTTTGAAACTAATAGTTACTTGAATTTATTTATAAAAAAATTTCAGAAAATTAAATAAATTCACTGACTTTTCCCTTACCGTTAGACACCCTGATGGTATCTTAAAATAACGAAGTACGCAACATTAATAATAAATGATTTTTAAATAAAAAAATTTTTTAAATGTAAAATTCTCTAATTGTTTGCCTAAAAAATATTTCATGTAATTTTCATTAATTAACAAAATAAGAAAAAAATATTTTTTAGACAAAAAATTACAAAATTTTTCATTTTAAAAATCGTTTATCATAAACGTTGTGTACTTCAGCTTTGTTTAAATAACGTTTTTTTGTACTTTAATAATGTAAAGTTGATATTTAAAAATTTTTTATTAAATTTTTAATAAATTAAATTAAAGAAAATAACTAATTAATCATTTAGTTCAAAAAATATTTTACCAACTAAATTTTTTTTTGTATATTTCATTTTAATTTTATAAAATTTCTTACTGAAACTGCCAACAAAAAAATGGGTTGGAATATTTTAATTATAATTATATTTAATTTTTTAAAAAAGCTTTTAAATTTAAATTAAACTTTTAATAATGTTTGAAAATTATTTTATGAAAATTTGTTTGAATTGCTTTTTTTGCATTATTCATTGAGTAATAATAATAAAAAAGTATCAGAATTTCTGTCGTCTAAACTAAAACTACAAAATATTATTTTTTATTAAATTTGAAAGAAGAGAATAAAATTTTGGTTCAGTAAAAATAAATTTATTATCGAAATACAAAATAAGAATATAATTTTGGTTATATTATATGTATTAGAAATTTTGTTTTACAAATAAAAGTAATTAAATAAAATAAAATTGCTCTTAATTTTTTTTTTTAAATTTCTGACAACAATTCAATTTTAGAGTTTTTATTTAAACATTTTTTGAATAATTAAATTTAAAAAAAAAAATTATTAAAAATAATTGAATTTTGGAAGAGTTACAGTAGAAATTTTTAGAAATAATTAAATTTCAAAAGATTTTTTTGAATTTTTAGAAAATAATTAAATTTGACAGAATTGACAATAATTTAACAAATAATTTTAGATAACATTTTTTGAAATTAATTTAATTTTCAATAAATCATTCAAATTTTTGAAATTTTTGGTAATTTCTGTTGCTGAAGAATTTATTAGAAATTAAAGAATTGAAAAACGCTTTCAGATAATTGAATTTACGAAAAATATTATAAAAATCATTAATAAAAATAATTGAATTTTTGAAGAATTATAATTGAAATTATTTAATTTTAGAAAGTTTTAGATGGTAAATTTTTACATGTTTTTAAATTCCAATTTTTTCTTACCACTTTCAAAGCAAATGAACAGTAACATTTTTTAACGTTTATTTATTTTTTTTTTTTAATATGAGACGCATTGTTTTTGAGGTTATTTATCTATTTAAACGAACATATTTAAGCACTTTATAATAATTTATTTTTTTATTTTGCCGGTGTTTTAAAATTGTAAAGATAAAGTGTTGTTTTTTTGTGAAAGAAATTCTAAACTAGACAATAAATCACACTATGAAAGACTCTTAAATTAAAACTGAAAAAAATTTAGAATAAATAAATAATAGAAATAAATCTACATAAATAATTTTCTTTTTACCAATAAGTTTATCGTAGTCAATTCCTTTTGCTCCTGTACTTTCAACATTCCAAGGTGTAACAACGTCTTCACTTTGAACATCTCCATTGGCGTTAATCGATAATTTTTCAATTCCCATTTCGGCACTCATTTTTCAATGTTTCTTAGTTATTTATAATATGCACACAATTTTAACTATTAATTTCAATAAATTAAAAATAAAAGCAAAATTTAAATGTTTTGATCTTTCAAGCTGTTTAATGCAGGAATGATACAGGATCTAAAGCATGCTCTCACCTCTCTATACAAAAACATGATTCAAGAGACAAGGTTGTCCAAATCTGCGCTACCAGTGGCATTGTGCGCCGGCGCAGAGCAATTTTCAAATAGAGTTAAAGCTGCTTCTACAACAACATTCTTTGTGTTCATTAGGCTTGAGCACAGTGGTGTCGTAAACGTAATTGTAAATTTTTGAATAACGTAAAACTTCTCACGTCTAGTCTCATGGAGCGGTAACATCTCGCCTGCAGGAGCAGTTGCCAATGACAACCGTGTAAGAGTAAGAGAGATGGAAAATCTTCTATCTCTCTTACTTTTACACGGTTGCCATGGGCAACTGCTCCTGCAGCCGAGGTGTGACCGCTCCATTACAATAAAAATATTTAATTATCAAAGGCCTCAAAAGAATTATGAATTATTTATTGTATTTCATTAATTAGTGAAACTAAATTCTTGGACTACTGAAAACTGTTGCGCGCGCATCGTTTCGACAACAAATCGGAATTAGCTTGTTATTATTACAAACATTACTTTTAAACTGTCACATTTCGGACATTCCACCCTACAAGAGTCGAAATACATAAAAAAAAATGTGAATGCACCCTAAAGTTAAGCGTCATTTAAAATAGCTATACAACCCTGATGGTTTATATGGTGATCACTGATTCTTTTGAGACGCCAAGAATTTTATTCTTCTATTGAAAAAGGTAATTTATTATATACAATAAATATATATAAATAGCATATAATAGTAAATTTACATAAATTACAAGTTTCTAAAAAATATTGATTATTTTTTTTAATGCATTCAAATATCCAAAATCTTTTTTTACAATAAATATATAATGTTGCGTAGTCAAGAGACGCAAAATGAAAATTCTCATACAGAAAAATATTGAAAAATAACTTTTTTAGAAAATAAAAAAGATCTTTAAACTTAAACACAATATTTCACTTTTTGTTGCAATTGGAAATTTTATTTATAAGATATTTGACGTAAAGTAATCAAGGTTAAAAAAAAAATTAACATGCTCACGCTTAGGTAAATTTTTTCCATTAAATACTAAAAAAAATTTTTTGACGATAGTTTTTTCTTACGCTTTTTCAATTAGTAAAATGCATTTTTGAGAAAAAAAAAATTTTAACCAAACAAAATGAAAAATATATAAACCAAAATTCACGAAATGGTTCTATGTAAAAAATACACATTTTTTTCCCATCTATATTTATAGTAAAACATCAATTTTTTTTAAAAAAAAAAGAAAAAATCAAATTTATTTATTATTTTTCTTTTTTTTTTTTTTTTTTTGATCGAAGAAAAAATTTTTTCAATGCATTTTCAAATTGTCTAACGAACCACGAATCCGGGAAATCCCCGAGAATTTAGTTCAACCGGGAAATAACAGGAAAAACCCTAGTAAATTTTTTTTTAAGTTCGGGAATTTATTCTTCGTGAAATATATTTTTTATGTTAACAAAATGTTATTTTATATTTCCACTCTTCTATATTTTAAATTTGTATTAGTAGAATTTTGATTAATTTAATTACAGTATTCGGTTGAACTAATTAATTAGCAATTAATTGTGTTCTGACTAATTTAATTAATAAAATAATTATTCTAAATGTATCTTTTTTTTTTAGTATATAAAAATATTTTCTTCTTATACTTACAAAAATTAATTACATAATATTTAAAACACTTTCATAAAAAATATATTTCAAAGTGTAATTATAGAAAATTATTAAAATAAAAGTAGAAAAAATGTACTCAACCTAAAATTCAATGTTTTTTAATTTTTTTAATGCAATTTTAATGAAAATTAGGAAATAAACGAAAATTTTAACAAGTTTAAAACTGAAAATAAATAACAGTAGTTTTTTAAAGAGACATTATTTCTTGATAAGTAAATATCCGGTTTTTTTTTGAAATTTTATCACTCAAAAGTGATTAATTAAATTCGTAAATTAAAAATTTTGACTAATTCACAGTAAATAGTTTAAAATAGTCTGAAATTACTATCAATTATGTAGAGGCAGTTGAATAAAATTTTGTTTTTTATTTCAAATTTAAATTTATAAATTAATTTTTTTTTTGAAGTCAAAATTTTCAAAACTAACTTAAGAACTGTTTTACACTGAAAAAAGAAATTTATTTGATTCAAATACTCGATTACTTGACTATTATCAAATAAATATTTACTTGAATCAAAAAATTTTTATTTGAATTAAATAAACTGTATTTAAAACAAATACCATTTAATTAATTTGATAGAAATAAAATATTTATTTAATAATAGTCAAGTAAGCGATTATTTGAATCAAATAAATTTTTGTTCTTCATTATATTAAATCAGGGTATCTAACGGTCAGGGAAAGTCAGGGACTTTAAATGGTCAGGGAAAAGTCAGTAAATTTCTTTAATTTTTTGGAATTTTTTATGACTAAATTAAAGTAACTATTTCAAAAAAAATTTTTACTTTTTTCCCAAAGCAAATGCAAATTAAAAATTTGGCCTTCACACTCAATTATTAAGCATGTGATATATACGAAGCTGAAGTACGCAACGTTTATGATAAACGATTTTTAAAGAAATAATTTTTTCAAATGAAAAATTCTATAATTTTTTGCCAAAAAAATATTTTTTTTATAATTTGTTGATTATTGAAAACTACAGGAAATATTTTTAAAGCAAAAAATCATAGAATTTTTCATTTTAAAAAATTATTTCTTTAAAAATCGTTTATCATAAAAACGTTGCGTACTTCAGCTTTGTTGATATATCTTATATTCATTAAATAAATAATTATTTACTATACTATTTATTGAATCAAATAAATGATTTTTTAAACTTGGATAACAATTAATTAATTTTTTTCAGTGTAAATATTTGGTTTTTTAATATAAATAAAAATTATTTGATACAATTTTCTAATACTTTTTAAAAATTTTAAATTAATATAATTTCAATTTAACGATATTTATGTCTATAAAAATTGACAAAAAAAATAACTAAGTAGAATTTTTCATAAATGAAAATTCTGTTAAATAAGAATTAGTTGGAATTAAAATTTTCTCTAATAAAAACTTTGTTAATTAAGAATATTGTTAAATAGAAAATTAAAAATTCCATATTTCAGATTAAAGGTGAAATTTGAAAAATATGGATCAAATACGATCATCCATAGTAACAGAGATGAGACATTATCCATATAAATGTTTCGTTTGTGAAGAAAGAAAAAATTTAAAAAGATGTTCTGGATGCAAAATGATTTCTTACTGTTGCAAAGAACATCAAACGCAACATCGTTCAGAGCATAAAAATTTTTGTAAAATAATATCCGAAATTTTAAAATCACAAAAAAAATCGCACATCTATGAAAATATTGTTGCATCAAATTGGTTTAAAGAAAAGGAGAAAATTATTCATGAAGTAATGAAAAAATCAAAGCGACCTCCAACTGAAGATGAATTATATCTTCTCAATTATCCACGATTATGTTCCATTTGTCTTGAAGCCAATCAGGATAAATTGAAAACTTGTCCTAAATGTTTAATGACAAGTTTCTGTACAATTCATTCAAACAATTCTATTCATGATAAAAATTGTCGAATCGATAGTGATTTTAAAAATAATTTCTCATCATCAATAATGGATCCAAATTTAAAATCACTCGTCACATCAATTGTTAATGGATTAAAAATTTTAAAATCCGATGATTCTACTCCAACATCAATGGAAGAATTTTTTGAATTCTACACAAAGCATAATAAAATATTTTTCGACAATTTAAACAAGAATTCAGTAGCATTGCTTTCTGAAATATTCAGCATTCCTTTGACACTGTTCAATGCATTGAAAACAGTATACAGTAATATTCCTTCAAATTTGATTATTTTCTTGAAAATACAATACGATGATAATATAATGAGCATGAAGTTTTGGGAAACTTTGTTACACTTATTGCCAAATGTAAAGAATTTGAAAATTATTTACTTTCCAACTGATAATTTAAATCCTAAGAAATTGCAAATTGATCTCTGCAAGGATTGTAATATTAAGAAGAAAAATTTAATAATCGAAAATCAACAATCATACACTGATAATGATGAACCATCTTTAATTGCTGTTTTCGATTTACAACCTTCGAACATAATGGATTTTTTTCATAAAATTGATTATTTTAAGACAACAACGAATAAATTTACTTGTCCTTTGTTAATAACGGTTCCATTTCTTCAGAATCTAACAGAAATTGAATCATTAAATTTATTTACCAGTTATCGAAAAATTTACCATGGATACAATGATTTTTCATCTTTAATAGAACAACCAGTTGATATTAAAGGTCGTTATTCACAATTTATAACTATTCTTCTGCCTGATGATGAGAATTTTTATGAAACTTTTTCATTTATTGACAATGACGCATCGTATTATCATCAAATTTGTCATTTTTGTCATAAAATGGATGGGAAAATAATTTGCAAACATTGTAAATTTGTTTCCTATTGCAATCGCAAACATCAAAATCAACATCAAATTCATCATAAAGATTTGTGTGATGTAATTTGTTGTCTACAACAGAAAATGATTGGAAAACAACTTTTTTCTAATGTAACAACTACAGATCCTGAGGAATGGCTACGCATGAGAATTGAAATATTGAACGATGTACAAATGAAAATTGGAAAAAAATTGACGAAATTTGAGGAGGAAATGTTTCTTTTTCCAAAAAATTGTGGAATTTGTCACGATTGTAACTCGAATTCGCTGAAAAGTTGCGAATGTGGGGTAAGATTTAATTTTTCTTTTATTTTCACTATAATATGAAATTATTTTTAATTTATTTTTTTTTTTTTGTTACAAAAAGAATTTCCATTTTTAAAAATTAAATTTTTATAAAATTATCAAAATTTTTAACATCAACAGGCCACGAATTGTACGACTTTTATCGACTTATTTTAATAAAACACAATTTTTTCGACATTTTTTTTTTACATTTAAAAAAAAAATTAAATAAAATACATATTTTTTAGTAATAGAAATAGATCTTCTTCTGATTTTATTTATTTCAATTATTTAACAAATTTTTAACTAAAATTTTTCTCTAAATTAATTATTTTTAATAATTTTAATGAAATTATTCACAAATTCAATTATCTTAAACTATTTTTGAGTTAAAAATTTTATGAAATTCAATAATTGTTTAAATTTAAAAAAAAAAAAAAAAAAAAAAAAAAAAAAAACAGCAAATAAACTTAGCGTCAATTTTAATTTGAAACCTTCTAAAATTTTCTAAAGTTTTAAAAATTTTCACTATAACTCTTCCAAAATTCAATTATTTTTAATGATTTTTAAAATATTCTTCGAAAATTCAGTTATCTGAAAGTATTTTCAATTTTTGACTGTAATTCCTAATAAATTCTTCAACAGAAATCACCAATAAGTTAAAATAAAAATTACTTGAAGTTCAATTATTTTAAAAAATATTGGATCTAAAATTAATTGTTAAATTTTCAATTCTGTAAAATTTAATTATTGTCTGAAATTAAATAAAGTTTTCAATTTAAGAAAATTGCTTAAATTAGACTTCAAAAAAAATTTTGAAATAGAACTTTAAGAATTTTTTTTTAAAGTTAGTCTTATTTAATTAAAATTTTGAAAATTTGTCTTAATTCGATTCTGAAATTTTTTGAAATACATTTTATTGATAATATTCTTATAGAATTATTCTTATTAAGGAATTAATAAAATGAATTTATTATTCTCGATTTTTTTTGGATTGTAAATCGACTAAAACGACTTTTTTTTTGCATCTTAAAGTCGATACAAAGCTTGTATTAATAATGAACAAATTTAAATTGAACTAAAAAATAAAAATTTATTTATTAAAAAATCTTTTACTTATTTAAGAAAATATTTTTCAAATTTTAATAGTTCTGGTAATATAGTAAAAATCACAAAAAATTTGTGAAATAAATTTTTGAATTTAGTTTGTATAAAAATTACAATTAATTTCCCGATGAAATTTTAATGGGATTTCGTCTTATTAATAATTTAAAAAAAAAACTCTGAATAAACACTATTTTTAATATTTTTTTATTTTTAACTATAGTTTTTTTTTTGTTTTCTCTATAGGTATTTCTTTGCAAGAAACACAAAAACGATCCTCAACACAAGAAAATTTGCCAACAATTGAAAATTGTTTTTAAAATGTCTACGAATCCACTGACATTCAATAAAGGCTGCTTTATTGAAACAATTTTTTCATTATTGAAAGAAATTTCCGATAAACTATTCAATGGAAAATTACCAGTATCGATGAAAATGTTGACACCTCCAACAATGAATGAAATTTCAGTAAAAAGTGATAATTTATCAAAAATATTATTCGCAAACACATTTCTCTCATCGCCATTGACTTTATTCTATGCAATTGAAAAATTAAGCAAAAAAATAAATTCATCAGCAATCGTAATTCATGTAATTGGTGCAAAACAAGTGAATTTTGAGAAAAAATTTCTTTGGGCATTTCATTTTTATCAAGTCAATGAAATAGAAAAATTAAAATTAATATTTATCGATGAAGAATTTTGTAATTTTCCTGAAATTGATGTTATCAATAATTCTGAAATGAAAAGAAATATCAAAATTGAAGGTCACGCTTTAAATTACGACAATTATTTTTCGAGTAATAAATTTATTAAACCTGACTTTATTATTGGATTTGATCTCAATATTCATTATGAAAAAAAATTACTATCAACGTCGGAAAAAGTTTCGAAAGAGACAATTTTAGCAATGGAAAAATTAAAAGTTCCCTTTATTCACACAGCTGGAACTAAAGAACGCGCTGAGAATAATCATAAAATGATTTGCGATAGTTTTGAAAAATCCATGAATTTTGAATTTTTTGAAGAAAATCCATTTGGATCATTGTGCCCAGAACGAGATTTTGAAACTACAGGTGTAATGTATTCAAATAAATATATAATTGCTTACGATTGGAAATTGAAAAATTCAAGTGAAGGGATGGAGAAAATTAATGCCAAAGAATTTTTGAAATTTGAAAATATTCATTTGGAATCTAATGAAAATAATGTAAACCCCGAAGAAGCAATTCAAGAGAATATTGAAAAGAATTTGAAAAATGAATCAAAGGAAAATATTCCCACGAATTTAAATATTGAAATTAAAGAAATATTAACGGAAAAAATTAACAATGATAATGAAAATTTGAAATTTGTAAAAATGCATTTTGACACTGAGGAAAAATATTCAAAAGAAACAATTCCAAAGGTAAAAATTGTGAAAATTGACAAAAATCAAGAAAATGAATCAGAGAAAATTATCTGCGAAAGTGAAAATGAAATTTTATTGACTGATACAATTAATGAAAATCGTTTAGAATCGAAGAATAGTGAAGAAAGTGTTTTAAAAATTAAAGAAGTGATTCCTGAGGAAATCATCGAAAAGAAACAAGAAATCGATACAGAAAAAATAAATGTTCTCCCTGAAAGTTTAAACATTGAGAAAAAAGGAGATGAGAAAATCGAAAAAAATAATTTACAATCTGATGAGGTTTGTTCGAAAATTTTAATTCAAGACAGAAAGAAAATAAAAATTCAACGAGGTAAAGGAATTATAAAACAACGAGAAAAAATTAATGTTATTTCTGAGAATATTAGAAAAATTAAACAAGAATCACTGTCAGAGAAAATTGATAAAAATGAAAGCTTACAAGAGGAAAAGAAAATTATTGAAAATAAAAGCTTACAAGAAGAAAAGAAAATTATTCAAAATGAAAACTTACAAAAGGAAAAGAAAATTATTGAAAATAAAATCTTACAAGAGGAAAAGAAACTTATCAAAAATGAAGACTTACAAAAGGAAAAGAAAATTATCGAAAATAAAATCTTACAACAGGAAAAGAAAATTATCGAAAATAAAAGCTTACAAGAGGAAAAGAAAATTATCAAAAATGAAGACTTACAAAAGGAAAAGAAAATTATCCAAAATGAAAACTTACAAAAGGAAAAGAAAATTATCGAAAATAAAAGCTTACAAGAGGAAAAGAAAATTATGAAAAATGTAGACTTACAAAAGGAAAAGAAAATTATCAAAAATGAAGACTTACAGAAGGAAAAGAAAATTATGAAAAATGAAGACTTACAAAAGGAAATGAAAATTATCGAAAATAAAATCTTACAACAGGAAAAGAAAATTATTGAAAATAAAAGCTTACAAGAAGAAAATAAAATTATCCAAAATGAAAACTTACAAAAGGAAGAGAAAATTATCGAAAATAAAATCTTACAACAGGAAAAGAAAATTATTGAAAATGAAAATTCTAAAGTTGAAAAAATGATTCCAGAGACAAACCAGATTATTGACGAAAATCAGAAAGAAGAAAATGAAAATTTAATGAGCAAAGAAGAAACACTTGTGGAACAAATAATTCAACGCGAAGATTCGAAATTAATTGAACCCGTCGATTTTGAAAAAAATGATTCAAAAATTGTGGAAATTATCATTGAAACAAAGGAAATTATTCAAGAAACCGAAGATAAGAAACCGGTAGAAATAAAAATTACCTCTAATGATTCAATGGACGAAAACTTATCATCAGCCAAACAAATTTTGTCTCTTCAAATCGAGAATGAAAAATTGAGACAGGAATTAAATTTATCGGAAAAATTAAATGAAAAACTAAAAAATCAAATTTTAGTTTATCAAACAATTTATCCAAATTTCATGGATAAAAGTAATTTGATAAAAGAAGCATTGGAGTGTATTACAAAAAATATAACTTCAGCATTCGAGAAAGAATAAAAGGTAAAAAATAGTTTTTAACATTGAAAAATGTTTAATTATTTTAATTTTGTTATTGTGTTACTAATTTAATAAGTTTAAATTCCCTTTTTAAGTTATAAAACACACGAAAAATTTTTTGTTGAAAAAAAAATGTCATTAATCAAAAGGGAAAAAAAGTTTAAAAAATAGTTTTTAACATTGCAAAATGTTTGTAATGTTACAAAAATAGATTTAATAAGTTTAAATTCAGTTTTGTTACAAACACACAAATATTATGTTTTTATTGAAAAAAAATATAACTTTAGCAATCGAGAGAGAGAAAACGTTAAAAATAATTTTCAACACTGCAAAATGTTTTTAAGATTATTATTATTATTATGTTACTAAAATAAATTTAATAAGTTTAAATTCAGCAAATTTACGAATATTGTGTTTTCATTTGAAAAAAATATATATAACTTCAAAAAAATCGAAAGAGAATAAAATTAAAAAATAGCTTTTAACATTGCAAAATGTTTTTAATATTATTATTATGTTACAAAAGTAGATTTAATAAGTTTTAAGTTACAAACACACGAATATTATGTTTTTATTTAAAAGAAATATAACTTCAGCTATTGAGAAAGAAAAAAAGTTTTAAAAAAACAATTTTTTAACGCTGCAAAATGTTTTTAATAATATTATTATGTTACAAAATATATTTAATAAGTTTAAATTTACTTTTAAGTTACAAACGCATGAACATTGTATTTTTATAAATGTTGATCCTTTATATTTATTATAGTATTTTAATCATATGTATCATTTATAAAATATGCTTCTGCATTATGTATCAAAATGTATTTTTTCGATTTTTAACTAAAATATATAAAAATATCCAAAATATTTTGTTTATCTTTCTTGAAATATCGATCTAAAATATTGATTTCCTTTATTTAATTTGGAAAAATCTCAAGTACTCAAATTTTATTTATTTTTTTTTTTTTTTTGTAGAACTTTCTAAATTTTCATGACTAAGTTTAGTCAAAATTTGTGAAGTTTGCCAATATTTTTTTATTAATTAAAAATTTAAATTCAAAAAACAATTTTTTTAACTAAGAAATATTCAAAAATTATTATTTTTCAAAAACAAATTTTGTTGCTAGTCAAGAACAAAAAAAACATAGAATTTTTTTTGTGCTGGCAAAATTATTTTTCGAAAATTATAATTTTTGAATATTTTCTTGATAAAAAATGTATATATTTGAATTTTAAAATTTAATTATTAAAAAATGGTAATTTTTCGTAAATTTTATAATTGTTTCTTTTTGTATTAAAAGCATAACTTACAAAAAAAAAAAAAAAATTCAGAATTAAAAATTATTCATATTAATATTTTATTTTTAAATTACAGCTTTTTTTTATTTAATTAGAGATAAATTATACAATTTATATAATTCAATTATATTTACTCTTTTAAAGTAACTTATTTTTTTTATATTAAAACATTAAATATTCCATTTTTAAATAAATCTATATTATTATTATTATTTGATTATTCCAACTGAAATTAATTCTAAATATGGAAAACAAAATTTGTACAATTTTTAAAATAAAACAAAAAAAATTATTATATAGCTTTTTTAACTATTTATTTTTCGTTGTGTTGTCAAAAAATAAATCTTCAGCATTTTCAATTCGAGTCATTGATAAAATATTGTAAACCGCTCGATTCATTGTTGATGTTGGACCTAAAATTTGTATTCTAACAGCAAATTTAGCAAAAAGAAATTGCCATTTTAATTCCAGACGCTGTTCTTCATTTAATTCCTGTTAATTATTATAATATACTAATAAATAACAAGTTCGAAATTAATAGTAAATTTAACTATAATATACAAAATTTCTTACTTGGAATTCTGTAGCTGTACATCCAAAAATTTGTTCCCCTGCATTTCCCATTATTCTACATCCAATAAGATAGCCAGTGTCATCTTTTAAATTCAATTTTACAACAAAACTAACAACATTGTATGGTTTTTGACTTCCATTTCCCGATGGACATTCCAAATTCATACATGAATCTTGATCTTTTTGCACGAGTCTTTTGCAAAGAGCACTTAAATATAAATAATAAATTCATATTAAATATTTTAATTTATTAAAATTTTTAAATATTTTCAAAATATAAATTCTATTTTATTAAATTTAGTAAACGAACAAAAAAAAAATGAAATTCTCACCATTTTGTCATTAAAACATTTCCATCTTTGCTGTCTAAATTAATTTCAGTGATTTGTGCATATAAAATAACAAAAAATTGAATTCTTTCGTAATTTTCGGCGGGAGTTGAATTCAATTTCTCAGTAATTTGTTGTACAGTCATAACGGAAGTAATATTTTTCACTAGAATTAATATTTTATTTATTAATATTGGTTTTTAGTGTTTTCAAGTAATTAAGATTTTTAAAAAAAATTTTAAGAACTTTTTGAAGATCTAAAATAATTTTTCTCGATTCACATTTTAACTCTGAAAACATTTTAAAATGATTCTTCAATACTTATTCAATTATTTACCTATATTTTTCAATTAAAATTCTTCGCAAATTCAATTTTCTTAATTTTCAATCAAATTTTTACGAAATTTCAATTATTTAAAATTCTTTTTATTAAATATTTTTGAGAATTCAATTATTTTCAAAATTTTAATTAAAATTAAATCATAAACATAATTTTTTTTCAGAATTTTTAATAAATTCTTTGAAAATTAAATTATTTAAAATACATTAAACTGCATTTTTTTTATACGTTTAAAAATAATATTACGCAAATTCTAATTGTTTTTCGATAATTAAATATTTAAACTAAATTAAAAATATTGCTTCAAAAAGGAGAATTCAAAGTTTTTAAGAGTCGCTAAAAATCGTGGCTCGAACTAATTAAAATATACTTACAATTTGGAATAGAAAAAGGATCAGTTGGCGTAAATTCGGGCCTATTTGAAATTGCAAGCCTTAATTCCATTGCTTGTGAAATATTAGGATTTTCAGTGATCAAAGTCTTTCTCGCTAGATATTGCAAAATTGTGATTATTCTCTTAGATAAATATAATTTTAAATTATTTTCTCAGCAAAGAAATATTTTTTAAAAAAAAGTTTTCTTACCAATAGACATGTCGATACGTTTTTTAAAATTATTATATCCAATACGAATTTCGGCTAAAAATAAAACTGTTTTTCGTGGTTCCCAAAATTCAGACAATCTTATCCATTCTGAATCCCAAAGTTGAAGTGATATTGTTTTATTTGTTGACTTGTCTGTTATTTCAAAAGAACGACATTTAAAATTTCGACCGTCTCGACTAATTATTTCACGAACTTCACCAATCTATAATAAAAAAAAATAATTTTAATTTACAATTTATTCTTATTTAATAAATTAAAAATTAATTAATTATATTTTTAATTTATATAATAATTGTTTTATTAATTATTAAATATAATAATTTAGTCTTACAAAGGTAACAATAACAAGAAGATCAATAAATTGATCTTTTAGCTCTTCAATATGATCCAAAGCATAACTCAATGTTCTTAACGTATCCATTGATTTTGTGGGCAAATTTAGTAATGGTAACAATTGAGCCTTATCATCTGAATCGTGATTTTGTATTAAAGCACTGCCTTCATTGACAGTAATTTTAAGTTGACTAGTTACAGAAGGAACAAATGATTCATTTGGATCATCCACTAATCGACCAATCACTTTACCGCTTATAATTTCAACTGAAAAATTATATTTTAATTATTTAATTTTTTACAGATGTCAAATTAATCTTTTTTCCGTGTAACTCATTTTTAAAATTCAAATTCCAAAGTAAATATATAAAATTTTTATTAAATAAATTATTCATTTTTTAATTTTATGGATAATGAAAATGATTATTAGGAATTTTAAGATTTTTCTAAAAGCAAAATACAAAACTTCAGGTGAAATTGAGGATTGACCTATAAATAAAAAAAAATGTTATAAAACAAAAATTATTAACAATTTTAACTATTATTATTTATTAATTAAGCTTCAGCCTTTCGGCCCAGAAGTGGACTTGGTTTAATACAAAATTTAAAAAAATATATATATTAACAATTTTAACTAATATTTTGGAAGAAAAATATTTGTATTTTATAAAAAAAAAGAGCAAAAATTTAAGGCAACCCACATTTAAATAAACTGAAACTTTTTCACCACATTCTACAATAAATGCAACGATTTTTAAATAAACAATAGAAATATATATGTATATTTACCAACAGAACCAATTTGAAATTTATTGAAAAGAGAATTAATAAATTCTGAGCTTCCCCAAACAGTCACATTGATAAAATCATCAGGTGAATCACGCATAGTAAAAGTCCAAACCGCACGTTTTATTTCATCATTAACTGAAAAAAAAATCATAAATCGGATAAAATATCTCTACTTTTTAATTGCCTTTTCGGCCTTTCAAAATTATTAATTGAAAAATTTAATATATTTCAATATTGAAACGAATTGAATGTCCAGGCCTTGGAACGACTTTAAGGCGCATAAAAAAGTCATTTTAGTTGATTTACATTCCAAAAATAATCGATTTTTTTTTATTTTAATTAAATTTAATTAGTTCATAAATATATTACTTTAAATGACTAATGTTATTAGATCTTAAATTCATTTTTTTTAACTCCTTAATAACAGGGTATCTACTAGTCCTGGAAATGTCCTTGAATGTCCTGGAATTTTAATTTTTGTCCTTGAATTTTTTATATTTTGCTTTTAAATTTTCAAAAATTTATAATTTTGTCAATCAAGTTAAAAAAAAATCATTAAATAAGTAAAATGAAAATTTACTTAAGTAATTAATTAATTTTTGAATAATTTCTGAAAACAATAGTTAAACTAAAAATTTTTTTATTCCTTAAGATCATCCAATTTAATGTCTTGGAAAAATAAGAAATTTGTCCTGAAAAAGTCCTGGAATTTTAAATCAGATTTTTAGTAGACACCCTGAATAAAAATAATTATGTGTATAAGAATATTATCAAGAAATTTTTATTCGAAAATTTCAGAATTGAATTAAGCCAAATTTTAGAAAATTTTAACTAAGTAGGACAAATTTCTAAAAAAAAATTCTTAAAGTTCCATTTAAAAATTTTTTTGAAAGTCTAATTTAAGCAATTTATTTGAATTAAACATTTTAGCATAGTTTTTAGCATTTTAGCATAATCAATGGAATTTTTGATAATAATTAAATTTTGAAAGAGTTGCAGTTGAATTTTTGAGAAATAATTGAAATTCATAAGATTTTGTTAAATTTTAAACAATAATTAAATTTTACAAAATTAAAATAAATTTATATAATATTTTTTAAAAAGCAATTGAATTTTTAAAGAATTAAAATTCAAATTTTTGAAAATAATTACACTTCAAGTGATTTTTAATTAAAATTTTTTGCTGATTTCTGTTGCTGAAGAATTTACTAGAGAATAATAGACAAAAATTAAATTTTAAAAATTTGTAATTAATAAATACTTTCAAATAATTGAATTTTCGAAGATTGTTATAAAATTAATTAAAAATAGTTGAATTTTGTAAGAGTTACAGTTTAAATTTTTGAAAAATTATTGAATTTCAAAAAATTTTGTTAATTTTCAGACAATAATTAAATTTTTCAGAATTGAAAATAATTTATCAAATAATTTTAGATAAACTTTTGTGAAAATAATTAAATTTTCAAAAATTTACATATCAGATTTTTAAAATTAATTGAACATCAATTGATTTTTGATTGAAATTTTTGGTAATTTTTGTTGCTGATTATTATTATTGAATTTCATAAAATTTTTAATTGAAAAATAGTTTAAGATAATTTGTGAATAATTTTATTAAAATTATTGAAAAATATTAATTTAGAGAAGAATTTTAGTTAGAAATTTATTAAATAATTGAAATAAAGAAGATTTGCATTGTATACTAAAAAAACATATTTTATTTAAAAATTTTGGAAAAAAATGTATAAAATGTAAAAAAAAAGCTGAAAAAATCACATCTTATTAAAATATGCCAAAAAAAGTCGTATAATCCTAGGCCTGAATAATAGGATCAGATTTGGAATTAAGTGGTTGCAACTTAATTTAAAAAAAAAATTGATACTTTAAGAAATGACACTATGATATTTTGGGAACGAAATAAAAGAATAATGTAAAATTTTTTATTATTTCCCTCAAAATGTAAGTTTAAAGTGGATAAAATACTGAAAACTCACTTTATTAGCAACTAAAAAAATATAATAAAGAACCTAAAATAATTCTTAAGATTGTAAAAAGAATTATTTGTTCTTTATAGAATTAATTAATTAATTTAATGTTTAATGATTAAAGTAGTGAAAAATTAGAAAAATCGTCTGACCCTAATATTTAATCAAAATCCATTCCAATTATTATAAAACAAACATAATTATTATTTTGCACAAAAAAATGACATTTTATTAAAATTAATCTTTACTCACATTTTGTAAAGGAATTTTCAAAAATTTTCGGATTGGAGCTATGAATTATAATTCCAATAACAATAGAATTTTGAGTTCCTGGTTGTAGGGAATTTAACTTTTGTGTCCAAACTCCAGCCATATTTACTGTAGTATTTTAAAACTTTTCAATAATCATCAAAAGTCTTTCTAACTAAAATATTTTCTTTTTTCCAACGACGGTTGAATATACATATATATATGTATAGGAAGATTTTTAGGTAATCAAAAGTTAAAACGCGCCAAAATTAACTTTTTCTGCGCATGAACAATTTTTCTGCAAGTATTAGCAGAGTTGGGAAGTTCTGCATTAAGGTGCTATCGTTGTGTTAACTCAGTAGGAAGGAACGTTCGAAATGTAAACTAAGGGAACGGTCACAGCTTAAAGGTACGGTCACACGACTTTTGGAAAAACCATTCTTGTCTTTCTCTCTCCTAAGACAGAGACATAAGATTGTCTCACTCTGCATTTTCTTACATTTCCCAAAGACGGAAAATGCAGAGTGAGACAAACTTATGCGTCTGTATGCACGACGATAGAATACTCGGGATCGGTGAGGTATACAAGCGCCTTAAGGTGCTTTTATACTTTTATAAAATGTTTTTTTAAGAAATATAATATTAAATAATTGTTTTAATATGTAAGAACACTTTAAAATAGTGATAAAAAGATGATTTGATTGAAAAATTTAGCAAATTTTGCTTTAAAACGTTTCTGCTACAAGAAAGTGTAAAATGACGATGTTTGTGAAATGGTTTGTACAGTGTACATGTTTCTTTCAGTTATTCGAAACAATTAGTTGAATTTAAATTTATTTGATAAACATTTCAACTTACCGATTTATTTTCAGCACTCATTATTTATTACAAGTTAAAAAAAACCGACATAACATAAACAAAACTCTGAGAGACACTAACAAGGAAGAAGCACTGTACAAACCATTTCACAAACATCGTCATTTTACACTTTCTTGTAGCAGAAAACGTTTTAAAGCAAAATTTGCTAAATTTTTTAATCAAATCATCTCTCTATCACTATTTTAAAGTGTTCTTACATATTAAAACAATTATTTAATATTATATTTCTTAAAAAAAACATTTTTTGTATAAAACAATTCAAAAATACCCGCCGTGAAAATGACTTTTCACGCATTTTCACGGTCCAGAAATAATGTTCATCTGATCGAAATTTGAGGTATATAAGCACCTTTAACGTATGCGTTATGATCCTATTGAAGAAAGACCTTTATGCTGATTCTACACTTATTTTTGGTCTATTGTGACGGCAGCTTAAAAGTCCTCAGAGCCAACGGAAATACAATTTAACCGTAATCGCAATCGTAAACGGAAAACTAAGTTAGAGAGGGATAGTCATATATTGTTTTTCTTCTCTTACTAATTCTTCCGTTTGTGATAACTATAAGGTTATTCAAGTTGGGTGGGGGAAAGCCAAGATGGTTGCTTGCTGGTGCACCTATCAGCCTATCAGCATTCATTCCCACGAGAAATTTCTCGTGGGAATGAATGCTGATAGGCTGATAGGTGCACCAGCAAGCAACCATCTTGGCTTTCCCCCACCCAACTTGAATAACCTTATTCCGGTTACCTTCTATTGTGCTTAGGCCTTCAGGCTGCAGTCCCATGTAGATAAAACAATGGAATATTATAACAAATTTGACCAATTAGATGATTGGATTTTTTAAAAACTTTTTCTTATTGGTCAAATCTGATCCTTATTCTACCCACATTGGACTGGGGCCTCAAGGTGCTTTTATACCTCCAGTATTTTGGTAAAGCAATCGGCTGGATTGAATTTTCACGGTTGTATCACTGAATTTGATTGGCTCTGACTAATATTCCATTTTCACCGTGAAAATCTAATATTTGTCAGAGCCAATCAAATTCAGTGATACAACCGTGAAAATCCAATCCAGCCGATTGCTTGACCAAAATACTGGAGGTATAAAAGCACCTTAAGACAAAAGCAGAATAGAAATGGAAACGGAAACACAAATGCAAAAACGTAAACGGAAAAATGAGTTAGAGAAGGACAAATATATATGCTTCTATTTTGATTGATTTGCAATTGGACAATTTACGAAAATTGACGCTTAAGGTGCTTACATACATTCTTAAGGCGCTTGTACAATTCACAAATTCTGAGTATCTTCAGAATTTGTCAGAAGTTTCACTAACTTTGATTGGCTTTGCTCATCGAGAATTTAGAAATTTTCCTATCTTTTGGAAATTCTCCATGAGCAAGGTCAATCAAAATTAGTATAACTTTTGACAAATTCCGTGTATAATTAGAATTTGTGAGGTGTACAAGCGCCTGAAGCACCTATATAATTTCTGTTTTCACGCCACTGTGGAAAGGGTTTTTGATTGGTTAGCAGTTGGACTATTTTCGATAGTTTTCAAATCAAAAAACCAGACTACATGAAAAGCGATGCGGCGCTTTACGTTATCATGTGATCTCACCCTAAATCCATGTGATTTTCTTTTCCCTCTTATATAATTATTTTTTTTTTTTATTTCATTATAAAATGAAGGAAGTAATTTTAAATTCTACTTCATCAAATTTTCACAAATTGTATTCCCACCGTATTTCTCAATCCTTCAATATCATTGGAAAAATTTGAATGTTTATTTCGTGCGCTTTTCAACGGTTCCAGTGGGAGTGAGAGGAGACGTTGTCGTTTATTGGCTATTGGTGACGCCAGCGTTTACCAAGTTATTTATAATCAACGCATGCGCAATGCGAATTCTAATATCCGCCATTCATACTCGAGTCGATTTCGTGTCGTGTGTCGATGTTTCTATGTGTTGAATCAAGAGAGGCATGGTGACGGTGATCACATTGATATTCTTACGAAAAGCGACGAAAAACATGATACAAGTGAATTAGTGATTAAACAAGAAACTAAAACATTTATACCATATATTATTAGGAAATAAAATACGCCCGCGAAACAACTGACGATGATATTGATATTTTGTTGCAACCTCTTCACGTAAGTATACATATAGTATCTTCGCTCCAAAAAATCCCAGCAGCCGAAAATCTCTCCCTTTGATTATCGCGCTAAAATAATTTTTAGTCGAAATAGAAAAAAAAAAATTATGAATTTTAATTGAGAAAGTTTTTTTGTTTATTTTGAAAAAATTGTTCGTTTTTTTCTAATTAGAAATATAATTTGTTAATTTTTTGTATTTTAATTTTCATTCTTGTTTCGTGAGCGTGAAAATATAAGGTGAAAGCTTTATGTTTTCTGCATTTAACGCGCGATCATTTCGTTCACGCATCTTTCGTTCTTGTTTACCGGCTGAACTGTGTTTTTTGTTTTTCTTTTTTTTTTTTTTGCTACTTTTTATAATCTATAACTCGGAAATTTTTAACTAAATTTCCTCGTAGGAGTTTTGTAAATTGTTCGCAACCTCGAAAATATTACGCGATGACGCTGCCAGGAAATGAACGCAGCTTGTTCTCTCTGCCAACGCTCTATTTTCAGAATCTTGTGATCGTAGTGTTCGGTTTTGTGAAAAGCAAATAAAACCGCGCGCTTCTATTCTCTCTTTGCTGAAATCCCTGTTTTTTTTTTGCCCTATGTCACGCTTCATTTTTCACTAAATAAATAAAAAATAAACTTTCCCTCTCTGCATGCTGAAAAATTAACTCTTTTTTTTCTGTTTTTCTGCGAGCACACTCTATTGACAGTGTGCTCTGACAATTTGTTATAAAAGTGAACAGTGCTCTTCATTATCAAAACACAAAGGTTGCAAATATTGTGGCTTCAAATAATTAAGTTAATAATTCAGTCGATTTCCAACCTTTTGAATTTCTCTAAAAGAAAGGTATTTATTCATATTTGCTTTTATTATTCAAAAAAAAAAAAAATATATATATATATATATAACCTTTTTGTTAAATGTAACTTCGTGCAAAACAAACTTATTTTTATTTCTTTTCTTATAATTCATAAAAAACAAAAGTTTAAAAATGAATTAAAATGGTTTTTAGAAATGTAAAATTTTTTAATACTGTGAAATTGAAATTAAAAATATTTTGAATTGTTTCGACTATTGACTATAATATAACTTTAAAATAAATGATGCAATTTGCATCATGTGTGGGTGGAAATTAAAGGAAAAGGGGGGAAATAATTATTTAATAAAAAAAAAAAGAGTGCTAATAAAATTACAAATCAACAAATTGCAAATATTTAAATATTAATTTTATATATGATTTTTTTTTGTTTTAATTTGAATTCTCGGGTATTAGAAAATTAGACATAAATTATTTTTATTATTTAAAAAAAAAAAATTATATTTTCTATGTTCGCTTCTGTAAATCTTGCGCTCACGTGAAGCAAGAGTACACACTTACGTATTCATTTGAATACGTAATAACTTCAATGAAAAAGAAAAAACAAATATGTCTACAAGTTGTTGTAAACACGTGATTAGACTGAACAGTTAGACGATTTCACATAAAAGCATTAAAATTACATAAATTTTGTAAACCAAAAAAAAAAGGATAATCACATTTTCAGAAAAATTTAGAATTCTTCTTTTTCAAATTTAATTCTCTTGGGAGAAAGTTTACTACGAATTTAATCGTCATGAAAATTGTAAGCTAATATTTATCATCACTAAATTTAACTTTTTATTAACTGTTAAATTAATTTTTTTTTCTTTTTTTTAATGAAAAATGTTTATCGATTAATTTATGAAATTTTAAATTTAGAAAATTTTTATTTTTTCAAAAAATTCAAAATAGTAAATTATTGGGCGAAGTATTAATTTTTAAGATTTTTAAATTTTAATTTATATTAATTTTTTATAAAAAATTAAAATTAAAATTTTGCAGAAAATAAATTTTCTATACTTTACAAATTCAAAAAATGTTTCAGAAATTATTTAAACAATTTGCTTTACTAATTATTGTTGAGAATTTTTATTAATATGTGTATATTTGCATAGAATTTCAAAAACTAAAAGAATACACATACTTGTAAGTAAAAAGAAAAACGATTTTTTTATTTAAATAAAATTTATATTTTTGTAATATTTTTCAAAAATTCATTTTTAAATAGTTTTTATTTTTAAGTGGTTGTTTTAATAAATACTTAAACAATAAATTTAATAATACAAGCGTAAGGAAATATTTATATATTTTTATCAAAGGAAATAACATTTTTGAATTAAAAATTCAGTCCAACAATATTCATATTTTTTAAAATTGTTAATTGTTAATATATATATATATATATTTTTTTTTTTTTGTTTAAAGTTAGTAAACAATTATATTTTTTCATCCAATTTTTATAAACAGTAAATTATTCTCTTTAATTCTGTTAGTTTTTTTTTAAATAATATTTAGTTTAAAAAATATATTAAAAAAACAAAACATTTAATTTCTATAACTTTTGAACAAATATTGTTAAAATTTAACAAAAAAAATTGTAGAGAATCTTTCGATGAGTAAAATCAGCTATTGTTTATAAAAAAAGGATAAAAAAATACAATTGTTTACTAATTTTAAACAGAAAGAAAACAAAATATTAAATAATTATTATTTAACAAGAAATTTTAGCTCAAAATAATTGTTTTTTGAAAATTGTACAATTATTGAATCTTTAAAAATTTAATAAAATCAATTTTAATTGTAGTATACACATATAAAAAAAAACTTTCATATTTATTAAACATTTCTTAAACTTAATATTTCATAATTTAATTAATTTTTTAAACCAATTTGTAATGAATATAAAAATCTTGATTGAAAAATATAAATTTAGAAATTAATTTAAAAATAATAACAAAATTTCACTCGATAGCAAAATTTATATTTAGGATATCTTATAAAATCAGAAAAGATAGAACGAAATAAAATCAATTTAAATAGGCAAATGTAAAAATACAAAGACAGACGACAGGAACACAATAATCAAATAATGTAGAATTATAAATAAAAATTCACAAAATTGAAACATTAATAAAATTAATTAATATATTTACTAACTTATATTTCGTATATAAAAAATCAAATCCAGTAGTCTCGGGACGCGTCTCATGTAAATTTACACTCGAATCTCGAATCTTTTACAATTTCGGGATTAAATCCTCCCATTTTCTTTAGTTCTATACAGGGGCGCATGATCTTTCCACAAAAATCATTAATTAAAATTTTTATTTTCAAGTATTTTATTAGAAATAATTATTTTTTACACAAATTTTCAACTTAAAATTTGATAGATTTTCTTTTTATACGAATTTTTACAGAATAAAATTTTTAGTTACCGAATTTTCGTTTGGCAGAATTTTTATTTTACGGTAATTAAATTTATATGACTTTTTATTTAAGAGAATTTAAAATTAATTGAATTTAAAATTAACAAAACTCTCATTCAATCGAATTTTATGTGTTTCGAATTTTTAAATAACAGAAATTCCAATTCACCGAATTTATAATTTATCCGAATTTTTATTTGTACGAATTTTAAATTCGATAGAATTTTTAAGACGCCGAATTTTCATTTGTCCGAAATTGCAGTTGGCCAAACAATTAATCGACAGAAAGATTTCGCCGCAATTTTTAAAATTGACCAGTCACAATTTTCTTGATCGTTTCTAATTGGTCAATTTTAAAAATTGCGCCGAAATCTTTATGTCTATTATTTGATCGGCTATTTGTAATTTCGGACAAATGAAAATTTGGCGTCTTAAAAATTCGGGCAAATTAAAATTCGGTGAATTGAAATTTCTATTATTTACAAATTCGAATCACAAAATTCGATTGAATGAGAATTCTGCTAAACTAAAACTCAATTACATTAAAATTTTCTTAAATAAAAAATTATATAAATTAAATAACTGTTAATTGAAAATTCTGCCAAAGAAAAATTTGGTTGCTAAAAATTTTGTTAAGTAAAAATTCATTTAAAAAGAAATTCTGTCAAATGCTAATTCAAAAAAAAATTCGTCTAAAATATAATTTTTTCTTTTTAAATAAAATTATTTAAAATGAAAATTCTAATTAATGATTTTTTAAAGATAATCATGCGCCTCGTGTTACATTTTTGTTTTACACTTAAAGTAAGCCACGTTTTAATACTAATTTAAAATTATGTGATAATCTCAATTTAAAAAACAGAATTTTTTTTTTTTTTTTTTTAAACCGGGGAGAAGCCATGAAAAAGTGTATAAACACAGGGTGGCCACCGAACCGGGAAAAAGTCAGTGCTAAAATTATAAGTCTTTTTTTTAATGTCTGTTTTTAATTGAACTTCTCAAAAATTTCTTGCAAAAATTTGTACATTTAAAATTTACTATATTTTTTGTAATTTAAACGTTAAAATCTTGTTTTTAAAACTGTTTGTATTTTTCGATTTATTTTTTTTAAATTTTCAAAAAAAACTACTTCCTTTTACAACAATTTTAACTTGAGAAAACGATTTTTTCAATATTTTCGGAATTTTTTAAAATTTTCGAAATTTTGAATTCAAATACATTTTTTATATCTTATGCACTTTTTGACAATTTTGCATACCGTAGTTTAAAAAAAAACCAGAGATATTTTTAAAAAATGCAAAACAAGATTTTAACTTTTAAATTACGAAAAATATAGTAAATTTATATTTTATATAATTTTTTTGTATGAAATTTTTGAAAAGTTCAGTTAAAAACACACATTTTGAAAAAGAACTTTTAAAATTGATGCATTTTTAAGGAAGTTATGAGAATTTAAAAATAAAAAATCATTTAAATTCTCCAATTTTGAAAAATTAATATTTCGTAAATATAGCTTGATGGAAAAATTTGAAAAAAAAATCATAAAGATCTATTTTGAAGGGTACAAAATGGTAAAAATGTTTGTGCCAAATCAAAGATATTTTTTGGACAAAATTAATATCATTTATATACAACTACATATTATATAAAAGTAATTTTTTGATCATAGTTAAATTGTAACTAAAAACACCTCCATGAAGGTGGCGTCGACGCTCATCGCCGAAAACTGTTTTTTACAGGATTAAAAATGTGAAATTATTATTTTTTTTTTTAAAGATTTTCGATCCTAATAATGCCTTGATAAAATGAAGCTGAAACAATTACAATTACAAATGATTCTATTATTATTTATTAATGAATGCATTTAAAAAGGGGGAGAATATTATTTTTATTTTATTTTTTTTTTTGAAGCAAATAGAAGTTAAAGAAAATTAATTTAATTTTGAAAAGATTTTCCATTCAAATTCTACGAAAAATTATTAATTACAAATATTTTTCGTTAAAGATTCGGAAAAAAAATTCCAATTTCTCCCTTAAATAAAATTTAACACTTGCAATATTTTTTTCAACTTCTTTGGGTCACAAAAAGACTGAAAAAATTATTGCAGGTGTTAAATTTTATTCAAGGGAGAAATTGGAATTTTTTTTTCTGAATTATGGTAGAAAAATCTTTATAATTTCGTTTGGAATCCAAGTCTCGCGATCACAATTTTTTTTTAACTTCCTTTAGTCCCGAAAAGACTGAAAAAAAAGTTGAAAACTGTTAAATTTTATTGTGGAGAAAAATTAAAAATTTTTCGTAGAATTTGAATATAAAATCTTTTCAAAATTAAATTAATTTTCTTTAACTTCTATTTGCTGCAAAAAAAATAATAATATTCTCCCACTTTTTAAATGCATTCATTAATAAATAATAATAGAATCATTTGTAATTGTAAATTTTAATGTTGTCGTTATTATTTTCATTATTTATTTAAAAAAATATTTAAATTTATTTTTGATATTTTTTTGTCGTATTCATTTGTTTTCTACACGGAAAGACTTCTTATATTAAAAGACATTAAAAATGGTAATACATTTTAAGAAATTCAATATTAAATGGAGGCTATTCACAGTTCACTAATAATATTTAAAATTGCAATATGAATACTTATTAATGAAAGAAAATTAAATTTCATATATTGACTTAGAAATTTTAGTTTTTGTCTCTATTAAATTTGAGACTAGTAATTTGTAAAAAAAAAAGTTTACTTTTCATTACTAAAAATAACACGAATTAAAATAAAGTTTTTGAAATTTTAACATATTAAATATGAAAAGATCTTAAAACCATAGCCACACGTATATCGATGTGAAAAATTAAAATGTTCACTTTGGAAATTTAATATCGACCACTATTGATCCTCGCGCTTGGCTCCCGAGGATTGACGAATCTACCCGAAACTATGAATATGCCGCGCGGGAAGATAAACGACAATCAGTTCGATTTTAACGATTTTCACTGGGAAATCATTAGCAGAAATGATTTAAATAATGCTGCTTTTTCGTATTTAAATACGACAAGAGATGGAATGTATATTAATAAAACTTGGATCTGAATAATGGTTTTTTCATTTTTTTACTCTCTTTCAAATTATATATTTGTCGTTATGAATAGCACTTTTGTAATTTTATCCCAAATAATAATTTAATATTTTAAAATATTTTAGTTTATTAATAATTTACATTTATATTTACTGATTATTTATTATTATTTCTTAAAATATTTTAAGATAACTTAGCTCAAAAATTGACCATTGATACTATATAACTACTTATGTGTAATACATTGATAATTATTATTATTTACAATTATTTTAACAATAATGGTCCTTTCTCATAAGTGGTGAAAAATTGTCTTGCTTAGTATATAAGCAAACCTCTGCTTTCACTCCTCAGCGTAGTTGCGTGCGAGCGTTTACATGTATTATGCGTATATTTGAGTGTATAGGTAGCATTAGGCTGTTAGGTAGGTGTGTATGTTTCTATGTATTTGACTTGGTGAAAAGCGACAGGTATGTAAAACCGACCACCTCATCCCTCCATCTCCTTCTAAATCTCCTTAAATTTCTATCTGCCTGTCCTTCTTCATGTTCTCTCTATTTTCCCATTCTCATACTTTTATGTCTGTCTCATCAATTTTTAACAGTGCCGATATTAAAATTTGCTTTTCTTGGTTTTAAAATTTGTAATCACTTTTTTTAATTAAGAAAATTGTATTTATGAATTTTACAAATATTGACAAATGATTTACAGAATTAATAGTGACTATAGTGATTTTAAATATTGACCCTGAATAGCCTCACTTTGATATAGTAAAATACTAAATTTTGGTTCTATTTTTACAAATTTTTAATATAAGAAGTCTTTCCGTGTAATGAATAACCTTTGAATTATATACTTTTCTTTTGATGTTTGAGATTTTTGACAAATGGTATTCTTTTGTTTTAATACCAACTTGAAAATTTCAAAAATTAAATGGGTGCTAATAACAAGGTTTCAGCTTCATCTTGATAAATACTTTTTAAGTTATTATGTGGACCCAAAACCTTTTTAAAAATGATTTTCTATTTTTGATCCCGTGAAAAATAATTTTCGACACTGAGTGTCGACGTCTAAAAACCGGGAGAAAACGCTCATTTTTACCGGAAGACAAAAAGTTTAAATACAGTGACCACCCTGAAAAAACCATTGTCATTAGTATTACTTTAATGATATTTTCAAAAATATAATTAATTTTCAAACTGGTTTAATTTTGACTAAAATATTGGATACTGCTTTTTTTCCAGATAGGAAGACTACGAGATATCGCTAGAATAAATCGAGCAATGAAAATGCTGAATAAATAATATTGAATTTTGACTGAGAACGAGTAATTGAGTTGCTTTTGCCGACAACAAGGAACGTATTGAGAGTATGGGGGCGTTTTTGGATACACCGAAAACGGAAAAGTGCAATGAACATGGGGCAGGAAATGGTTTACGATATGGAGTTGCCAGTATGCAAGGCTGGCGACTTGAGATGGAAGACGCTCACAAGGCCATTACTGGCCTCGACGGTGGACTCACGGATTGGAGTTATTTTGCCGTGTTCGATGGTCACGCGGGTGCGCTCGTTTCCGCGCATAGCTCCAAGCACCTACTAGAATGTATAATGCACACAGAGGAGTTTAAAGCTGAGAATGTGATAAAGGGAATTCACTCTGGCTTTCTTCGGCTCGACGATGAGATGCGAGACCTTCCGGAAATGAGTTCTGGCAATGACAAATCAGGCTCGACCGCAGTCTGTGCATTCATTTCGCCGAGGAATGTCTATATAGCGAATTGCGGCGATTCAAGAGCAGTTCTTTGCAGTTCAGGAAATCCAATATTCTCGACGCGAGATCATAAACCGGGTCTACCTGCTGAGAAGGAGAGAATTCAAAAGGCTGGCGGAAGCGTCATGATACAAAGAGTTAATGGCTCTTTGGCAGTGTCGCGTGCCCTCGGCGATTATGAGTACAAAAATGTTGAAGGCTGTGGGCCATGCGAGCAATTGGTCTCACCTGAGCCAGAGATATTTGTCCTCGATCGACAGGACGAGAATGACGAGTTCCTAGTCCTTGCTTGTGATGGAATCTGGGACGTCATGACCAATGAGGACCTCTGCAATTTTATACACTCGAGGCTCCTAATTACCGACGACTTGGTAGCTGTCACCAATCAAGTCATAGACACATGCTTATACAAGGTAAGATTCTTTAAAGAATATGTGACGCTCCACGAGAAAAGGGGCCTATCTCCGAAATAATATTAGGCTTAGTTTTCATGTACGGTGCACGGAAAACTGAGCTTAATGTTATTTCGGAGATAGGTCCCTTCTCTCGTGGAGCGTCACATATATTTATTTTTTTTATCCTTTCGTAATTTATACATAGAGGTCGTTTTCACCTTATGGATAAGTTGTGAGGGGGAAATATTTCTTGACGTTATTTTGAGAAATAAATGATCAAATATACTAGAATAAGGGTAAAAAGTCACCCCTGCGACCGGGTCGGTTCCTCACACTTTATCCGTACGTCATATGATGTGTTTAGAGTATATCTCCTTGTGTGAATTTATAGTCTATAATCATTATATTCATTTCTTATTTGGGATCAATTAATATTTGACAATTGTACTTGAAGATCGACATTATCCGAATAGACTATTTTATTGTTGAAAGTGATATAAGGAAAAGAGTCGATATTTGATCATTATTGAACTTAAGGGGCTATACCAGAGTGACACTTTCAAAAAATCAATTTTTTGGCTTATTCGATAGTTTATACTTTCAAAAATATCATGTGAAAGCGTCAAGATTGTATCTTGATTAGTTTTTGAATGGCAATGTTCTAAAGAGCGACCGCTCGCTGATATAAACCGCACCACCTGCCTATAGACGATCTTTAGCGTTTTTTTGGAAACGACATTTTTAAAAATTGCTGACATCATAGCTTAACGAGAAATTCACCGATTGACTTTAAATTGAAACTGAGTATTCTTGAATATATTTACTATACAATGACCTACGATCTTTTTGATTGGTTGAAAATTGTCAATTTGGCATTAAAAAAAACGACCATTTTTTACCCCAAAAACGACACTTTTTCAGAACTACGCCATTTTATTAGTTTTTGATATTTTTCAAAAATCCTAGGTCATTGTATAGGAAATACCTTAAACTTCAAGAACCTTTTTGAATTTTTTTGTTTCATCTACTCATTTGGCCGGAATCATGTCAGCAGTTGGGGAAAATTTTTTTTGCCACCTCCGAAGACAGCACATAACTTCGTTATTTTTCAATATTTTTGTAAAAAAAATCTTAAAATATAACTAAAAATATGCCTTATTATGTCCAAAAAACATCAAAACATTCTATTAAGTACTTTCTTTTAAAAAAATACCCAAAAATCGTCTAATTTTTCATGGGTTTGGTATAGCCCCTTAAACAAGTAATTAATGTATTACATTTGATCTTTGTAATAAATTTTATATTCCTGGAAGTCACTTAATATTTTATTTTTATATTTTGTATTTGGGTTCACCAACTTCCCTCCCTGTGATCTTAAAGTCTTTTGTTAATTTTAACTAATAAATTAACTGTCGTTCGCGTGCAAATTATATTATTTTATTTATCATCAAATAGAGCCCCAGCAACTTTGAACCCGATCGCGCTGAATGTGGAATAATTTTATATAATTTATGTGAGTTTTGTGATCATTTATTCTTATTTAATTATATTTTCTTTAAATAACAAATTATTCCGTCTCTAAAGTTTAATTCTCCGAGAGGTTAAAAACAGTAGATATATTCTGCGTCTGCGCAGAATGTTCGCTTCTGCGCAGTCGCAGAATATATCTACTGCTTTTAACCTCTCGTAGGATTTTAGCCACACGGTGAAAATGGCCTCATAAAGAGAAGTAAATGATCTTTAAAAGGTCAGGAGAAATAAAATTATTTAAATTTTTTGATTTCATTAGATGGTTTGCCAATCTCCTCAAGCTTAAAAATTTTTATTTATTTTTGTAACAGGACATTTTATTTAGTGATTTATTAACGCTATTTATAAGTTGAGCCGATTAGCGTTTAATTGAACGAAGTCGACTACTTGGAAAAAAATCATTTTTAGACTGATCACCATTGATCATGTATTGATTTTGTGTATTTTATAGTGTGTTGTATAAGTGATAATACAGTTTAAAAATTAGTAAGTTAGAATTTCTATGTTACCGAATTTTATAAAATAGAAATTATATTGAATTGCATTTTCATATTTAAACATTTTTTTATTTAACAATTTTGAGAAAATGATCAAATCATCGAATTTTCATTTGACCGAAATTGCAAATGGCCGAACAAATATCTGACAGAAAAGTTTTGGCGCGATTTTGAAAATTAACCAATTGGAAATAATCAAGAAAATTTTGATTTAATTTTTGAATTCCAGCCAAAAATTTTGTCGGATATTTGTTCGGTCAAATGAAAATTCGGCGTTTTTAAAGGGGTGAAATCCAAAAGATAACCTCAAAAATGAAAATCACTTAAAATTCTGATAAAGAGAAATTTTGTAAAATAAAAAATCTGCCAAATAAAAATTCGGTATCCAAAAAAGTCTGTTAAAGAAAAATTATTTAAAAAGTAAATTTTAATGAATGATTTTTATGGGAAATTCATAAATTTTTACACATAATTTTCTTTACTTTTGTCATTTGATTTGAGGCCAATAAAGTAAAGTATTTACTTTTAACAATTTATTTCAAAAAAATAACAAATTTTTTTAAAAATAAATGAAGGATTATAAAATTATAAAATTTTATTAAAACAAAAAGAAATTGAGAATTCAATCTGAAGATATATTTGTAGAACCCCTGTTAAAAGCATCAAGTTTGTATCACTTATATTATTATTTTTCTCTCCTCCAGTTTAATAAAATTCACCTTGAAAAGAGAAAATCTTAAAATAGAAAAGTACTTTTATAAATATGATTATAAGGTATTCTATTTCAAACCTTTTCACCAGGAAAAGATTATCACGTACAAAAGATTTTTTCAAATGAATATGTATATATTTTTATGAAAAGAAAATTCAAAGGTATATAATTCATAATAGTAAAGGAATCAAAAAGATGGAGAATTTAATAAATTTTATATTGGCTGTAAAATTTTTCTGAATTTTATTCGATTTTTATTCTAGTTTTTAATTATTATTATTATTACTACAGGTGTTAAAGACGATTAAATAATAAATAATAAATTCATCGATTAAGTAATAAAAATTAAAATGCTATTTTTTTAAAATTGTTAACATATACTGTAAATGCAATATAAATTAAAAAATTGCTGAACGATGAAAACTAAATATTACAGTTATTAACATCGTAAGTTTAAATAAATGTATGTATTTTTTAAAAAAAGCAACATTACGGAATAATGAGATGGGAAAATAATACAATAAGTAGTTTCTAAACTTCATCTGAATACACGAAAATTAATGCCAAGAGGTTTTGGCAATGGCCTCTGCATATTAACGTAATGGGTTAGATATTTAGAGATTTAACGCTTTTGATTCAGATCAAGTTCACTTGATATTTTCATTATTATTAAAACTTTGTCTAAAAACAAATAACAATTTTTTTTTTCTTAGTAATATTTATTGAAATCTTTATTCATTTAATATTTATTTATTTTATCATTTTGAATTTAAAAAATTAAAATTAAACAAAATTAACTAAAGCAGTTAAATTATTATCAAACAATAACTTAAATTTGTTTCTTCTGAATTTATTTTTTTTTTTATTGCCAATATTCCTATTTTTATTTTCCCTTATATTAACTGAACCAATTTTTAATTTTAGTTTTTTTTTATATAACCGAAAATGTTCATTTCACAAATAATATTGTTTCGTAACATATTAATTTTGAAGAATATTCATGCAAAAGAATAAAAATTCTGTAAAATTAAAATTGTGTACAATTTTTTTTTTCTCCAAAATTAAGATTCTTTTAAATTACTGTTTTGCAAAAATAGTATTCTACAGAGTGGAATTTTATTAAAACAAATGAAAATTCTAACAATTGATTTTTAAAACTTATTCATACGTTCCAAAAAAAAAAAAGAAAACAGTTTTGATAGTATCGAAGATTTGATTAATCTAAATAATTATCATTATTTTTACAGGGCAGCCGAGACAATATGAGTATAGTTCTGGTAACCTTCCCAGGAGCGCCAAAGCCGAGTCCTGAAGCGCAGGAAAAAGAGACTGCACTCGAAAAGGCCCTCGAAAGGAAGATCAAAGGTTCACTGTCTTTTCCTTTTTCACATTCTATATTATCTCTTTGTTGTGGTATTAACTCGCGATCTCGATATCGTAAACGCACCTGACGTCAATCCCCCAATTTTATTTAGAGAAAATAATTTAATTTTAATAAATACCTCCTCCCCCACCCCTAGCCGTTAAAAAAAAAATAATTTACAAAAAGTAATGAATTTGATGAAACTACGAAAAAGTAGTTAAAAATATTTAAAAAAAAAAAAAAATTCTAACCGGTGACAACGGAGCGCACTTTATAAAATTCATTAGCTAGAATTTCAATTTCATTTCTTCGATTTAGAATTTTAACGAATTTCTTGTTAAACAAATTTTTATATATGAGAATTTTTAAAGTAACCAATTTTTTATTTAAAAGAATTTTTAACATCTTTTTATCAAACAACATTTTGGGTTCGAATTTTAAAATCGACAAATCACCAAAAAAAATTTTGATATTTAAAAATTTTTAAATTTGGGCCGAAATTTTGTTTTGTCGATTTTAAGATTTTAAGAATTCTATAAATTTGCAAATAAAAATTTGTACAAGAGAAGATTCCGATGAACTGAAAATTCAAATTCGAATAACTGAAAATTCTGTTGATTGAGAATTTTGCTAAATTAAAATTCGGTTAAGTAAAAATGGAGTTTAAAAAAAAAATTTAGTGAAATGATAATTCGAAGAAATGAAAATTGATCAAAATGAAAATTATTTTAAATAAAAATTCTAACTAATCAATTTTATGGAATTATCAAGCGCCCAGTAGTAATTAATAAAATAAATAGAAATAATAATTTATTAAAATACAATAAAAATCGGTTTTTGTGGGATTATCTGATTAAAATCACAAAATATTAAAAAATATTTTGAAATTAAAATACAAAGTATTTATTGGAGGGGGTCAACGATATTTTAGCAAATATTTTTTATCCTTTTGTACTCTACGAAAAAGGGTTCCATGATTTTTTTTTCGAATTTTTCATCAAGCCTTATACGAGATATAATTTTTTTTTTTAAATTAAAGATTTTTTTCTTTGATTGTTCATAACTTTCTTTATATTGTTTCAATTTTGAAAGTATTTTTTTTTTAATCCTGGGTAAACTTTTCGCAAATTTGATGCAAAAAATGACGGAAAAATAATAATAATAATAATTAAATTAATTTTGAAAAATTTATATTTAGTAAACGGTTTGATAAAAGAAAAAAAGAAAAAATCCTGGAACTCTTTTTCGTATCTAATTTATTTAATTCCCGCATTATATCAATTTTAGAACTTCTAAAACGGTTTTTTTTTCAATCTTTGAGTAGAATATATATTTTTTCTATGAAAAACAATAATCCAAATGTGCGTGTGTCACGTTTTGTTGCCTTTACAAATTTTATGATGAAAAATATTTTTTACATTAAATTTGGTACGTTTTTTGTGGTGATTGATCGGTGATAAAAATTTTTAAATATGAGGCAATTTTATCCAAGATTTAAAATAAATGACAAATAATTCGAATATTCATTCGCATATCTTGCGTATAGAAATGAATATGTACCAAATATTTCTATATTCAATTTTTTAAATTCGTCTAACGAATAATATATATAGAATTTTATTGGTTTTATATTATTTGACGAAAATCCCATTTTACTGCCATGTTGTTAGGAAGAGAAAATTATTAAGTTTTTCTTATAAAAAACCATTTTTATAACAAGACAGTATTTTGTTTTTTCTTTTCTATATAGATTTCAAAAAACGAAGCACTTTCTTAAAAAAATTATCCCTATTGAAAAAATATCAATTAAACAAATTGACAAAATTTAAAATTAGTAATAGAGAAGAGAAATTTAAAAACTTTTTAAATTTCTATAAAAATTAGTAATTATACAAAAATTTATTTTTAAATATTCCAAATTTATATCAAATTACAGAAAATGAACATTTAAGTTTCAATAAATTATTTGTTGTTTTCCACTATAAATTATGATTTAATTTTTTTGTTCAGTTAAAGTTTTTTTTTTATAAATAAATAGGAAAAAAGTTAATTTAAACAAAACCACTTTTTGTTCAAATGTTTACAGTTATTAAAAATACATAATTCAAATTTAATTTTGTTTGAAATAAATAAAAAGTTACTTTTTATTTTTATTTGTAATAAAATCCATTTATAAAAAAAAAAATTTTAAGAGAGAAAACTGTCTTCTCAGAAACACAAAGTATTAATCAAAACTTAGCTCAAAATAATTCGTTCAAATGTATAAAGAATGATGAAAAAAAAATATATATATATATATATTTTAATAGTATTAGCGAGAGTATAAAGATGCTCAAACTTTCAAGTATTTTATGTATAACAAATAACGAACGTACGTCTCGTAAAGAAAATACAATTTTAATTAGATTTCTTTGTAATTAACAATTATAATATAAATATATACTAATGACTGATTCATTAGTATTGTGTGCAAATCAAATGATAGAGAATTAGGATAGTAAACCAAATACGTGAGACCTTACTCGGAATTTTTCACCTCATGTCGATCAGTATTAAAACAAATTAATTAGATATAATTTAAATTAATTAACTTAACTATATATATATATATAAATTTCAGTGAAAGTTAATTTAAAAAGTTCAAATGACAAATTTTAAAAAAAAATTAATTTACAATTAGTAAAATTTGATAAAAAAAAAGTAAATTATTTGACAAAAATAGGTACATATAATATATATCTTTAGTCAAATGAAATAAAAAATTGAAATTTTATAAAAAAAAATATAATATATATTAGAAATATTTTAGATATTTATCATGTGATTCATAAATAGTCTTAATATCAAAGATATAGTTATATAATGTGATTAAAATTATTCCTAGTTATAGGAGCCCAAATATTTCCGAATTACTTTTAATTGTAAAGAAAATTATATTTTTCTATGCCGTTAAGTAGTGACAAGTTTTATTTATTTTAGAGTTATATATAAATTAAAAGAGTTTATTAGAATGTTGAAATTAATTAGATTTAATTAAATTATTATGGATTATCCATATCATGTTGAGTTTTTTTTCATTAATTTTTTTTTTGTTTTGAGAAATATGAATGTGTTATATAGATTAAAAATTAGAATTAGAGTAGGTTTTTAGAAAAAAAAGTGTAGTTTTAAAGGTTGTTCTTTGAAATATATAAATAATGTTAAACTCTCTTTTAAACATAGTGAGCTCTAATTGTAAGATAAATTTTATTTTTTTTTTGTTAACAATATATTAGGGTGGCCACTCAATCAGGAGAAAGGGGAAAAAATTTCAATCGGGAAAAAGCCGGGACTGAAATTTTACACCGGGAGATTTTTTCAAATTTTTTCATCAAGCCGTTTACGAGATATAAATTTTGCAAAATTTGAGAATTCTAATGATTTTTTATTTTTGAATGCTCATAACTTTCTTATAAATGCGTCAATTTTATTTTTTTGTTAAAATGAGTATTTTTAACTGAAAATTTCAAAAATTTATACAATTAAAATTTACTATATTTTTTTGTAATTTAAACGTTAAAATCTTGTTTTTAAAACTGTTTGTATTTTTCGATTTCTTTTTTTTTTTTTAATTTTCAAAAAAAACTACTTTCTTTTACAAAAATTTTTGAGCCTAGTCTGGTCGTGAGAAAACAATTTTCTCATTATTTTCAAAATTTTTTAAAATTTTCGAAATTTTGAATTGAAATACATTTCTTATACCTTTTACATTTTTGAAAATTTTGCATATTTTTACCCAAAAAAACAAAAAAAAAAAAAAAACAAAAAATTTAGGACTTTTCTATGGTTTTCACCATAGAAATCAAATTTTTCGAAATTGTCACTATCATTTTCGTAATCAGCGCATCAAAATACATAAAAGTACGTAGTACAAAAAAAACCAGAGATATTTTTAAAAAATGCAAAATTTCGAAAATTTAAAAAAATTCCGAAAATATTGAAAAAATGTTTTTCCCATTATCGAACCAGGCTTGAAATTTTTGTAAAAGTAGTTTTTTTTTGAAAATTTAAAAAATCGAAGGATACAAACAGTTTTAAAAACAAAATTTTAACTTTTAAATTACTAAAAATATAGTAAATTTTAATTTTATAATTTTTTTGTAATGAAATTTTTGAAAACTTTATTTAAAAACATATATTTTGAAAAAGAACTATTAAAATTGATGTATTTTTAAGGAAATTATGAAAATTCAAAAAATTAAAAATTATTTAAATTCTCCAATTTTGAAAAATTCATATTTCGTAAATATGGTTTGATGAAAAAATTTGAAAAAAAATCATGACGATCTATTTTAGAGGGTACAAAACGGTCCTTTAAAATCAAAATATATTAATTTTCATAGTAACTAAAAACCAAGAGAAAAACGGGAGACAAAAAGTCTAAAAATAGTGGCCACCCTGTAATAAAATTATTGTCCTTTTGTTTTGTAAAACAAAATTTTTTTCTCGATTTCAAATTCCGTTTTTTATTAACGTAAAAATTGAAAATTTTTAAAAAGTTTTTTTGCCAAAGAAACAATAAAAAAAAAAATTACGAACTAATATCTTGGAGATTGCGAATTAGTACCTACTTCAAAGGAAGTTAACAATATTATCAAATTAATCAAGAATGTGAAATTGAATTTTAGGACAATTAGAATTTTATCTTAGTAATTATAATTACAAGATAATTTTTATTTTCAATCGTTTCTGTTTTTTTTTCTTTTTTTTTTGAATAGTTGTAAAACATTAACTTTTTTTTAATGTTTATTATTGAATATAAATTATTTTTTTATTAAATATTAATTATTTTTTTAATTAATATTAAATATTAAAAAAATAATAAATGGAAATAATGAAATTGATAAGGGGCCAAATTAAGGGAATTGAAAAGTAGTTAAATTTGTAAATGTATAATAATCTGACTGAAAAATTTTTATTTTAGAATTTTGAATTTGAAATCGAGTCATGAGACAGAAACGATTGATAAAAAAATTTAATTTGTCAAATGAGACTGTTGTTAAGTGCGTATCATTTCATTAAATCTAGTCATAAATAATCGAAAGAAATGAATAACTGATACGAAATACTTAACGTCTAATTATGAAACTCAAATTCTCAAAAACAAAAAAAGAAAACAATGTGTTTTAGACAAAAATTTTGATACGAATTTAGATCATAAATTATTTATATATATATATAAATATTTTCCATTAGATTGTTAAGCCTAACAGCGGTACAAAAATTAAAAAAAAAAAACCGAGTGCCAAATAGTTTTATTTTTTTTTTGTTTTTATGAAACTCGTGAATATTCCTGAAATTTACTCGTTTATCCAGTGACCAAACAATTTTGTTTTACAATTGAAAATTAGAAAAAAAAACTTGTTAAAATTTTTCCCTTTTTCTAAGTAGAGACAAAATTTAATTATTTTTTTTATGTTAAATGACGTATAAATTAAAAAGTATTAAAAAATAAATAAATTTTGTTAGCCTTGAATAAATAAATAAAAAAAAAAAATTGAATGAATATTGATGCGTCTCTAAAAAAAATTGATTTATTAAAATATAAAAAAAAAGAAAGAAAGGAATTTTTTTAAAAACTGATATTATTGTACCACTGTTACCTGATTGTTAAGTAGTTAATCGTTGATGTGCGAAATCTTTATATACCTTCAAAGAATGTGTTCCACCCTTGGAGTTGTTAGAAAGGAAACATTAAAGTTCTTATTGTAAATAAAAAAAGTCTCGTTTTGTATTGAAAAAAAAATAATTCATTTATACATAGAAGATTTTTTAAGGTAGGTACTACTTTCTTTATGCCTCTAGATCTCCGTCTTTTTTTTCTCTTCACTTTTTCACCCCCCCCCCCCCCCCATTCAATCCTTTTTTGCAGGCATTTAACGGCAATGCATTTCTTATGGCGGAATTTCCTGCATTAGCCGTTAAAAAAAAAAAAAACAAATTTTTTATCGATTATCTAAAACAAATATGAAAAAAAAAAAAAAATGATTCCGACAATTCCAGAGGTGGACAAAATTGATAATTACGAAAGAGAAACGCTATATGCTTACGACCGGAATACAATTTTTTTAAATTGGCACTAAAAATGAATTTAAAAAAAATAATTTTTTTTTTTAATTTCCTATAATTTATCGGATGGAATTAATTACCCATAAGAAATGTACTATGGCTTTTGTCATTTATATTCCAGTCCTGAGTAGTTTGCATGTTCCCCTTTTATTCGTTTCTCTTTCTATTTAGAAAATCCCTTTCTTTTCACAAAATAATTTTTAATTTACAAGAAGAAAAAAAACAAAAAAATTTGTTACGGTTTTATTATGCCAATATTGAGACAGTGGGAATTTTGTTGTTTGCATTTTGAATGAAAGCTTTTATCTCACACCGGTATAACAGTTGATACATACATATTTATATATATAGTTTTGGCTTTAAAGTCAAAAGACGTGTTTGAAATATTGTCTTGATTTAATTAATTAGTTAATTAATTGCACTGTTGTTTGTTCGTTTTTTTTTTTCTAAAGAAAAAAAAAATAATTGTCAAAGAAAGCACGTGCAGTTTTTTTAACGTTATATAAACTCTTTATATCTCACAATAATTATTTTTGTCTTATCTTATTCTATTTATTTATTTTTTTTCTGTGAAACAGAAATCGTTGAGCAACAGGAGGGAAAAGAGAACTTCGACTTTGTTCAGATGCTCAAATTTCTTCTTTGTGTGGAACTACCGAATCTGCCACCTGGTGGAGGACTTGCTGCAAAGTGAGTTTGTTTTTTATTTTTGTATTTTACAAAAAACTTTTATAAGAATTTCAAATTTTTATAAAAATTAACGTCGATGAAGTTCACAACGATTTCAGGCTTCGGATTATACGATTTTTTTCTGACTTATTTAAATAAAATGTGACGTTCTCGACTTTTTTTTTACAAAATTTTTAAACAAAATACGTTTCTTTTAGTATACAAAGCAGATTTTACATCTTGTTTATTTCAATTATTTAACAAATTTTTAACTAAAATTTTTCTCTAAATTAATTATTTTTTTATATTTTTAATGAAATTCTTCACAAATTCAATTATCTTAAATTATTTTTCAATGAAAAATTTTATGAAGTTCAATTATTGTTTACAATTTTAAAAAATCAAATAAAATGACAAAAAATTTCAATTTTAAATATTTAACAATTTAATTATTTCTAAAATTTTCCATCTAAAACTTTCTAAAATTTAATAATTGCAATTTTAATTTTTCCGAAATTCAATTATTTTTAATAATTTTTATAATAACTCTTCAAAAATTCAATTATCTTAAAGTATTTTTCAATTTTAAACTTTTGAAATTCAATTTTTGTTCGTGATTTCTAATAAATTCTTCATCAACAGAAAACACTAAACTCCTATTATATAATTATTATCTGAAAATTAACACAATCTTTTGAAATTCAATTATTTTCCAAAATTTCAATTTAAAAACCTCTAAAATGTAATTATTTTAAAAATTCTCCATCTAAAACTTTTTGCAATTTAATTATTTTAATTAAAACTCTTCCAAAATTCAATTATTTGAAAGCATTTTGTATTTAAAAATTTTGAAATTTATTTTTTGTCTGTAATTTCTAATAAATTCTTTATCAATAGAAATTACTAAAAATTATTTCAATTAAAAATCACTTGAAGTTTAATTAATTTTAGAAATTTGAATTGTAAATTTTTGAAAATTCAATTATTTTTAGAATATGTTATTTAAAATTATTTGATAAATTATTTTTAGTTTTGTAAAATTTAATTATTGTCTGAAATTTAACAAAATCTTTTGAAATTTAATTATTTTTAAAAATTTCAAACTATAACTCTTCTAAAGTTCAATTATTTTTAATAATTTTAATATTTCTGTAAAATTTCATTTAAAATAGTTTCAAATAAAAACTCTAAATTTGAATTGTTGTCAAAATTTTTTTTTTTTAAAGAAATTTGTCCCATTTAATTAAAATTTATAAAATTTACGTTTTCGATTTTGAAATATTTTTTCAAATTTTTTTTTAGTATTTTAGTTTTTTAATAATAATAATTTAAAAAAAAAAACTTATAACTTTTCTACAAATACTTTAAAAACAATAATTTTAATTTACTAATTGCTTAAATAGTTAAATTATTGAAGAAGTTTATTGAACTTTTTGTAAATTATAAAATTTGCAAATAGTTTTAGTTATCTTTTTTTTAATAAATAACAATTATTATGGATATAATAGAAATAAATCAATATTAAAAGAGATGTTTTTAATTATTCAATTATCGAAGAATTTATTAAAAATTTTAAAATAAATAAGTTTCTTTTAATAATAATAATTTAAATTATATTTTTGAAAATAATAATTGAATTTTCGAATATTATTGAATTAAACGAAATTGAATTTTGAAATTTATATATTTTATATTTGAAATTTTGTAAAATTTGATTGAAACCTTTGAAAATAATTATTGAAATTTATAATCTTATTTGTAATAAAAATTAATAAAAATTAATAAAATTTTACAAATTTCTCTTTATTTTCAATATAATTAAAGAAATATAATATTTAAATATTTTCGTTTTTGTTCACAGGCAAACGTTTATTGAACGTGTATTTCGAAAAGTTTGTCCCAGCAGAGCAGACAGCGTAAGTTTTGGATGCGATTATCCTTCGTTATAAGTAAAACTCTCCTGTCTTTTTATTATAAATTTATAAATATAAACAAAAAAAAAAAAAAAAAATCCGTGCATCAAATGTACAACTACAATATCATCAGTTGCATACCACTCACATTTTTCAGATAACATGTCATTTGTGAACAAAATTTTTTACAATAGTTATGCCTCCTTGACATTGAATTTTATAGAATTTCTTCACAAATTCATGTCTGCTTATTGAAAATAAAAAAATAGAAAAAGGAACAAATTTAATTAAAAAAAAAAAAATCATACAGTTACGGTAAAGATTTTTTAAAATTCTCTGAATTCTTTCCAATAATAATAATAATTACACCCCTCCCGCAAAAAAAAGGCAGACATGAACTTTAATTTCAAGTTATGCTTGTAATGAAAATTATTGTTTATTGAATGAAAGACAAAACTAAAATAGAGGAGAAAACAAAAAATCGAAAGTCCACGTAAATGTCGTATTATTGTTACATTGATAAGTTTTTCGAGAATTTCTTTTTTTTGCAAGTGCATTGCGGAGATTAATTCGATATTTAATTATTAATGAATTTTATAATCTCTGCTCATATGCATATTATGAAAAAAAATAAACTTTTATCATTTTACGTTAATTTCGACGACAGTACAACTATAAATAAATAAAAAAATAAATATATATATATATACAAATCATATATTATTATATACAAAGCAATTTATCATGAGGGTTTGCGAGAAATTATTCATCTCAGAGAATTTTCATGATCCCGAAGGAGAGAAAGAAAGAGAGAAAAAAAATCCTTATCAATGTCCGTAAAAAAAAAGAAAAACTTTCAAATATATAACACGGGATTAGAAAACGATTAGTTAGAGATAAATTCGCTACGGATTTAATAGACTTGTAAGTAAATAATAATCCTCCCAAAAAATATTGACTTGATTATTCCAGAATTACATTTCTTGCAATAATTTGCATAAAAGAAAAGAATTTTTTTTTAATTTACATTTACGTTTTTAAATTCAAAAATATTTAAATTAATTTCCCTTTCTTTTTCATTGTAGATACTTTGAAAAATAACAAGAATTGTAATTCGTGGAAATTTATAGTCTCTGCATTGCAAATTCCCTTCCCCCTTAGATTTAGAAAAGTAGACTTGTTGAATTTTATATATAAAAAAAAAAAAATATTGTCTTAACGAACGATAACAAAAAAGAAAGCAGTTTGTTGCCTTGAATCTTGAAAAAAAAAATTCTTCTCTCTTACTTTTCAAGATTTGAGACGAGACTCGCCGAATGAGTGACTTGAGTTCCTCGATAATATATTGTTGCACCACTGCGATTTTTATGACATAATAATAAAAACAAAAAAAACATAATATTGAAAAAAGGGGTAAAAAATTATTTACAAAAAAAAAAAAGTGACATGAGAGCATAATACCAATCGAATTACCGATTTGATTTATTGCAACCCCCCTGATTAACGACGACAAGTTTACAAATTTATAAAAACAAGCTTAAAACAATAAAAAACTTTCAAATCTCGTACTGTATTTTGTGCGAGAATTTTGAAATTAATAAAAAATAAACTAAAGACGTGTACAGACCGATGAGTGTTCGGAAAAAAAAAAAAAATGAAATAATATGAAAAATGATGTAGATAAGAAATTAAATGACTTGTTAGGCGCGAATAATATTGAGAAGGAAGAATTTTTATGTCTTTTCTTTAAATATAATTTCCTTAATAATGGAAATTCCGAATATTTCTATCCTCTGCCATGTTGACAAAAAAAAAAAAATGCGTAATGTAATAATGTAACAATAAGTATACAACACATATACATATATATTTTTTTCTAGTTGTAGAAAATTGCGCTCAGATTATTAACATATTATACACATACACAAAGTGAGATTGGTCACTTTTTCCTCTTTATTGTTAATTTTTCAACAAAAAAAAAAAAAAAAAAAAAAAAAAAAAGTTTCTTTTTTCGACTTTTTTTTCAACGAAAAATTTCTTTGCAATTTGAGGCAAACTTTGAGCGCATTTACATTTTTAAACCCTTCTGTGTCTTTTTTTTTATTATATTATATTTTTCCTTTATAAATTCTTCCAAATCCATTTTTCATATAGAGATTTTGATTTTCCTTAATTCGATCAAAATTACACTAAATAATCATTTATTAATTTTTAAATGGAAGATGTATTCGAACAATTTTTTACTTTAATTTTAATTTTTAATTTTTATATTCTCTTTATATGGGAAAGAAACCAATAAAATAAATTAATATAAAAAAAAATCCATTAGTATAAATGTAGGAAACAATTGTTTTTAATTAAAATTACAGGCCTCGGATTATACGACTTTTTTCAACTTTTTTTACGAAATTTTTAAACAAAATACATTTTTTTTAGTATACAATGCAGATCTTCATTATTTTAATTATTTAACACATTTTTTACTAAAAATTTTTCTCTAAATTAATTATTTTTAAAAATTTTAATGAAATGCTTCACAAATTCAATTATCTTAAACTATTTTTCAATTAAGAAATTTTATGAAATTCAACAATTTTTTACAATTTAAAACAAAAATCAAGTAAAATTATTAAAAATTTCAATTTAAAACATACAACAGTTTTAAATGATTTTCATAATATTTTTCGAAAATTCAATTATCTGAAAGCATTTTTCAATTTAAAAAAATTTTAAGTTCAATTTTTGTATTTATTTTTTAATAAATTCTTCAACAACAGAAATCACAAATAAATTTGAATTTAAAATCACTTGAATTTAATTATTTTCAAAAATTTTAATTTAAAATCTGTATAAATCTTCTAAAATTTAATTATTTCTAAAATTTTCCATCTTAAACTTTCTGAAATTTAATAATTATAATTTTAATTTTTATACCTAATATTCTTCGAAAATTCAATTAAAATTTTTTATTTAAAATTTTTCCAATTCAATTTTTCAATTAAAAAATTTTAAAGTTCAATTTTTGTCTTTAATTTTTAAGACATTCTTCAATAACAGAAATTACTAAAAAAAATTCAATTAAAAATCACTTTAATTCAATTATTTTCAAATTTTAATTTAAAACCTTCTAAAATTTAATTATTTTTAATATTTTCCATCTAAAACTTTTTGAAATTTATTAATTTCAATTATAATTTTTTCGAAATTCAATTATTTTTAATGATTTTTGTAATATTCTTTGAAAATTCAATTATCTGAAAGCATTTTTGAAATATAAATCGACTAAAACGACTTTTGTTTTGTGCCTGAAAGTCGATCCGAGGCCTGATTTTCCTTAATTCGATCAAAATTGCACTAATTTATCATTTATTAATTTTAAATGGAAGATGTATTCGAAAAATTTTTTACTCTAATTTTAATTAAAAATTTTTATATTCTCTTTATAGGAAAGGAAACAATAATAGAAATTAATAAAAAAAAAAGAATCCATTAGTACAAATGAAGGAAACAATTATTGTTTTCAATGAAAATTAATTACAATAATAATTATTATATTCAATTATTTCACATTTTGATAAAAATTCAGTTAATCAAAATTTGAATTTTTCAATTCAGGCGAAAATTATGTTGAAAAAAAAAATATTACATTGTTTCCTTACCGAAAATATTCTCGTTTCTTTGAGAGAATTTTTCACAAATGAAAACGTGTCGGAAAAATTGACCATTTTCATTTTTTTCAAGCAAAATCAATCCTGTATATACATGTACATCATTAATGTCTACATTACAATTTTATCATTCTTTTTGTCTCAAACTTTTCTATATTTTTCATCGATTTTTCTCCTATCCGAAAAAATAGCTTTCAAGAATTTTCTCCCAATTGATATTTTATAAGAAAAATATTGTAAAATATTCGGAAATTAAAATTTTTTTAAATGAAAATTTCTCTTTTGTCAATAGTTTTTTTTTTGTATTAAAACTCAACTTTTCTCTAATTTTCTTATTTGTGTAATTAACAATTAACTGTTATTTTTATTTTTTTTTATTTTACATAATTTTTTATTTAATTCTATTTATAATTTGCCATAGTTTTTTTTCCAATATTCAAATATATGTTTTGAAATTTGATTTTACAATTTATCTTATTCATTATTTAATGCTATTTTTTAAGTTATAATTAAATAATCTATATTAATTCTTTATTATTTATAAGTTTTTATATTAAAAATTTATTAATAATAACAATAAGGAACATTGTAAAAAAATATTTTACTAAACAATTATTATTAGGAATAGAAACGACTTTTTATGAAAAATCAACTAACATGAAAAAATTAAATGATAATATTTAAAGACTTAAAAAAAAAATACAGAATAAACTTAATGGCAAATTGTCTTTTGTAAACATACAAAAAATTAGGTAAATAAAAATTATGTAAAATAAAACTAATAGTAAGTTGTTAATTGTTCATATTGGAATTTAAATAATTTGAAAATAAAAAAAATTTCATTTGTTAAAAAATATTTTTTTTCAATTTTTATCCATTTTTAATTTTTTTTTTTAATCTTTTTTCTCATATTTTTTAAATCGTTTTAAAAAAGACATTTTACCAAATGAAAATCTGTAAAATAATTTTTGTATTAAAAACTGAATATTAAAAAAAAAAAAAAAAATTTGTTAAAAATAAATGTCATGGAATTTTTTGTAAAGTTAAAGAAAACACGTGTTACGCATATCAGAATTGTAAAAAAAAGTGTTTGAAGATCTTTTTAATTTTTTTTTTTTTTGTACGAATATTTTTTTTATTACAATGGATCTAAAAAGACGCATTAAGTATATATATATTGTGAAAATTTTTCTATAGAAAATAAATTTATTGACAATTTCCTCCTCTGACTGTCGAATATTTTTTATTAAAAGATAAATTTTTTCCCAATACGGAGAGAAATATTAAGCTTTAATGTAAATTGAATTTTATTAATTTTGCTTTCTTCAATAAATAATTTTTATTTTGAAAAAAAAAAATTTATTTGATTCAAATAATCGGTTACTTGACTATTATCAAATAAATATTTATTTGTATCAAATAATTATTATTTGAGTCAATAAAATGGTATTTATTTCAAATACAGAAATTATTGATTCAAATACAATTTATTTAATTTAAATAAAAATTCTTTGATTCAAGTAAATATTTATTTGATAATAGTCAAGTAATCGAGAATTTGAATCAAATAAATTTTTTTTTCCTGTGTATGTTCGTTTTAAAATGATGATGATAATAATGTTAGAAAATTTTTCGAAGCTTTCTATTTGCTTTCTTTTTACAATGATACCAAAGTATAATTAGTTTTAAACCATTTAATAAAATATAGAAAATGAGATTCAATGCTTGACAAATATGGTGTAATTTTGATTTGTCAAGCAAGAAATGATTTTTTGATTTGCATTTATTAGCGCTTGTCAAAAGAGATGAAGTTTTTGTACACTTTTTAAGATTATATATATATATAGCAAATACTGAGTGTAGAAATCGTGAATATTGTTATTATTATTATTATTATTAATTTAGAAGCTGTGGAATGCTCTGATTTATTGTTCGCAATAATCATTAACGTAAATCAAAAGTAATTTTAATACTCTTTAATTTATTGTTAAAAGCAATTTTTTTTTTACATTTCAAAAGTCATTCTTCTATCCTTTTTCATCTTTTTTTCTTTTTTTCTGTCAAAAGAAATAATATCTACATTGAATGTAAATTTTTTTATAATCTGATTTGGAAATATTTAATATTGTACACTCAAAGAAAATAATTTTGAAGGCTTTAAAATTTTTTTTAATTCTTGTTTAAAAGAAATTTTTGATCTTTTTCTGTAAAATGGTTTAATTTTAATTTTTTTTTTAAGAATCTCGTTTGTACTTAATAGAATTTTTTTTTGTTTGCACAATTTTGGAAAATTATTATTTCGAATTCAAAGCCTTCAAAATTTAAATGAAATTATTTTGTAAATAGAATGTCAATTTTTAATGATTATTTTCAAATTCGAATAAACGTGATTTTTTTAAAAAGTTGTTTCTTTTTTTTTTTGATTTTTCGAGTTTCATTAAAAAAAAAATATATATTCCTAAGAAAGACTTTTTTAAGTAAGGAAACAAAAAAAATCCTTCGTAAAAAATGATAAATGGATTTATAAATATATGACGAGAACATGAATAATTATTATTATTATTATTATCCTGAATCTGCGAATTTAAAATTATTTTGTAAACGTCGATTTTTTTAGATTATTTTGGTGATTAAAAAACAAAAAAAGCAATCTGAAGCTTTTTTTTCGAAAATCCTGCTCAACACTTGTATTAAAAGAAAATTTTTTATATTTTTTTCAGCTGCACTGATTCAAGAGATTTACTTGCACCCATGGCTAATAAATTATTAACTTGGAGAAGAAAAATGTGAAAAAATAATTTATTAGATCTACACGTTCGAAGATCGGTACATGGAAAGAAAAAAAAAATTGTTTCTTTTCGATGAAAAATTCAGCGATCCAACCGCTGAATTGAAAAAAAAAAAAAAAAAAATTTTTTTAAAACAAGAATAGAGCAAATCGAAATGTTTATTATTGGCTATAGATTTTTTGTCATAGAGGTATTTTCATGGTAAATTTGTTCTCAGTGTAGAAGGATTGAGCAGAATTTTTTTTTTTTATAAAAATATTATTAAGAAAAAAAAAAAAACCCCTTGAGTCCTTCGCTATCAAGCACGGCACAACCTTTACTTAATTAATCAATTTGTACACTTATGAATTTTAAGATTTTATTTTTAACAAAATTTGGATTTTTTTCTTTTATTGTCAAAAATGCGATCTTCTTTTTTGGAAAATATATTTTTTTTCGGATTTTATTGAAACGTTTTTGTGGTAATTGACTGCCAATTGCAGATTGTAATATTCACAAAATGTGTGTCTTCGAACTAAAATTGATTTGAAACTTTTAATTTCTATCGATGATGTGGTAAATTCTCTTAATTATATGTATATTACATTAAGGTTGTTGAGAAAAACAAAAACTTATAAATTTAATTAATTTTAATTCTTACAATTTATTTTGTATTCGAAACATTGGAAAATGTAAATTGTTCAACTTTGCAAGAGGTATTTCAATTGAGAAGGGTCTTCTTAAAAAAAAAAATAATAAAATACAAATTATATAATAGAATTGAAGTAATTAAAATGACCCAATTATTTTATATCTGACTTTTGTAGATATAAAAAAGAAGAAAAATATATTTATTTTCGTATTCTTCAACAACAAAGGTAAGTGCTAAAAAATAAAAATTTTTTCTAGTAGAATTTTCTTTGCTGTTTTTTTTCGAAAATTCGGTGCAAAAAATTCTAAAAAATTAATTTACTATATATTATTGGCAATTTAAAGATTTAATTTTAATTTTTTTTTTGCGTTCTTTGGATAAAAGTAATGAATAATAAATAAATAATAATAATAAAAATTAATAATAGTAATAGTAAAATAAATACTTGCCAATTTTTAAATGATATTTTATTCTTTTAAAATTGATGATTTTTTTTACTGGTAAAATAAGAAGGGTGTCTAACAACTGCTGGGAAAAAAAATTCCCTGACTTTTCACTCACCTGAATTACACTAAAAAATTTTTATTTTAATACAATTAAATCATTTACCTGTCTATTATCCACTAATTTCATATATATTTGAACCAAATAAATAATGTTTCGTAAAAAATATAATATTTAAGTTAAATAAATAAACTAATTGGGGACGTATAAATATTCTCAAAATTTAATTTAAAAGAATTTTCACGGCGTCAAATCTTAAATTATTAAATTTTTATTTAGTAAAATTATATGAAGCAGATTTTCTAGTACATTGAATTTCAAATTAATACAATTTCAATTTAATGGAATTTATGTTAAGAAAAATTGCATAAAGAACAATTTTTTTTAACAAAATTGTTATTTTAGTAAATTTCGATTTATCAAAATATTTACTTAACAGAATTGTCATTTAATAAATCCACAATTAACAGAATTTCTATTCAACAAAATTCTTAATTAACAAAGTTTTTATTAAAGAAAATTTTAATTCGTACTAATTCTTATTTAACAGAATTCTCATTTAAGAAAAATTCTACCTAATTCTTTTTTTGTCAATTTTCATAAACATAAATTTTGTTAAATTGAAATTATATTAATTTAAAATTTTAAAAAAAGGATTAGAAAAAATGCTTTATAAGAGTTCTGCTAAATAGAAATTCTTTTAAATCGAATTTTAGTTAAATGTAAATTGAAAATTTTGCATAATATAAAATCCACTTTATACAATTTTGCTAAATAGAAATTCGATAATTTAATATTCGACGCCGTAAAAATTTTTATAATTTAAATGTGGGTATTGGCATTAAATAATAAATTATTCGTATTAATGAATAATTTACTTTATTTGAAGTTGAACCGATAAAATAAAATTGTAACAAATAATTTTTATTTATATTAAAAAACCAAATATTTCACTGAAAAAAATTAATTAATTGTTATCCAAGTTTAAAAAATCATTTATTTGATTCGATAAATAGTAGTAAATAATTATTTACTTAATGAATATAAGATATATCACATGCTTAATAATTGAGTGTGAAGGCCAACTTTTAAATTTGCATTTGCTTTGGGAAAAAAGTAAAAAATTTTTTGAAACTAATAGTTACTTTAATTTATTCATAAAAAATTCCATAAAATTAAAGAAATTCCCTGACCGTTAGACACCCTGAATAATTTTATTTATATTTAATTAATTAATTTTTGTCTAATTCCTTGAAAGATTTCTCTGATTTTTTCTCTGGAGATTCATCAATCGATTTTGTATTACTGTTATTTTGTTTATTATTTTTTTTTAAATATTATTTAATTAATAAACTAGCAAAATTAAACGCACGCAAGCGCGCCAAATTGAGTATTTAATTGTTTGTTATAAAGAAATAAAAAATTAATATTATCAATAATAATTTAATTTATTAGAATATTATTACATATTAAATGATAATAATGAAAATTATATGTTTACAGGCCTCGGATTATACGACTTTTTCCGACTTTTTTCAAAAATACGACTTTTATCGACTTATTTTAATAAAATGCGACATTTTTTTTTTACATTTGAAAAAAATGTAAATAAAATACATTTTTTAGTATAAAATATAGATCTTCTTCACAGCTTCTTCAATTCAATTATTTAACAAATTTTGTACTAAAATGATTCTTCACTAAATTAATTATTTTTAATAATTTTAATGAAATACATTACAAATTCAATTATATCAAAATTATTTTTCAATTAAAATTTTTATGAAATTTAACAATTGTTTATAATTTAAAAAAAAATATCACAATAAATTTGCATTATTTTTTAAAAATTTCAATTCAAAATAAAAAATAAAATTCAACTATTACCCGAAATTTTAATTCAAAATCAATTAAAAATCCAATAATTATCCAAAATTTTCAATTTAAAATTTAATTATTTACCAAGTTTTTAATTTAAAATGAAATAAAATTCAATTATTTTCTAAAATTTTTATTCAAAATTAATTATCCAAATTTTCAATTCAAATTCAATTATTTCCCAAAATTTTCAATTGAAAATGAACTGAAATTCAATTATTTTCCAAATTTAAAATCAAATAAAATTTCATTATTCTCAAAAATTTGAATTCAAAATTAATTGAATTTTCAATAATTTGAATTTAAAAGCATCTAAAATTTAATTATTTCTAAAATTTTCCATCGAAAATTTTTTTTTTTTTTGAAATTTAATAATTTCAATTATAACTCTAAGGAAATTCAATTATTTTTAACTATTTTAATAATATTCTTTGAAAATTCAACTATCTGAAACAATTTTTCAATTAAAAATGATTTTCAAATTATTGTATTTTGTCCGCATTTTCTAATAAATTTTTAGTGAAATCATTTAAAATTTTAATTGCAAAACACTTAATGTTTCAATTAATTTCAAAAATCTCAATTTTAAATCTTTGAAAATTCAATTAAATTTACAAAATGTTTTCCAAAAATTGTTTGATAAATTATTTTTAGTTCTGTAAAATTTAATAATTGTTTGAAAATTAACAATATCTTTTGAAATTTAATTATTTCTAAAAATTTCAACTTTAACCCTTCGAAAAGGATTATTATTAAAAAAAAATTTTATTCAAAAAACTGTAAAATATTTTTGTTAAAATAAAAAACAAATCCACTTTTTTTTGGAATATAAATCGACTAAAACGACTTTTTGTGTCTTTAAGTTGATTCGAGGCCTGTGTTTTTATAATTAATATTTAATAGGTATTCGTTGGCCCCTGGTACCTTAAAAATTAATTTTTAAAAATAAATTTTTTTCAAATTACTGTCTTGTACAAAATTTCCTGGCGCATCTTTTTTTTCATCATAAATTTTTTGTATTTGTATACAATTTTTGAATGAATATACAACTTTAAAAAAAATTTCGTTGGTAAACGTTGTGTACTTCAGCTTCGTGAATTGAATTTTCGAATTTGGAATTTTAAAGAAACTTATTCCGAAATTTGGAAACACAATTATACAACTTTGGCAAAAATGAGAAAAAGAATTGTCAAAATTTGTCACGTCATTACTATTCAAAAAAACACGTGAAATCAGAAAAGGCCAACTTCAAGTTAGGACAGAAGGACAGACCAAGCATTTTATTATTATATAATTTTGATTAGGAAATTAATTTAACAACAATAACTATAAATATTTTTATTAAACACGAATTCTTTTTACAGGCATTTTACTTTTGTTAACTACATAATATCTAAGAAAAATGTAAATTATTTATTTGGTAAATGTACATTTTATTTTAAACGTATTAGAAAAATATAGTTTTTGTTTTTGTTTTATAAATGAATGCAAAAATTATTTATTTTAACCAATTAAATCGATTTAGTCACTAACTAACAATTATACAACTATTTTTACTTAAAAAGTCACAAAATAATAATAATAAAAAAAACAAAGTTTTAACGTCTAAAACAAATTGGAATTAAAATACAATTATTTTGAAATTCGTATTCGTATTTTTCGTCGTATCTTCATTTTCTCGGATTAAATATCATTTTTGGTCTTTCACTGCAGATTTGTTTTAATTTTCTTTTCAATGTATTTGAACTCGATTCTTGATTTTGTTTCTTGCGTTCTTGTGAATTAATTTTAATCATTTCCTGAGGTAATTGTTTTCCAATTAGTGTGTCGTTTTTCATTTTATTTTGCTTCTCATTTTTCTCCTTGTTTTGTTTGGAAATATTTAATGCAATAAGTTTTTCTTGTTTTGTATCAAAAAAGAGATTTTTATTATTTTTCTTTTTTATTTGAAATGAAGCTTTTTCTTTCTTTTGTTTTTTATTTAATTGCATCTCAATTATTTGCTTCCAATCAAATTGCTTTTCTTTATTCTTTTGTTTTTCATTTTCAAATCCCATATTTTTTTCTTTCACTTTCAAAAATTCTTGTTTCTTTTCAATTGAAGAATTTAATTCATTTTTTTTATTCGTTTTATTTTCCTTTATTTTCTGTTGAGATAAATTTTTATCTAATTTTTGACGTTTTTCCGGTAGATTTGCAATAATTTCGGGTGATAATCGTTTTAAACCTTCAGATTTTGTTTTTTTCATAAATTTCTTTTCAATTTCACATTCCTCATCTGAATATTCAAGTTTTTGTTTGACATTTTTCTTTTTTTTCAATTTATTTTTTTCTTTGTTGATTTTCTCAACTTGAAATCCGGTATTTTTCTCAATTGAAGTTGTTGATAATTGTAAATTGAAATCTTCAATACACCAATTGTCATTTTTATTGAAAAGTTGAGTTTTATTTTCTTCTTTTAGTTCTTTTTTTGATTCTTTATTCTTTGTTTCTTTTGTAAGATTCTTTTTATTGTCAATTTTCGCCTTTTTTGTATTGTAACTTGTATCAATTGTTTTTTCACTTTTTACTTTGTCTTTCTGTTTTTCTTCCGTTACTTCTGTTTCTTTTTCAATTTTTAATTTCTTCTTTTTAGAAGTTTCTTTTTTCATTAAATTTTCAACTTCTTTAGTCTCGTCATTTTCTGCCGTTAATTCTTGATTTATTTTTGATTTTCTCTTCTTCTTTTTTCGTTTCTCAAAATCTGTAGCTTCAATTTCTTCATTCTTGGTCTTCATTAGAATTTTAACTTCTTTATCCTCTTGATTTTCTTCAGTCACTTCTTGATCAATTTTCGATTTCTTTTTCTTTTTTCTATGTAGGGTTTCTTCTTTTTGTTTCTCGGAAACTTCTTCTTCTTCTTGATTTTCTTTTGCAAGTTTCGAAGTTTTCTTTTTCTTTTTTAATTTTCCTAGTGTTTCTTCGTTTTTCAACTCCTCTGGATTTTCAATTTCTTTCTCCTCGACTTCATTATCTTTCTTCGATTTCTTCTTTTTCTTCTTTCGTTTCTCGGAATTAGTTTCCGTTGGACAAAATTCGGTTTCTTGTACTGTTGTGATTTTCTCAAAATTCTCTTCTGTTTCAAGTATTTCATGTTCTGTTTCACTCTCTTTTCTCTTCTTCTTTTTCTTTGATTTTTTATCCTTTATTACAGTTTCTATTTCTTCTCCTGGTTCCTCGATAAATAATTTTGATTTCTTTTTCTTCTTTTCCTTCTTTAAATTCACTTCTGAGTCCACAATTTTTATTTCTTCTTCTTCTTCTTTGTTCTTTAATTTCTTCTTCTTTTGACTCTTGTCTTTAGCGAAAGAATTATCTTCATTATTATCAATTTTTCGTTTCTTTTTCTTTTCTTTGACAAAACTTGAATCGTTATCGACACTGTCATTTTCAAATTTATCTAAAAATTTCGGGAAATGAGATTTTTTTGTTAATTTTTCCTCATTGTCAACATCATCATCATCATCATCACTGCTTGTTTGATTCATTATAAATGCTGGAAGTGTTTTCTTTCGTTTACTTTCCTTTTTCAAATTATCGTCGAGTTTTTTGAAAAATGGTGAATTTGATTTTGTCGATTGATGAATAAAATCTTGAACTGAAATTTTATTAATCGTCTTTAGAGGACTTTTTGTTTTTTCAATTACATTGATTTTATCCGAAATTTTTTCATTTGAATGTAGTAAAATCTTTTTTTCTTTAAACAATTGATTTAAGGGAATTTTCTCTTTAAAAATTTCAATTTTCCTCACAATTGGACGATTTATTTTTTTCTCTTTTTCATTGGTATTAATTTCTTCAATTTTCTTAAACGGTGATAATTTTTCTTGTTTTTTGCTGTCAGCAATGATTTCTAAATTTTTTTTGGGTGATTTTCTAGTAATTTTCTCAGGTGATTTTTCCACTATTTTTTCTGGTGATTTTTCCATTATTTTTTGTGGTGTTTCGCGGTGTTTTGTTGGTGATTTTTCCATTATTTTTTGTGGTGTTTCGCGGTGTTTTGTTGGCGATTTTTCCATTATTTTTTGTGGTGTTTCGCGGTGTTTTGTTGGCGATTTTTCCATTATTTTCTGCGGTGTTTCACGATTCATTGGTGATTTTTCAATTATTTTCTGCGGTGTTTCGCGATTCATTGGTGATTTTTCAATTATTTTTTGAGGTGTTTCGCGATTCGTTAATGATTTTTCCATTATTTTTTGCGGAGTTTCACGATGTTTTGGTGATTTTTTAATTATTTTTTCCGGTGATTTTTCTAATGCTGTTTCATCAATTAGTTTCACTGAAGAATTTTTGTCTAATTCCTTGAAAGATTTCTCGGATTTTTCCTCTGGAGATTCGTCAATCGATTTGTCTGAAACATTTTTAGTTTCCATTTCTTCAATAAATTCAATTGACAATCTTTTGTGTTTATTTTCATCCTTCTGCAAAATCGTAATAGGAGAGTCATTGTTAGATTTGTTTTTCGTTTTCGTTTCACTATCATCGTCGTCATCCTCATCATCATCATCATCATCGAGGAGAATAAAATCATCTTTAGATTGAGTGGTAAATTCCTCGGCAGTGACGTCTTCGAAATAAAACAGTGCGTCGTCATCTTCCGTTGTCTGCTTTTCTGGCGATCCTGCAACAATAGAAGATCTTCTATTTTCCAATGATGGAGAAATTTGACTTTCAAAATTTACTTTTTCTAAATCTATTTTAAAATCGTTATTCGACCCGACATTGTTCGTAGAAATATTCTCTTTTAAATTTGAATTCGAATTTTCCAAATCATTGGATTTTGATTTAGAAATTTCTTCTATTTGAAAACTTTCAGAAATTTCCGATTCATTTGATTTATTTTCTATCTTTTCCTCTTGCTGAGAAATTAATTTTAATTTTTCCTCATTCAATGATTCATTTTTTGTATTTTCTTCGTCATTTAAATCAAAACTTTTATTTTTATGAGAATTTTTCACTTCAATTGATAATTTTTCTGGACTTTTTTTAATGCTAACATTTTCGTCAATAGTTTCTAATTCATTATCCGAATTTGTATTGTCTGTTTCAATTGCCGAATCTTCTTTATCGTCAATTTTATCAGCGATTTTTTTCAAAAATTCCGAATTTTCTTCTGCTGCCGGAACATTTAAATTTTCACTGTCCGATTCACTTTCATATGTCAAATTTAAATTAACACTACTTTCTTCTTCACTGTGAGGTGTATCAAGAATTTTGCAATTTTTAGGAGATTTTTTCACACTATTTGAATTATACGAATCGTTAGATGGAGAATTTGATTTTTCAACAGAATTTTTAATTGGCGTTTTAATTGGCGTTTTAATTGAAGAATTTAATTTTTCAACGGAATTTTTAATTGGAGAATTTAATTTTTCAACAGAATTTTTAATTGGCGTTTTAATTGGAGAATTTGATTTTTCAACAGAATTTTTAATTGGCGTTTTAATTGGAGAATTTGATTTTTCAACAAAATTTTTAATCGGCGTTTTAATTGAAGAATTTTTTTTCGGTGAAATTTCCAATTTTTCAGCATCATCATCAATTAAAGAATTTTTCTCTTGTTGACAAATATTTCCAGGAGAATTGGAAATTTTCGGTGATTTCGAAATTTTTCGCATCAATCTTGGACTTTCTTTGCTTGGAGTGTTTGCAACATTTTTTGGACTCTCGTAAGATGAAAATTGTTTCTTTGGACTCACTTCTTGAAATAATTTCACGGGAGATTTAAGTGTTTGAGCTTTATCCACTTTCTCTGTAGGCTCAACCAAAAATTGATCAATTTCTTTGAGAAAAGAATCTTCCTGTGTCGATGGTGATATTTCTTGTTCATTTGCCTGACTATCTGCATTTGAGAGAAGATCATTGGATTTTTCTGTTTCCGATTCACATTCAGTTTCGGGAATAATAGAACATTCCGTGTCTTGAGCATTTGAGACTGTATCTTCGGATTCTGAAGCAAGAACTATTGTTTCTATTGTTTTTTGAGAATTTTCCTCCTCATTTTCCTTTTCTAATATTTTTTCTTGTATTACATCTTCTTCTATTTTTGTTTCAGTTTCTGTTTTTTCTGATTCATTTTCTAAATTATCGATTTCTTCCTCAACATTGTCAGTTATGTGTCCAGCAATTTTACGAACTAATTCTGCCGATAAACTGTTTCTCTTCTTTGGAAGTGAAACATTTGCATTCACTCCCTCAGTGATACTTCGTCTCTCGTGAATTTTCTCCGTTCGTTTTGAGAAAAATAATTGCTTCATTTTCACATACGAGGCGTTTATTTTGACTTTTTCTAAAACATCTTCTAAAACAACAACAACTTCTTGATTCTCAATATTCTCCTTCTCCTTTTCAGTCGTTTTCATATCACAAACATCAATTTCTTCGTCGCTATCCTCGTTTTTAGCCACTTTAGAAATGTCATCGGGTTTATTTGTCAATCCACAAACATCAACGTCAGAATCACTGTCAATCTCGTGTATTGAAGTTAAATTTTTTTTCACTTCGTCAAGTGGTTTTTCCTTCAATAAATCTTTTGTTGTATTTTCCGTGAGTTTATCAATTGATTTATTACATGAATTTGATGAGTCGATTAATTTACTTTCATCACAGCCATTTGATTGATCATCCTCAGATGCTTTAGTGTCATTGGGATTTGATTTTGAAGGACTCATCTTGTCCTTGTTTATGGAATCAACTTCTTCGATATCGCCAATTGTTGCGGAATCTGATTCAACTGAGAAATATTGTTTTATTCTTTTACACGAATATATCGATATTAAAATTTATAAATTTAAAAAAAATAAATAAAACAGAGAAATAAATACTTATAAAATTTATTTTTATATCTGATCCACATATAATTAATATATTTCTATAATATTATAAAAAAACCAAATTATTATTTATTAATCTTCATAGTGAGATAATAATAAATTTAATAATAAAAACAACCAACAATTAATTATTGAAATATCAATTTCATTTGATTTTCAATCTAAATAGACAACGAATCTCTTTTTAAATTATTTTAAGAATTATAATTTAATTTTGCATAATAAAATGATTTGTTTTTATTATATATCTCTCAGAAAGTCAATAATTAATTTGATATATATATATACCTGAAGTTCTAAACGTTTAAATGAACGAAAAATTTGTTTCTAAATTTCAAATTTCATTATAAAATATAGCTTTCTGTATTCGAAAATAAATTAATATGTTTACTGTACTTTTTTATTTATTTTTTAATTATTCTTATTATAAGAATAATAATATATAGCTAGATAAATAATTTATTAAAGAATAATAATTTATTATTACGTTTTTTTTTGAACCTTCAAAACTTGAGGCACATAATTTAATTTAATAATTTTATATAAAATTCAACAAAAATGATTTATTAAAATTAAAAACTTTGCAATTTAATAAAAATAAAATAATAGTTTATCATTTGAAGTAAGAATGATAAAAAATATATATATAAATTTTGAAGATTTGATAACTCACCAGAAATCTCATCTTCTATTACTATAACTGGAACTTCGGTACTCTGACAGGTTTCTTCCTTCAAATCTTGAGTTTCCTCAGCAAGAGAAGGTTGAGAAGGTGCCATCGATAACCGTTTGCGAGACCTTGTGGGAGTTCCGAAATGTGTCCGAGTGGATAGATTGGATAGAGAAGATTTCAAATCATCATCAGACATTGTCACAGAACTTGCTCTCGTTCTGCGAGTAACTCTACCTGGTGTTATCGTTTTCGTTTCCGATCCACATCGAACATCCCGTCTACAAGCATTTTTTTTTAATTAATTTTTTTTTTCCTTTTAGAGCTATATTGCATTATTTTTTTTAATATTGATACATTTTTTTACTTATTCATTGCTCTCTAACATTAAAAACTTTTAAATTCAAGATTATTCACTCTAAAATAATTACATTACATATTTTCAAAAGTTTTAATGAAATTCTTTTTAAAAATTCAATTATTATCAAATTTTACGAAATTTCAATTACAACTTTTTTTTTAATTCACTAAAAATTCGAAACTTCAATTATTTTCAAAAATATAATTTAAATTATTATTTAAAAAAACTTAATTAAGTATTTCATAATTTTTAATACATTCTTCGATATTGAATTATTTAAAAATGAAATTTTAATTTTAAATCATTCAAAAATAGAAAAAGTCAAAACATTTTATTGCAAATATTACAATATTGATTTATTTCTATTAAATCTATATAATTATGTTATTTATTAAAAAAAAAAATAAAACTAAAACTCTGCGAATTTAATCATTTTAAAAAATTTCAATAAAACTTTTTCAACAATTTAATTATTTAAGCAATTATCAAATTAAAATTACTGCTTTTAACTAATTAATTTTAATTTACACAAAATTTATTTATTTGTAAAAATTAAGTTTTTCAAAAATTTAATTGTATTATTAAAATTTTTGATTGCAACTCTTTGAGATATCAATTATTTCAAAACTAGCAAAATTAAACGCGCGCAAGCGCGCCAAATTGACTATTTAATTGTTTGTTATAAAGAAATCAAAAATTAATATTATCAATAATAATTTAATTTATTAGAATATTATTACATATTAAATAATAATAATGAAAATTATATGTTTACAGGCCTCGGATTATACGACTTTTTCCGACTTTTTTCAAAAATACGACTTTTATCGACTTATTTTAATAAAATGTGACATTTTTTTTACATTTGAAAAAAATGTAAATAAAATACATTTTTTTAGTATAAAATGTAGATCCTCTTCCAATCTTCTTCAATTCAATTATTTAACAAATTTTGTACTAAAATGATTCTTCACTAAATTTATTATATTTAATAATTTTAATGAAATACATCACAAATTCAATTATATCAAAATTATTTTTCAATTAAAATTTTTATGAAATTCAACAATTGTTTATAATTTAAAAAAAAAATATCACAATAAAATTGAATTATTTTTTAAAAATTTCAATTCAAAATAAACTAAAATTCAATTATTACCCGAAATTTTAATTCAAAATCAATTAAAAATCCAATAATTATCCAAAATTTTCAATTTAAAATTTAATTATTTACCAAGTTTTTAATTTAAAATGAAATAAAATTCAATTATTTTCTAAAATTTCTATTCAAAATTAATTATCCAAATTTTCAATCAAAAATGAACTTCAATTAAATTATTATCCAAAATTTCAATTAAAATTTAATTATTTCCCAAAATGAACTGAAATTCAATTATTTTCCAAATTTAAAATCAAATAAAATTTCATTATTCTCAAAAATGTGAATTCAAAATTAATTGAATTTTCAATAATTTGAATTTAAAAGCATCTAAAATTTAATTATTTCTAAAATTTTCCATCAAAAATTTTTTTTTTTTTGAAATTCAATAATTTCAATTATAACTCTAAGGAAATTCAATTATTTTTAACTATTTTAATAATATGCTTTGAAAATTCAACTATCTGAAACAATTTTTCAATTAAAAATGATTTTCAAATTATTGTATTTTGTCTTCATTTTCTAATAAATTTTTAGTGAAATCATTTAAAATTTTAATTACAAAACACTTAAAGTTTCAATTAATTTCAAAAATCTCAATTTTAAATCTTTGAAAATTCAATTAAATTTAAAAAATGTTTTCCAAAAATTGTTTGATAAATTATTTTTAGTTTTGTAAAATTTAATAATTGTTTGAAAATTAACAATATCTTTTGAAATTTAATTATTTCTAAAAATTTCAACTTTAACCCTTCGAAAAGGATTAATATTAAAAAAAAAATTTTTTATTTAAAAATCTGTAAAATATTTTTGTTAAAATAAAAAACAAATCCACTTTTTTTTGGAATATAAATCGACTAAAACGACTTTTTGTGTTTTTAAGTTGATTCGAGGCCTGTGTTTTTATAATTAATATTTAATAGGTATTCGTTGGCCCCTGGTACCTTAAAAATTAATTTTTAAAAATAAATTTTTTTCAAATTACTATCTTGTACGAAATTTCCTGGCGCATCTTTTTTCTCATCATAAATTTTTTGTATTTGTATACAATTTTTGAATCAATATACAACTTTAAAAAAAATTTCGTTGGTAAACGTTGTGTACTTCAGCTTCGTGAATTGAATTTTCGAATTTGTAATTTTAAAGAAACTTATTCCAAAATTTGGAAACACAATTATACAACTTTGGCAAAAATGAGAAAAAGAATTGTCAAAATTTGACACGTCATAAGATTACTATTCAAGAAAACACGTGAAATCCTAACTTCAAGTTAGGACAGAAGGACAGGCCAAGCATGTTATTATTTCAAAATATTGAAATTAAATTTTTTCCCAAAAAAATTTGTACCTATAAAATTTTTCATTTACTTTTAAATATTTTCCTAATTTTCAATTGAAAATCTTTTAAAATTTTATCATAAAAAAAATTAACTACTGACCTTCGAAAATTTAATGAATTAAAAAAATGTTAACAAAAATTCTTTGAAATTTCAATAATTTGCAAAAATTTTTAATTAAAAATTCTATAAAACCTTCAAATTCAATTATAGTTAAAAATTTATAGAAAAAAAAATTTTCAGCATTTCTTTACAAAAAATTCCAATTTCAAATCTTCTGAAATTCAATTAATTCTAAAAATTTTTAGTAGGAACTATTAGAAAATTTAAGTATTTATAAATATTTAAAGTTTTTCGCAAAATGAATAATTTTTAATAATTTTAATAGTTTTTCAAAAATTATGTTATTTCAAAAAAATTTTAATCAAAAATTTTCTAAAAATTTAATTAATGTTTGAAATTTTAATAGAAAAAATTTAGGAGTATAAATTTACAAAAAATTTAAATTTCTAAAAATATAATCTGTTAATCTTTAAAAATTCAATTATTTTTGATATATTTTCATTTTTTTTTCATCACATTTAATTCTTTGAATTTCTTCTCTTAATTTTAAATTTTAACCGTTTATCTTCAAACTGAGATTTTTATAGTATTAATTAAACTATAAATATTATTTTATATAAAATTTTAATAATTCCTAAAGTTTTGTATTAAAATTCAAAGTGATTCAAATATTTTCAGAATTTCGTGAAAAGTACTTTGTATCTAACCATTTAAGAATTTTATTTCTTGAAAGAAATGAAATTTTTTAAAATTTTCACACTTGATTGTTCAAAAAAAAAAAAAACAGCCTAAAAAATAGTCGATGAAAAATAATATAGAAATTATGAAAAAAAAATTGTTAAAAAGAAGCGTAAAAAACTCTGTTAATGAAAAATAATAGAAATTATGAAAAAAAAATTGAAATTTTTCAAAATTCCCACAATTGATTGATTGAAAAAAAGCGCAAAAAATTATCTATCAAAAATAATAGAAATTTTGCAAAAATTCTAATTAAAAATTTTCACATATTACATTAAGTCATGTAATTAATACTGTCGAAAAAATGTAATAATAATAATAATAGTAATAATAATAATAATAGTAATAATAATAATAATAATAATAGTAATAATAATAATAATAATAAATAATAATTTAACAATATTTGAAACAAACCTTGTATTTTTAACAGTTTCCGTTTCAGGTTCTACTGTTGAAGACCGACTTCGGCTTCTGGTAGTTCGGGGAATTTCAATAACTTCAGAGGTATCATTTTGTTTGCTAATACGAGAACTACGTCGTAAGGGCAATTCTGCGACTGAATAAAGTGATCGAGTTCGCCGACCTGTAATTGGGGCTAAATAAAAGAAACATTAACTATTAAAAAATATTTTCAATAAATCGAAAATATTTTTATTCATTTATTTGATGTAACAAATTTGACAAACAGTATTTATAGATTTATTACCATATTTTCTATGGTCATATTTTCTAAAGTTTACAAAGAAATCAAAATCACGGCATGAAATTAAAATAAACAAAAAAATAAAAGAAAGACAAAACGTGTATAGATGGAAACCTAACCTCACTTTTTAAAATTCGCTTAAAACTTATTTTCAACAATAATTTAAAAAATGAAAAAAAACAACTTCTTTATAATTAATAAAAGTGAATAAAATAGTTATTAAAAAAACTGTTATTCAAAAACATTTTGCTATAATGGTAATTGTGTGCTATAAATATTAAATTCGCACTTCCAAGTTGTATAAATTATTATTACTATCCATTTATTCAGTTCAAATAAATTTTAATTTTATTGAATATTTAATTTTAGGGGGAAAAAATGCATTTAGTTTTTTTTTTAAACATATTACTATATTGTTATTGCAAAATAAACGAACCTTTTGCATCCTTTCCATCTTCATCCAATTTCATTGATCGTCGCATTTTTAACAAATGCTATTTATACATGCATTCATGAAATTATTAACTGATTTTAAAAATCACAAAAGTATTTTAACATTAGTTGAATAAAAAACACGTGCACATGCAAGATCTGAATACTATTGTATAGAGCAAAAAAAAAAAATTGCCGGTAACAAATTACAAAAAAAAACGAAAGAAGATTGCGCACGCAGCGGAAGGATACATACAATATATTTGTCAGGTTAGTTCAAATTATTTTTAAATTGGGAGAGGGAAAATTCAAGATGGACGTGAATGTAATGAATTTTAAAAAAGTTCCCTATTTTGAATTTTGAAAATTCGTTATAAGAGACCTCAAAAAAAAGTACCAATTTTCAAAAGAATTGCAAACAATTTTTAAAAAAACCTTCCTCCATATTGTGTCCGACATTTTTAATTTTAAAAAGCCCCGACTTAAGCTGTCTCTACAATGGAAACGGAAGATACAGACGTGAAACGCGCGAAAATGCCATGTTTTTAAATAATCAAACTATTAGAAACTTTATATAATAAATTATTATTATTAATTACATGATGATAATTGTTGTTATTCTTTTAATTTTAATAAAAAAAAAGGCAGGTAGGTGTGATCGTACCTTTAAGTGTCCATCGTCTTTTAGCGGTCATTTTTTGTACTAGATTTAAAGTGTTATTTTACTTAATGTATAAACTTCTTATCGTTTTACTTATGAATGAATTTTTAATTTCTTCGAAACGAATAAAAATAAAATAATCTTCTCTCGTGGAGCGTCACATATTCATAGATAATATACTTTTGCAAAAAATATAAAATGACTCCTCCCAAAAAATTCACATTTCGGACGTTCTATCATATATTTTACGACTACTGATTGGTTGATTCCATTTGAGTTTATCGCTGATTCGTTTATGAATGAGTGTGTAACATTTAAATAGAACATTGGACACGTAAGAAAAATAAAATTGTTTCTGTATAGAGAAATTTCGAATGGCTGCCAACTCATCGAAATGTTGACGGTGGTGCAATGAAATTTTCATAGTTTTCTTTTTTCTCAAAAAAAAAAAAAAAAAAAACGAAGTGCACAAACATTTTTTTCGTTTAATTTTTTTAACAATTTCTAATAGAAACAATTGAGTGCTCAGGAAAAATGAATACGTGTAATTTTGTAATTTTCGGCCTCCTTTTACTTATCGCTCATGTTCGTAGTATCATGTGGTATCTGGAGCCAAATCATTCAAAATGTTTTCGAGAAGAAATTCAAGCTAATGTTTTAGTTAGTGGAGAATATCATGTATCTGAAGTACAAGGTCAAAAAGTTGATTATGTGGTGAGTTTTTCATAGAATAATAAGTGAAAAAGACCCTTTTAGGTTAGGTTACTGTAACCTTCAATATGGTTAATAAAATTCAAATTGTTTTAATAAATATTATTTTTTTTATCATTTCTGAATATTATAGAAGATAATTTAATTTTCTTTCCAACTTGTTTTACTAATTTTCATTCATTTCTAAGTGACGATAAAATGACATTGCGATTTTCAGTCTCAAAATATTTTTTTCTAAAATTATTATTGTCTAGAGTGTATTTTCTGATTTGCTTCACTATTTTCTTTTATTTTTAGACTGAATTTATTCATAAGAAGGAAATTAAACATATTTTCGTTAAATTAGAATTTTTTAATTATTTGACCTTTAAAATACCGATTTTTTTTGGGAAAAAAATTGGAAAATTGAAAACAATAACTTTATTTTTCTTGTATAGATAAAAAATTATTTTTTGAGGAATTATAAATAAATGTAATTCTAGCTTTCTATGTGTTAATTTGTTTGTTTTTTTTTTTTGCAATTTTTAAGGTTCGCGATTCGAAAGGACATATTCTTGCGCAAAAACAAGATATTCCTCATGGAAAGTCTGGGAAATTTTCATTCGTCACTGAAGTTTATGACAATTTTGAAATATGTTTCGAATCGCACGTTGCAAAAAGTAAGTTTTAGATTTTTCTTATTACATATGTATCTGTTTTGAAAATTTTTGAAACTTTATCAGGGTGTCTAACGGTCAGGGAAGTCAGTAAATTTCTTTAATTTTCTGGAATTTTTTATGAATAAATTAAAGAAACTATTAGTTTCAAAAAAAAATTACTTTTTTCCCAAAGCAAATGCAAATTAAAAAGTTGGCCTTCACACTCAATTATTAAGCACGTGATATATACGAAGCTGAAGTACGCAACGTTTATGATAAACAATTTTTAAAGAAATAATTTTTTCAAAGGGAAAAATTCTATAATTTTTTGTCTAAAAAATATTTCTTGTAATTTTCATTAATCAACAAATTATAAAAAAAAATATTTTTTAGGCAAAAAATTTTCCCTTTTAAAAAATTATTCCTTTAGAATCATTTATCATAAACGTTGCGTACTTCAGCTTCGTATGTTTGAAATAATTTTGCAATTATGACTATTGACATTAGTTTAAATTATTTTAAATTCAATATTTCAAAAACTTATTCAATTTTCGTAGAATTTATTTAGAATTTTTTTGTTCTAAAATTACAATTGTTAAAATAATTAAATTTTTAAAAAATATTTAATTACAAGGATGTTAAATAAATGAAAATTTATTAAATTTCAATGCAGATTTTAAAAATAATTAAAATTTTTATAGAATTTTATTAAAAATTTTGAAAATACATAATATATTTAAATTTTCGAAGAATCACTTGAAATTCAATTAATTATTTTCAAAAATATGAATTGTAAATTTTTGCAAATTCAATTACTTATAAAAAATGTTATCTAAAATTATTTGATAAATTATTTTCAATTCTGTAGATGGAATTTAATTATTGTCTAAAATTTAACAAAATCTTTTAAAATTCAATTATTCCTAATAATTTCAACTGGTAACTCTTCGAAAATTCAATTATTTGTAATAATTTTAATATTTCTTTGAAAATTCAATTATTTAAAAAAAAAAATTCAAATAAAAACTCTGAAATTGAATTGTTTTTAGAAATTAAAAAAAAAATACAACAGTTTTTTGTAGAAAATTTATTTGTTAAAAATTTTTTGAAATTCAATCATTTAAAAAAAATTAATTTAAAAATCTTGTGAATCTTAATAATTGACCGAAATTTTTTTTGACCATTAAAACTAAAAATTATCTGTGCAAAAATTTTAAATTCGAATAAATTGCTAAAACGACTTTTTTGCGCCTAAAAGTCGATCCGAGGCCTATTATTATTATTATTATTTAGTGTTACAAAAAATTAATTATTTACAGATCAACGTGGCATAAAACAAGAAATTTCCTTAAATATAAAACGAGATCTTGAGGCAAAAAGTTATGAAAGCGTAAGTTTACTATTAACATTAACATTTTATTCTCTACTTTATGAAATTCTAATTTTTCCTTTTTTTTATGTCGCTTGAATGGGCGAGCAGCTGGTAAAGTCAAATTATTATTATTATTATTTATTTAAAAAAAAAAAAAAAAAAAATTGCATGAAGTTTGATTTATGAAATTGCGAATGTTCCTTATATTCCTTCTTTTTATTATAAATATTATATTTTTGTTTTCTGTAATATGTAGATTTAACGAGCATCATTTTTAATTTTTGAATAACAGATTGTGCCCTTTATTATTTTTTTCATTTAGTGTAATTTGTATTATTAATTTTTTAGTGTAAATTTTTGTTTGCAAATTATTTTTATTGCGATTGTATATTTTTGTTTGATTTTAACAGCAAGTGCCTATATAATTATATTACTTACACCTTTAATTTATTAATTGTCAGATTTTTTTTTTTTAGAAAGTGAGCTTTTATTATCATTATTTATTTTATTTATTTTAATTATATAATTGATTTATTTTTATTTATAGCTTGGCGAGGCTTCTAAATTAAAACCCGTTGAGGTCGAATTAAAAAGATTGGAAGAACTTTCCAAAATAATTGTCGATGATTTCTCGAGAATGCGAAAAAGTGAGGAAGAAATGAGAAATACAAATGGTAATTAATTTTTTTAAATTTTTATTATAATTTATTATTTTTATTTCTATTTTATTTATTTATTTCATATAAATCTATTAGTAGGTCCTTTTATTTATTTTTTATATATTTCAATTTCTTTTTTTTAGAATCGACAAACGCTCGTGTCCTTTACTTCAGTATATTTTCCATGTGTTGTTTATTGGGTTTGGCAACATGGCAAGTCTTCTACCTTAGACGTTATTTCCGAGCGAAGAAACTCATAGAATGAATGCTTCTTTTTTTAAAAAAAAATCAGATTTTCTCTGAAAGAAAAACAAAAATGACGAGGACTTGAAAACGAAAAAAAAAAATAAACTCTTTCTAAAGACTTGAAATCTTCGTCAAAGGAATGCCAATGTTGTGAAGTAAAAAAATCTTCACAAAGTATGGTCATGCCATGTAATTAAAAATATTGTACAAAAGAAAATCAAGCATACTTCATCAATAACAAAAAAAAAATGTTTTTGTATTTTACCACACATTTACTCACACTTGAAACCATTTTAAATGTCAATCAAGGAGAGTGTTTGCAATAATTGAAAAAGAGAAAAAAAAAAAACCATTTCGAGTAAAGGAAAGCGAATCATATTTCAAATATTCTAAAAGAAACTCGATCATGAATTTAAAATCTCGTAAAAAGAAAATGGTGACTAAAAACAATTTTACTGAAAAGATGATTTAGAAAAAAAAAAAAATTAAATGACTTATTAAATATCGAGTTTGCTTTACTTTATTCGCTATAGATTCATTAAATATAAGCATGGAGTGATTTAGTTGTTACTAAATAAATCATATTATTTCTTAAGGTATCTAAGGTATTTCGGGATTTTTGTACATGTGATTTCTTTTTTTGTTCATTCCTTCTTCTTTTTTTTCTTGTTAAAAAAATTCAATATTTCTTCATTTAGATCTAATTTTATTGAATTATTCTATTTCTTTTGAGAATAAGAGAAAACAGTTTTTTTTTTTTTTTATTTCACAGTTCATTCGATGGATTAATTTTTATTCGTGATATTTTGTTTATATTAAGTGTGTAACTGGATAAAATGATCTTGTGGAAATAAAGTGTAATATTTATCATAGATTTCAGTCAATTATTTATTCATTTGACAATATATTTTTCATTAAAAAATTTTTTTTTTGAAAATTCCTAACATTTTTACAAAACGGAACAAAGATCTTCATTTTTTACCATAAAATATTAAATTATAATTTTTTTTTCTTAAATTTGTTTATTATTAAAAATTTTCGTTTTTAAAGCGATTTTTCCTTTAAAGTTTCTTTTTTTTGCAATTCATAAAATTTTGTGTATTTTACTTTTAAAAAATCAGAAAATTTTCATTTTTCCCGCAATTTTATTCTTATATTCTGAAAATTTGTAAAATTCTCATGTTTTTTTAAATTCTTTTTCAAATCATTCTTCAAATTCTCGTATAATTGAAATTCCTAAAGTTATCTATTTTTCTTTCAAATAATAATTAATTATTTGATTCAAGTAAATATTTATTTTATAATAATCAAGTAACCGATTATTTGAATTAAATATAATTTTTTTCCAGTGTATTTTCTTATTTAATTATTTTTAAGTCAAAAAAGCGGCTTTTTAAAAAATGTTTTAATAAAAGTGTACGGACAATAATTTTATTTTATTTTTTTTTATTTTCGTATAATTGAACAAAAAAAAAGATTTAAATTCTCGCGGGTTTTTTTTTCTTACATCAGCTGTCAAAATTTCAAAGATGGCGGCTTTAACTTGTTGACAAAAACAAGTAATAACCTACAAAAATAAACTATTTTACACCGAAAAACTATTCATTTTTCTTGATATCAAAATTATAATTATTATAATTAACAAACATATAAAAGTGAAATGCCTGAAACAGTTAAAAGTGTTATTACCAATAGAGATCGTACTTGTCTTGGCTGTAGACTTGTTAGTGGTTGCGGTCTCCTTGGCTCTGGACTTTATGTTTCTTATCATTCGAAAAAGTTTCAGAAAATCCCTACAAAATCAGTTATGCTCACAGTCGGTGGTGGTAAGTGAAATATTTACAATTCCTCATTAAAAAAAACACACAAATTGATTATTTCTTTCGATAAAAACACAATTTGTAATTTGAAAATTTTATGTTTATTTGCAAACAAGAATATTTTACATACCTATATTTTTTCGTGGTGAAATTTTGTCATATTTTACACATAAAATGAAAAATATAATTTTTTTAGCTTTGATGGCACTTGGTACAGCGAGAGTATTAAATCTACCACCATTTCAGGATCAATTTAATAATAATAATAATAATTAACTGAACTTGTTTTTCCGATTTTATCATTTATATTTTTTCGATAAATATAAAAGAATTTGTAAATTATTCTCATTTTTGTAAGTATATAAAATGTAAATAAAACTATATATTCCCGCAAATAATAAGTGATTATTTTTAACCTTCAAATATTTCTCATAATATTAAAAAAAAATTTATTAATCACAAAATAGTACATATTTGATAATTATTTATTTAAATTTGTATATTTATATTTTATATAAATTTCTTTTATATATTTCTTTATATTTTTATTCTGTGTTTTTTTTTTAAATTTGCCCATAATTGGCGGCACAAAAAAGTAGTTTCACGTTCCTGTTTCTTTAATTTAATAATCTTATAAATATTTTAATTAATTTGCATTAAAATAAAAATAAAATAAAAATGATGTATTTTTTTAATTTTTAGTAATAATTTCGTTATTTACATATATATTGTACAAATTATATATTTAAATTTCACATGAAAATTAAAGAATTCAAATCTTTTTTAGTTTCGCGCTAAAAATTAGTTCCGTGTTCCGATGGTTCAATGAAAAAATGCAAGTCAATTTCCATGTTCTCCCCACGTATTCTATTTGAGTCTATATAAACTCATGAAGTTGCAAAATAGAGACAAAAATTTCTTTACAACTGAGTCAAGATATTTCATCAACAAATTAATTAGAGAATCATTATTTTTGACTATTTGTGATATACAATAGGCAATTTAAATAAAAAGAAGAAGAAGAAGAAAAGTTGGAGAATCATTCTGACGCATGTAAGTATTTTCAATTGTCATTTGTCATCATTTATATAAAACTGACTATATATTTATGTGAATTATAACACTTAATTTATATTATATAAAAATGTGTTAGTTTCTGATTTATTCCATATGTAAGAAAGTTACTTATAATTTACCCATTTTATTTATATCGTAAAGTTAAAAATTTGAGGTTATCAATTGCTTGTTGCATATCTTTCGATGTTCGCGCGCCTTGGATTAATTCTTGAAACATTTAAAAGCGAAAAATTGTTATAAAATCAAATTTATTAAAATTGAAAATAGCCACAAGTTAGGAAAAATTCCTTTCTTATGGTTCAATTAATTTTCTAATATTTAAAAAATAAATATACAATCTAAAAACATTAATTTAAGATCAGGAATGATGAAAATTAATTTATTAGTTTAAAAAAAAATTCTTTTTTCAACGTTCCTGAACTTATATTAATTTAGAGAGAAGAAAAGTACAGATTTACATATTTTCATCATTTTCAAATGTTTGAATTGATCCAAGTTTGAATTTATCAAATTTTATTTTATCGATTTAAAAATTATTTCGGCTTAATTTCAATAAATCTAAATTTAAATTAGTTGCATCATTTATTGCAATTAAAATTGTAATCGATCTAAATTTAAATACATTCTAATTCCAATTAATCGAAAAATTAAATTATCTAAATTTTAATTGACTTAAATTTCAATTTATCTAAATTTTAAATTATTAAAGGAAGGCACCACCTTTATTTTTACCTCCTTTCAAATTTTAATGATCGCATGATGTTATTTTTTTTTTATTGCATCATTTTGGTCCTAAAAACTGAATTTTTAACCATTTTAGAATTATTTGTATTTTTCAAAAAGAAAAATAAAAATTTTCAAAATTCATAAGTAACAGAATTATAAATTGAATTTAAGAAAATTTAAATATTTTTTCAAATTCAAAACATAATATATTTTTTGAAATTTATCGATTTATGTCCAAATTATTTTTTTAAATTAAATTATTTTTATTGCTCCTTAAAAAAAAAAAAAATAAAAACTTCAGTACCACGATTTTAATATTCGAATTTTTTTTTTAGTGCTAAAATTTCCAATTCATCAAATTTTCAATTGTTCAAATTATTATTTGATGGAATTTTTAAAAACACCGAATTTTCATTTGTCCGAAAAATTGGCCAATTACAATATTTTCTTGATTATTTCTGATTAATCAATTTTGAAAAATCACACCGAAATCTTTCTGTTGATTACTTTGTCTCGATCATTTGCAATTTTAGAAAAATGAAAATTGCCGTTTAAAAAATTCTATCAAAATTCTTGTAAATAAAATCTCGGACAAATGAAGATTCGATGAATTGGAAATTCCGATGTTAAAAAATTCAAATCACATGAAATTCTGCGTCGCTTCAAAATTTTTCTAAATTAAATTTTTTTTTTTCTGAAATTAAATTCTTTCATAGAAGAAAATTATCAGTTGAATCAATGATTTTTGCTAAACAATTTTTCCGATTATATTCTCTATAATTAATGAATAATTGGATAATTGAAATTTTGTGAGTATGGAAATTAAAAAATTAATTTTCTCTTTAAAGCTTTTTTGCTGCATGTAAAAGAGGAAGAAAGAGATACAATGGAATTTCCAAATCTCGGTGAACATTGTACGGAGCAAACTTGCAATCGTCTCGATTTTCTGCCATTGCGATGTGATGCGTGTAAATCAATTTTTTGCACCGATCACATAACATATCAGCAACATTCCTGCGCTAGTGCATACAAAAAGAATGTACAAATTCCCGTTTGTCCACTATGCAATGTGCCAATACCATCGAAACGTGGTGATCCACCGGACATTGCCGTTGGACAACATATGGACAACGATTGTCAAATACAAAAAGATCGTCGAAAAGTATTCATCAATAAATGTTCTCAAAAGGGTTGTAAAATTAAAGAAATTGTCCCCGTTAAGTGCACTGAATGTACACAAAATTATTGCCTTAAACATCGACATCCCAGTGATCATACATGTCCCGGTAAAGAGGCATCAATTCGTGCGAAAAGATTAAATGCAATTAATTCACAAAATCAAAATAAAAAAACGACGCAACCTGCAAATAGTTTGTGGAATTTAAAAAATGTTCAAGGACAATTGAGTGAAGATGAGGCACTCGCGAGAGCACTTCAGGCGTCTTTGCAGGACGAGGAACGGACCCGAAGGCAGGAATTGCAACCAGTGCCTTCCAGCAGTAGAGACAGGTGTAGACTTTCTTAAAAAAGAAAAAAAAAACCTTTAATTTTAAATAATTTTCATTTTAAACGCACAAGATAGAGGAAAAAAATATATATAGAGAGAGAGTCAATCCATTATATTTCGACTAAAGTCGTTGTTGACTATTAAAAATTATAATACTTTGCAGAAATAATTTTTGAAGTTGTCAAGATCACGAAATGAAAAGAATTTTATTAAAAATTTTGATTATTTAATATTTTACAATAAATAATTAAATTTTTGTCACAGATCTGGAGAACTTGGAATTGTCATGGAAATTTTTTTTAATTCATGGAAAACCAGAAAATGTCAGGGAATTTTATGAAATATCTTTCTGAAAATTTAATTTCCTGTATTTGAATCGAGAAAATTTCAAGTCAGGGAAAGTCAAAGAATTTAAGGGGAGGGACCGCTGAAATTTCAACTTTTCAAAATTGAGACTGTTTCAGGTTGTCAATTTTTTTTCCAGTTAATATTGAGTATTTAAAACTGTAATATACTATGGGAAATTAATAAACAATTAATTTATTAATAATTTTTAAAATAAAACTCGAAATTTTCAAAAACTAAAATTTAAACTTCTATCACAATTTTTATTATTTTTCATTGCTGATTTTTTTATACACTTTTTTCAAGATTCTGAACAATCAATTGTATGGATTTTGAAAAAATTCAATGTTTTAAAAAATGAAATTTTTGAAAAATAAAAAAAAATGCAAAAATTTGTTAAAAATAACTTTTTTTTTCATTTTTCATAGTAAAATATGAGTTCAGGTTTTAAAAAAATTTGTAAAAAAAAATTGTTACCCCTAAAACAAACCAATTATGTTTTGTTTCAATTTGATCAATTATTCCTTAAAAATTCAACTTCTTCGACAATTTTTATTATTTTTTGTAGGCTATAAAATTTTGAAAATCGTCAAAAAATTTTTTTTTTTAATTGTGATAATTCACAATAATTTTAGATCCAAAATAATGTCAGAAAAAAATTGACACCCTTTAACAACATTAATTTCGATAAGTTGAAATTTCATCGATCCCTCCATTTAAATATTCAGGGAAAAGTCAGTGAATTTCTTTAATTTTCTGGAATTTTTTAAAAATAAATTAAAGTAACTATTAGTTTCAAATTTTTTTTTACTTTTTTTTCAGTTAAATATTTGGCTTTTTAATATATAAATAAAAATTATTTGATACAATTTTATTTTATCGGTTCAACTTTAAATAAAGTAAATTATTAATTAATACGAAAAATTCATTATTTAATGCTAATACCCACATTTAACTTATAAAAATTTTTACGGTGTCGAATATTAAATTATCGAATTTCTATTTAGCAAAATTGTGCAAAATTTTCATATCGTAGAATTTACATTTAACTAAAATTCGATTTAAAAGAATTTCTATTTAACAGAACTCTTATAAAGCATTTTTTCTAATACTTTTTAAAAATTTTAAATTAATATAATTTCAATTCAACGAAATTTAAGTCTATAAAAAATGACAAAAAAAGAACTAAGTAGAATTTTTCTTAAATAAGAATTCTGTTAAATAAGAATTAGTTCTAATTAAAATTTTCTTTAATAAAAACTTTGTTAATTAAGAATTTTGTTAAATAGAAATTCTGTTAATTGTGAATTTATTCAATGACAATTCTGTTAAGTAAATATTTTGAAAAATCAAAATTTACTAAACTAACAATTCTGTTAAAAAAAATTGTTCTTTATGCAATTTTTCTTAACATAAATTCCGTTAAATGGAAATTTTATTAATTTGAAATTCGATGGACTAGAAAATCTGCTTTATATAATTTTACTAAATAAAAATTTGATAATTTAAGATTTGACGCCGTAAAAATTGTTTTAAATTAAATGTTGAGAATATTTATACGTTCCCAATTAGTTTATTTATTTCACTTAAATATTTTATTTTTTACGAAACATTATTTATTTGATTCAAATACATATGAAATTAGTGGATAATAGACAGGTAAATGATTTAATTGTATCAAAATAAATTTTATTTGATCAGAATAAAAATTTTTTAGTATAATTTAGGTCAGAGAAAACTCAGTGAATTTTTTTCCTAGCAGTTGTTAGACACCCTGAAATTTCCAGTGGAACGACTTTTATACCTAATTGAACTAATTTTTTTATTTAGCAAAATTTTATAAAATGCAAAGTATTATAAATTTTTTAAAAAATATTCAACGACTTTGGTCGAAATATAATGAATGACCAGAAATTATTCCTATTTGTTTCCCTGTAATTTTAAAATAATTATGTAAATATAAGAAATTGAAAAAATTCCTAATTTAAATATTTTAATTTCTTCATTGCACCTATTTTAGAAGAAAATTTTAATTTCTATTTCTTTAGTTTAAAGAATTAAATCTTTGTATTTGAATTTAAAAAGTTTGTAATATACGGTTACAAATAAAAAATTCTAATTATCTTATTTAGATCTTATCAAAAAAAGTTTCAACGAATATTTAATTTTGAAATATCAGTTGAATCTTAATATTTAAAAAGTAAATTTATTAGCAAAATAACTTTCGAGATCTGGTATAGGAAATATAAAAACAACATTCGCTTAATGTATGAATATTCGAATTATAAAAAAATTTGTTAAATATAGCTTTGTAAAGTCAGCAAAAAAAAAAAAAAAATTATATTTCGATGGGAAAAAAAACTATGTTGGAAAATTGCAAAAACTTCTAAAGTTGCAGTTTTCAATTTTCAAAAAGGGAAAATTTTCTAAAAAAAAAAATCTCCAAGTGTCAATTAAAAATAGAAAAATTTTGCTCATTAATGAAGATTTACATTTCTTCACGTAAATTGTAATTATAGAATTTTCTAGAATAATAACTGATTTATAATATAAGGAAGCAAAATTTTAATATTAAATTTACTAAATATCCACTTATTTTTCTTTTTCTTATACTATTTTTAAAAAGATTTTCGATAAATTATTAATAAATTTGACTGAAATGCCAGCATAATACTGTGATAATGAATAAATAGAATTGTAACTTTCTTCTCCAGATTCAAATAGATTTTGAAAAAATAGAAAAGAAAAAATAAACAAATGTTTAGCATATTTTTGAGATAAGGCTTTCTGCATCGTATAATAATAATAATAATAATAATACTTTATTATGAAAAATAAATGATCTACGATTTTAAGGCTTTTAGCATTATTTGCCATTCCACTCGCATTTCAAATAAGAAAGCAAATTAAATTTTTTCACATCTCTTTTAAACATTCCTAAAAAAAATTTAAATTAACATTATACACAGTTTTACGTCCAATTTTTGTTGTTATTTTAATAAATATTTATTATCTCTAGCTGACTTGATTTATTTTTGAATCCTATTAAATGAAAATTACAAAATGAGGTAAGTCCACGTTAGAAATATCAGAATTTTCAAGTGGTTCTTTCATTTTAATGATACTTGGTAAAATTTTAGTAATCTGAAAGGATTTTTCAATTAAAAAAATTTAAAGTTGAATTTTTGTCTTTAATTTTTAATCAAATTCTTCAGCAACAGAAATTACGAAAAAATTTCAATTAAAAATCACTTGAATTCAATTATTTTCAAAAAAAATCCGAGGCCTAAATTTATCAAAAATATAATTTAATGTTCAATAATTTTTGTTATTAAATTTATCTCAATGAGAAAGTAAAGTATTTATGAAATAAAGACAAAAAATTTAACTTTTCAGTGGTTTTTAATAATCAAGTAGAATAGATCATTCCGAGTCAAAGAAAATAAGAAAAAAAATTCATTTTACCTTTTATCAGCACATCTCTCCTCTTCAGAAACAGTTTTACTATGTTAAAATTGATTAATTTTAATACTTTATTTTAAAATGAAAATTACACTAAAAAAAGAAATAAATGATAATACTGTTATAAAAAATGCTTTTTTAAAAAAAGAAATAAAATTAATTTAATTGTTCAAATGTATAAATTTAGCCTTTCAATTATATATATATATATATATATATATATATATATATATATATATATTATACATAAAAAGTATCGTGAAGTATTTAAATTTATTTTTAAAATTTATAAAAAAAATTTTCACTTGGATAATTTTTGAAATTATATAATATGATAATTAAATTACGTACTAATTTTTTAAAATCCAACTTTTCCCAATTTTGTATCGGTTTTTGGATTTGCAGTTATTGATTGAACACTGACAATGGATTCGTTGATTTTCGTTTGCAATTCGCGAAGATCTTGAATATAGAGAAGTTGAAGAATTCTTGAGGCTTTATTTAAAACTGGATCCTTCATATCGGGACCAATTTTTTGTTCTAAAATTGGAAACGCTTTGCCTTCGGGTATAAAGGCATTTGGATTTTTTACAATCGATGGACTTAATTTCTTAGAGACAAGTTTACTGCATGCCTCTAATGTTATTAGATGATCTGGATGTTCTTGAATGTCCAACAATTTCGCCAAAGCGCTCACTCCTTCCTTGAATTCTTTACTGTCGACTTGAAATTAAAAATATTTTTTTTGTTATTAAATTAATTAAATTAATTATTAAATTGTTAAATTAAACAATTTTTTAAAGAGAAAATTTCAAGTTACAATACTTATAATTCTCATATGAATATATAGGGTGTCTAACAACTGCTAGGAAAAAAAATCATTGACTTTTCCCTGACCTAAATTACATTAAAAATTTTGTATTTTGATCAAATAAAATTTATTTTAATACAATTTTAAAAAAAAAAAAAATTTTGTATTTTGATCAAATAAAATTTATTTTAATACAATTAAATCAATATTAAATCAATTATCCACAAATTCCATATGTATTTGAACCAAATAAATAATGTTTCGTAAAAATAAAATATTTAAGTGAAATCAGTAAATTAATTGGGGACGTATAAATATTCTCAATATTTAATTTAAAAGAATTTTTACGGCGTCAAATCTTAAACTATCAAATTTTTATTTAGTAAAATTATACAGATTTTCTAGTTCATCGAATTTCAAATTAATACAATTTCAATTTAACGGAATTTATGTTAAGAAAAATTGCATCAAGAACAATTTTTTTAACAAAATTGTTATTTTAGTAAATTTCGATTTATCAAAATATTTACTTAACAGAATTGTCATTGAATAAATCCACAATTAACAGAATTTCTATTTAACAAAATTCTTAATTAACAAAGTTTTTATTAAAGAAAATTTTAATTCCAACTAGTTTTTATTTAACAGAATTCTCATTTAAGAAAAATTCTACTCAATTCTTTTTTTGTCAATTTTTAGACATAAATTTCGTTAAATTGGAATTATATTAATTTAAAAAAATATTAGAAAAAATGCTTTATAAGACTTCTGCTAAATAGAAATTCTTTTAAATCGAATTTTAGTTAAATGTAAATTGAAAATTTTGCATAATATAAAATCAACTTTATACAATTTTGCTAAATAGAAATTCGATAATTTAATATTCGACGCCGTAAAAATTTTTATAAGTTAAATGTGGTTATTGGCATTAAATAATATTCGTATTAATAAATAATTTACTTTATTTGAACTTGAACCGATAAAATAAAATTGTATCAAATAATTTTTATTTATATTAAAAAAGCAAATATTTCACTGAAAAAAATTAATTAATTGTTATCCAAGTTTAAAGAATCATTTATTAGATTTAATAAATAGTATAGTAAATAATTATTTACTTAATGAATATAAGATATATCACATGCTTAATAATTGAGTGTGAAGGCCAACTTTTTAATTTGCATTTTCTTTTGGGAAAAAAGTAAAAAAAAATTTTGAATCTAATAGTTACTTTAATTTATTCATAAAAAATTTCAGAAAATTGTAAGAAATTCCCTGACTTTTCCCTGACTTTCCTGACCGTTAGACACCCTGACCCATTAATTGTTTTTATTATTAATAAATACGTACAATCTAAACTGTCCAATGGATTTGTTGATTTAACTGTAGGAGCGATGATTTCAGTTTTTTTGTTTAATTTATTACTTAAAATATCTTGACATACTTTTTCTGCAATAAAAAAAAAGAAATATTAAAATTTTTTTTCTTATTTGAAATTCATATATTTTGAATTAATAAAAGGAAACTAACGATTATCCTCGTATTCGTAACGAATCGCTTGACCCACGAGCCATTCAACTTTATCAAGCAAAGAAGTTTTCACTGGACATCCAAGTTCTTTGCAATATTCATCAAATGCTTTTGGCCAATTGTTTGATTCAATTTCGCGTAATGCAGTTCGACCTTCGGGTTTGTGGTAGCGAATTTTTTGATCTTCCAACCACAATACAAGATGACGAACTTCACCTGAGTCTATAATGCAATTTCAATGAAATGTAATTACAATAAATAAATTTGCTAATTTCTAATTTAAGTTACATATTACGTGGGCTTTTTTAAAAAAAATTTTTTGTTAAAAAAATGTTGTAGACAAAATGTAATTGAATTTTAGACAATTTTTCATTGAAAAATATTTTAAATAATTGAATTTTCAAAGGATTCCATTAAAATTATTGAAAATAATTAATTTTAAAATAAAATTTTTGTAAAATTGAATTGTTGAAGATTTTTAGAACCAATAATTGAATATTAAAAATTTTTTAATTAATTAATTTAAAAATATTTGAAATAATTGAATTTTAGAACAACCTAGTTAAAATTTTATTAAAAATAATAAAATAATTAACCTGGCGAAGAATTATAATAAATAGTTATAAATATAATTATAATAATTATAATTATAATAATTATAATTATAATAATTATAATTATAAATAATTCAAATTTCAGAAGAGCTACAGTCCAGATTTTTAGAATTAAAATTTCAGGATATTATGAATTGAAAATTTTGTAAATTTAAATTGCTAAAGAATTTTTTAAACGAATTTTTTATGCAATAATTGAATTTTAGATAATTTTTAATTGAAAAAATATTTTAAACAATTGAATTTTAGAACAATCTGGTTAAAATTTTTTTAAAAATAATAAAATAATTAACCTGGCGAAGAATTATAATAAATAGTTATAAATATAATTATAATAATTATAATTATAATAATTATAATTATAATAATTATAATTATAAATAATTCAAATTTCAGAAGAGCTACAGTCCAGATTTTTAGAATTAAAATTTCAGGATATTATGAATTGAAAATTTTGTAAATTTAAATTGCTAAAGAATTTTTTTAAACAAATTTTTTATGCAAGAATTGAATTTTAGATAATTTTTAATTGAAAAAATATTTTAAACAATTGAATTTTCGAAAGATTTCATTAAAATTATTAAAAATAATTAATTTCGCAAAGAATTATTAGATTATAATTTTCAATTGTAATTGAATTTTTGAATTCGAATTTGGCGAAGAATTTTAGATAATTTCAAAAAAAAAAAAGAATTTTGGAAGAATTACATATTTAAAATTGTAAGAAATAATTGAATTTCAAGAAATTTAAAATTGCAATTTTTGAAAAATTAAATTGTTGAAGATTTTTATTTACAAACTACAAAAAATAATTTAATATATTAAAAAAATTAATAAAATTTCAGGATATTTTGAATGGAAAATTTTACAAATTTGAATTGTGAATTACGTTTTTAAATGAATTTTAGTCAATAATTGAATTCTATTTTTTATTAATTAATAACAAATTTCATTTATTATATAGATTCTAAAAAAGGTAAAACTATTAACTTAACCTAAAAACCGTATTTTTGAAAAACCGACTCACCGTTTCCATTAAACTTGTCCCAATCTTCAAAATCTAAAGCTTTTAATCTTCTACGAAACATAACTTTAAGTTTATAATATCAATTTTGAGTATTTTTATGTATAAAAAGAAGAAAAATTTGAACTTTGCGTGATAAGAAAGTACGTGTATACTCGCGTGTTTTTGAAACACACACTCACACAGACACACAATGATACTAGCAGACGACTTTTTTCGGCACTAACCGGAATGATTGTTTTCATTTATTATTATTAGTGATTGTCAATGATTAAGTATATTACTCACAACAATTAAAAACATGAATGCTCCTTATCTAGTGGAGGAAAGTTCTCTTGTACAATTGGCTCCAAATTTAGAAAATTTAGTAAAATCACTTCCTAATAATGCGACACAAAATGATTATCTAATTACTGTTGTCATTGTTGTTTTGGCAGAAACAGGATTTTTTATTCCTTCTGATAATGATCAAGAAAGGTACGTATTAAATATATTTCGCTTTGATATTATTTATAATATACTTTTCTATTAATTTTCATTATTCATATTCATTTTCTATTTTATTTTCTATTAATAATTTTGTTTTACTCGCATTTATTTAAAAAAAAATAATAATAATAAATTTCAATTGTAAAAGGCACACAGTTCATTTTATAACATTTATTGTAAATAATTAATCATTTAATGTCATATATATAAACAATGAAGAAAAAATTATTATTATTATTATTATTATTATTATTATATTATTTAAATTATTTATTAACCAAACTTATTTTAAATAAAAAATAATTACTATCAGAATTATTGGAATAACTACTGGATTAATAACTGGAATCTTTAATAATTTTCTCTCCATATATTTGTTAAAAATTTACTTGTTGCGCATTAAGTTTCTATAGTAGCTCATATGTCTGAGCAATTGTTTTTCGTTGTAAATTAAATGCATATAGGAAATATATTTAACACAAAATTACCATATTCTATTGAAATTTAAAAAAAAATATATTTACTATAAAAAAATACATCTCGTGAAAAAATTACTGGAGTTTTTAGTAATTAATCCAATAGTTATATCCCAATAATTATGACAGTAATTATTTTTCATAAGGGCAAAGACAATGAAAAAAAACCTTTTTTACAAACATTATTATAATATTATTTACAACAATTATAAGGTTTGAAAAAAAATTAAATAATGAATTAAAAAACAAAATAAACGAATATTTATCCAAACAAATTATTTTATATAAAATTTGTCAAAAAATTTGTAATAAAATCTTTTTTTAATTTGCAGGCTTTGAAGTGACACACTTTTTTACTTTTTTGATACTTTTTTTTCGACAAGGCTACTTTATTACTACTAATTTTGGCCAAAAGTTATTAAATGCTACTTTCTTCAAAAAATAATTTTAAAAATGACAGAATTCAAGAATTTTCAATTTTAGCGAATTTTTTTGATTCTTAAAATCTTGCCAAGTTGATGATTTATTATTGGCCACGTGAACAACTGATTTATATAATTATTTTTTTACACGAATTTTCATTTTTCAAAATAGCATTTAAAATAATTTCTTTTTAAACGACCTTTTACTCAATAGAATTTTAAATTTGGTAAATTTTTTTTGTCAGAATTTTTATTTTACAAAATTTCTCTTTACCCAACTGTTTTTTTAAAAAATAATTATAGTTTAACCGAAATTCAGACAATAATTGAATTTTAGAGTATTTCGAATTGAAAAATGTTTTCAATAATTGAAATGCCAAGATCTTGATCAAAGTTATTAGAAATAATTATTTCAACAAAAAAATTTGAATCAAAATTTTTAATAATAATTGAATTTCAGGAGATTTTGAATTAAAATTTTAGTAAATTAGAATTGCTGAAAATTATTAACAAAGTTTCAAACAGTAATTGAATTTTAGAGAATTTTTAATTGAAAAAATGTTTTATTTAATTGAATTTTTAAATAATTGAATTGAAATTATTAATTTAGCAAAGAATTTTAGATACAAATTTTAGAAATAATTGAATTTTGGAATAATTCGAGTTAAGATTTTTAGAAATAATTGAATTTTTTGAGATTTTTAATTAAAATTGTTGTTTTAAAATACAAAATATTTTATATAAGCTTCCGATTCCAAGTTCTAGGATTTAAAAATTCGAATTACTTAAAATTCTACTGAATGAGAATTCTAATAAATTAAAAATAGATTAAATTAGAATTGTTTTCAAGAAACAGTTGGGTAAACAGAAATTTTGTAAAATAAAAATTCTGTTAAAAATTCGTTACTTTGAAAATTCTTGTTGAGTAAACATTCGTTTAAAAAAAATTCTGTGTTAAATACTATTTTGTAAAATAAAAATTCATGTGAAAAATCATTTTTATGGAATAATCATACGCTTCTATCGTTGTGCCAAAAACAAAAAAGTTAATCGAAATTTAACAATAGATAGTTCTTTTTTTAAATAATCAGGAAAAAAATGATGTGAATTTTATTCCTTAGAATTTTTTTTTCAATTTTTTAAACAAGAAAATATTTACACTTCAATGTCAAAACCTAGAAAACTAATTTTACTTCATTTTAAAGATGCCACTTTTTTTCAATTTTGGGGATACTTTAAAAAAAATGATACTTTTTTATATTTTTTTTACAATTAGTTTCTTACTACACTTCGAAGCCGAATTTTAATTTTTTTTACAGTGTAGACAAAAATCTAAAAAATCTCGCTATTTTTATCCAATTTTTATAAACAATAGCTTAATTTTATTCGCAGTAAAATATTCTCTACAATTGTTAATTTTTTCCAATATTGTTAAAACTATTTTGTTAAAAAATTATTTAATAAATAAAATTTGTATTGTTTACAATTTTTTAACAACATACTTTTAACAAATGAAAAAAAATTAATGATTGTAGAAAATATTTCACTGAATAAAATAAGCTTATTGTTTATATAAAAATTTGATAAAAATTGCGATTTTTGGCTAAGCTAAAAGAAAAAAGTCAAATCTTCTAAAATTGTTTGAAATTAATTTTTTTCAAGTTCAAGAACCATTTTTCAGTTTTGAGGTTTTATAAAAATGCTAGACCATAACGGACAATTGTTAATTGTTTTAAAAAGTTTATTATAAACGACTAATTGATTAAAATTATTATTTTAATTTTCTAATATAAACGGTTATTTAATTTAAATCACTGAAGCTCTTAATTTTGAGATTGAAGTCAATCTTTCTAATTTGAAATAGATTCGGTTTTGTAAATTACTATTTTTAATAATAATATTTAACTACGTATTATTTTTTTTTTAATTATTCTATATTTTTTCAACTAATTATTATTATTAATTATTGTTGTTTTTAGATGTAGCATCAAATCTCTTAGGATTCCACAAAATTGGAAATCTGTTGATGGAATATATCGAATCACATTTCAATATAATATTGGAAGAGATTTTACTTGTAAATTAGTAGCAATTCCAATAGGCGATAAAGTAATTTTAAATTTTTCCTCACAATCTCTTCGTTGTTTAGTATCGCAAACTTTAAAATATATTAATCCTCATTCGAGTGAAATTAGTGGAAAATTTTGGAATTTAAAAGAATTTTCTTTCAGGTAAAAATTCTCTCAAGTCGTTAAATGTGTGATGCACAAAATTATTATTTTTTTTTTTTGAAAATAATTCAAATTTTATTATAATTATACAGTGAAAATTTTTGATAATTAAATTTTTTTATAGATTAAAAAATGAAGTACTAACGCCATTACGTGTGGAACTTCTTACTACATTTGGTCTTCCAAGTCCAAGTCTTTTTGGACTTCCAGAAGAAGTAAAAGTTTACATTTTACGAATGCTGGACTCCAAGAGTAAACGAAATTTGTTTCTTTGTTGTCCACATTTTTCTGATATTTCTTCAAGAAGAAGATAATAAAATTTGTAGATTATTGTATGTATATAAAAAATGTTTATACAATTTTATACATACTATGTGCTACGTTTTAATTTATAAATTACTTTTTATTTTGATATAATAATAATTTTAATTTTCATACACTAAGAACTTCGACCAAAAATATAAACCTTATTTTATATAAACATTTCTATAATAAATATTTATTTTTTCTTATACGCTGTTTTCTTCAATTTTTTATATAAATGAAATTTATACTTTTTGTCCAACAAGCACGATAAACGTAATTTCAATGTTGGAAAAACAATTACAAATTCATTTTACAATTGCTCGAAAATAGTTTTTTTCGAGTGCATGATTATTCCATAAAAATTATTAATAAGAATTTTTATTTTAAAGAATTTGAATAGAAATAATTATTCCTTAGATAATTTTTCAAATTTGGAATTAAAATTTGACAAATTTTCTTTTCATACGAATTTTTACAGAACAAAATTTTTAGCTACCAAATTTTTGTTTGGTAGAATTTTTATTTTACAATTATTTTCATTACATGACTTTTTATTTAAGAGAATTTTAATTTAATGGAATTCTTATTCAATCGAACTTTATGTAATTCGAATTTTTAAATGTCACAAATTCCAATTCACCGAATTTCAAATTTGTCCGAATTTTTAAGACGCCGAATTTTCATTTGTCCGAACAAATAATCGACAGAAAAATTTCGGCGCAATTTTTGAAAATTGACCAATCACAATTTTTTTTGTTAAATTCTAACTGGTAAATTTTCAAAAATTTCGCCGAAATCTTTCTGTCGATTGTTTCTTCGGTCATTTGTAATTTCGGACAAATGAAAATTCGACGTCTTAAAAATTCTATCAATTAAAAATTCGTACAAATTATTGTAAAATAAAAATTCTGTCACATCAAAAATTTGGTGACTAAAAATTTTATTTTTGTAAAAATTACGTATAATAAAAAAATCTCTCAAATTTTACTTCGATAATTGAAAATTCATCTAGAAAATAATTATTTAAAATAATCTTTTTTTTACCCCTCGATTTACCCATATTTTTAGGCAATCAAATTGAATGTAGAATAAAAAAAGATATATTTGTCTCAAAACCAAATAAATATTTACTTGTTTCTTGTTTCAAATAAATTTTATTTTACTTAAATAAAATTTTATTTGTGCTTGGTAAATTTTTTTATTTAAAACAAAAAGAAAAAGTTATTTGTCTCTGAGAAATAAATATTTTTTTTATTTGTTTCAAATAAAATATAATAACAGAGTGTATGAAAAATTTAGAAAATAATTTCCACGAGATATTTTCATTATCTAACCACAATAGTTATATGAAATTTTTTTTTTTTTTTATAAAATTTAATTTTTTACCTACAACAATTGTAGATCTATTAGATATAGTAAGTACTTATAAATTTTTTATATTGCAAGGGGAAATAGACTCTTAATTCTTGGAAGTATATAGGAAATAATAGCTAACATTATATTTGCATTTGTTTTTCCCGAACTCTTACTTCCGTTCTAGGCGTATAGAGTCTCATAAGTTATTCCACATCAATGTAAGAAGGGATATTTATAAGTTAATTTTTTATGTAAATTGATAGATACGTTTTTTTATTAACGAATATACATTTTATCTTGAACAAACATTGTATTTGTTTCTTCATCATTCAAAAGATGGGAGATTGAAAATTTTTCATGTAAATTAAAATAGATACATTTATTGTATCGAATATATATTTTATCTTGTGAAAACATTGTTGTTTTTTCTATCATTCTTCATTTTTTTGTTGTTGTTAATTCAATGGATGTATATGAAAGTTATTTCAAAATTAACAAACTGGCCTTATGTGCAATTGGACAATGGGTTTATCAGACAGTAGCCATAAAAATTTTCACTAGAATTTTAATTTTAACGTCACTGTTATCTGCAATTATTCCTCAGGTATACATTATTGTAAAAAAAATTAATTTAAAATTACTTAAGGGTGTCGAACGATCTCCAAAATTCTTTGAAAACTTTGATTTTAAAATACCTTTTTCTTGAAACATGGACACTTTTTACAAAATCGGCCAAAACATCAAGGATCCTTATCTTATAAATTTCATAAATTCAAAAGATTGTGAGAATTCATACAAAAACGCAATTGCAAAACGAAAAGTAGGAAAGTAATATAATGACAGTTTTATTACGTCTTGCCGCCGTCAGATGGCAGAAGCATGCAGGGAGCACAAAGTTGCAGCTGTTATTATATTACTTTCCTACTTTTTGTTTTAATATTTTTGTATGAATTCTCACAATCTTTTGGATTTAAGAAAATTATATGATAAAGATCCTTGCGGTATTTTGGCTGATTTTGATTGGAGAAAAAATGTATTTTAAAATCAGTGTTTATTATTTTCACGTTCAATGCCGTTTTTATAAGGCGATAATTAAATGCCAAAGAATTTCAGAGACCATTCGACATCCTTAAATTAACTTTTTTATACAAGAACAAATTTTTATTTTAGAGACTATAAAAAAATATATTATTATACGGATCCAATATGGCTACCAAAAAATTTTTTAAATTTCTCGGATTTGCTCGAAACTTGTTACTCGGTGGTTTTTGGGGTCGCTGAATCCAAATTTGATGTTGGATTTTTAATTTTCAAAATTTCGGATCTCGTATATAGCGATGATAAATTTAAAATTTGATCAAATTCGCATGGAATTTGTTTAAATTTAAAATCTAATATCAAATTTGGATTCAGCGACCCCAAAAACTCCCGAGTAACAAGTTTTGAGCGAATCCAATAAAATTAAAAAAAATAGTTTTTTGGTAGTAATATCCCTGGTTAAAATTTCTGACTGATTTCAGATTAAATACAAAACAGAACACTGTGCGAATAAGTCCAAAAATTTTACGAAAACAATCCGAAAATGATCCGTATTAATCAGCAATCAGTCTCGAAGAAAAGATAAATCCAAAGATTAGTCCGGAATAGTTCGAAATTGACATGAAATAAATCCACAATTAGCCCGCAGCAATTTTATTTTATGTTATATCAAAATACAATCCAAAATGAGTCCAAAATAATCTGCAGAATTTGTATGTAAACTATCCGCTAACAGTACGCAACAATTCGGATTAAGTATTATTAAAAAACTGAATCCAACATGAGTCAGTAATAATCTGAAATCTTTATGTGGAAAATCCGGTATCCTGATTTAATCTAGTAAAAAATCTTAATCAGAAAGGAATCCGAATTAGTCGGCAATCTGTGTGTAACGAATCCGGATTTAGTCAGTTCTAAAATCTTAATTGAAAATCTGTATGTAAAAATTCTCTGGTATATTAGTCCACTACAAATGATGATTTTGTACATAATAAATTCCGGATTTTTCCGAACTCATATTTCGGATTACGATGTTATACCAGATTAAGACCGGATTGTTACTGTGACTAATATCGAATTTCTTAAATACATACTTCGGATTATTCCGGACTCATTTTAGGTTAAGCTTTTTGATCATCTTAGAATCGAATTGTTACGGACTGATTTCATATAAGTTTCGGACTACTTTGGACGTATCTCATATTTGTTTTCTTTCCGCACTAATTTCGTAATGTTTCATATCATTTTCGAACTGTTTTCGTACAATCTAGACAGATTCAGTTCGTTTAAAATTCTGAATCCTAATTTATTCTGATATCCGACATTCTATATGTATGAAATCCGTAATTAGTCCGCAACAATCTGAATTTAGTTAGGTTTTGCTGCTTTTATTACAGTTCCCACTTATGCCGCCAGGTGCAGTTCTCTCACAGTTGAGATAAGTCTCGAGTTCTATATAAGAACTGTTCACTGTCGGCGTAAAAAAACATGTTACCTTATCTGATCAATATAGTCATTATACTTTGGTTAATATTTCGGAATGTGGAATTAATCCGAAACAGTCCGCTTTAGAGTCGGGTTTCTATTATCTGAAATTAGTCCGGTTAAGTCCAAAATTAGTATTATTTGTGTGACTAGTAAATTCAGAATTAATACAGTCTAATCCGAAATTAATAGGATCATACACAACTAATAAATGCAAAATTACTTCTATTGAATCCGAAATTAATCCAGCCTGTGTAAATCAGTAAATCTAGAATCTGCGTTTCACCCCTGGCGGATTCGATTTGCGTAATGTCTACTTAACTAAGCGGACTTTAGGTAGACATTAGGTAGACATGTAAAAAAACGTATAAAAAAGCTATTAATCGACTTATTATGATAAAAAAAAGTTGATAAAAGGGTAAATGAATGTTTATAGAGTAAATTCGTACAAAATTTGTAATTAATAAAGCAATAAATAATTAATAATGAATGGAAATGTGCGCGAGGTACCTGATCAGTTCAGCTGTACAATTATTTTCGTGCTATTTTCATGAAAAGAATATAAATTAACTGCAAAAACAATTGATATTTATAAAAAAGTGTAAAATTGATTTAATTTTATTGTTTGCAATACGAATTATTAAATAATAATTAAATTTTTATCAAATGTGAATAGTGTTGTGAAAACTAATGAGTTACTACATTACCGATCGCATATGAGAGATGGCGCCACCAGTTTTTACAATACAGTGCGAGCATGTTTTCTTCCAAGCTTTTGCTTTGAAAGAAAATAAAAAGTGAATTTTAAAATGCAGAATAAAGTTATACAAATAATTATTGATTTCATAATTGTTTCTCGTCCAAAATTACGGACATGATTGCAGCTTTTTTGTTACACTCATCGAGAACTTTTTATTATCATATGCGATCGGTAATGTAGTAACTCATTAGTTTTCACAGGTTTTCACAACACTATTCACATTTGATAAAAACTTAATTATTATTTAATAATTCGTATTGCAAACAATAAAATTAAATCAATTTTACACTTTTTTATAAATATCAATTGTTTTTGCAGTTAATTTATATTCTTTTCATGAAAATAGCACGAAAATAATTGTACAGCTGAACTGATCAGGTACCTCGCGCACATTTCCATTCATTATTAATTATTTATTGCTTTATTAATTACAAATTTTGTACGAATTTACTCTATAAACATTCATTTACCCTTTTATCAACTTTTTTTTATCATAATAAGTTGATTAATAGCTTTTTTATACGTTTTTTTACATGTCTACCTAATGTCTACCTAAAGTCCGCTTAGTTAAGTAGACATTACGCAAATCGAATCCGCCAGGGACTAGTTACGTTTGATCGAACTGACTTCGGTTTAGACCTGATTAATTCCGGATTCACTATAGTTACACAAAAATGGGGCAAATTTCGGATTTAACCGGACTAATTTCGAGTGACAAAAACCGGACTGTTTCGGAATAATTCCAGTAGATTAGTCCGGATTTTTTTATTAGGGATTAGATCCGCTATTTTGAATTCTGAAATTTTTGAGTTAGGATCATACACAGTGGGCAAAAAACAATGTTCGTTTTAAAAAAGTTTTAAAGAACGTTTTTAAAACGAACATTGTTTTTTGCCCACTGGGTATGATCCTAACTCAAAAATTTCAGAATTCAAAATAGCGGATCTAATCCCTAATAAAAAATCCGGACTAATCTACTGGAATTATTCCGAAACAGTCCGGTTTTTGTCACTCGAAATTAGTCCGGTTAAATCCGAAATTTGCCCCATTTTTGTGTAACTATAGTGAATCCGGAATTAATCAGGTCTAAACCGAAGTCAGTTCGATCAAACGTAACTAGTGAATGCAGATTCTAGATTTACTGATTTACACAGGCTGGATTAATTTCGGATTCAATAGAAGTAATTATACAATGTTCGTTTTAAAAATGTTCTTTAAAACTTTTTTAAAACGAACATGGTTTTTTGCCCACTGGGTAATAAAGTATGTAGGCACCAAATTCATGGTAATAAAAAAACTAATCCTAATGTATTTAGTGTAATTTTCTCATTTCGGTCATTGGTAATGATACTGACGCAACTTTTGAGTGCCTTCCACCTCTTATTTTTAATATTTTGTGCTATTGTCAATATGGAGTTGTTACACTCAAACAAGACAAGGTATATTAATATTTCATTCTTTTCCTCAAAATTTTGTAAAACATATTCTAAATTTTGTATAAATTGACTGATACGATATAGTTGCGGATTCTCGTCAAATATATGCAGGATGATTGGAATTTTTGGACATCTAAGGTAGAACGTACAATTTTGCTAAAATCTGCAAAGCAAGGAAGCCGTCTTACAATTTTATATTTTAGTAAATTTCTCGAACATAAACATGTACATGAACTTGTACATGTTTTAAAAACATGTACATGTTTATGCATCTTTAATCGCGGGTTATTTCACTGAATTTTTGTTTATCTTTAAAATAATGTGATTGTTGTCATTTCACATGATTCTTCGTACACTGAGAAAAAAGGTTTGAGCTGACAACCAAATATTTCATTTAATATATGTGCAACTAAAATTTTTTGGTTGACACAACTAAACTTTAGTTGACATCAACCAAAGTTTGGTTCAGACTACTAAATTCTTTTTCATTTTCTTATTTAGTCGTCTGAAACAAACTTTGGTTGTTGTCAAATTTAGTTGTGTCAACCAAAAAATTTTAGTTGCACATATATTGAATGAAATATTTGGTTGTCAGCTCAAACCTTTTTTCTCAGTGTAGATATTTTCGAAAAATAATTGATAAATTAAGCTAAAATTTTGTGGAGAATTCATCAGCAATTTCTTATATTTTTGATTTAATCACAAAAAATTTAGCTTAATTTATCAAATATTTAAGAGAAAAGTAGATAAATTTACATGTGAAATCACAACAATCACGTAATCTTATAATGGAGTTTAAAATTCTTAATTTATATATTTTTTCAGTAAATATGTATAGTTCAGTATTAATTTTCGTATCAATGTCAATGATGCCGATTGTATGTGACTATTTCCTGCCGTTGAATAATGCGACTCGTACGAGGGTATTAGTGCACGCTACTAAATTTCCTTTAGATCATAATAAATATTTTTCTTGGATATTGGTTCATGGTTCTGTTACTTCTTTTCTTAATATGACAGTTATGTTTGCTTGTGAATCAATGTTTGCAGTTACAACACAACATGTTTGCGGCTTATTTGCAATTGTTAGGTAAAGAAATTAAATTCCATAAACACACCCCAGTTGAAAAAATCGGATCCTAAATCTGAATCTAAATAAGATAAAAAATCGGAGCATAAAATCTGATCATATTTAGAATCTCTTGTAAAGCATTTTACTTTCCTCAATGTTGCAGCTAAGTTTTAATATTTATCTTTTCATTTTTGGGATTTAGTTCCGTAATTTGGAATTTAGTTCCATTTTAAATTTTGTGATTTTAATTGATTTTAATAATATACTGTCCCAAGATGAAAGGATTGGCGTCTATTTTTTACTGAGTTTTAATATTAATTTCCGATTATAGTCATCATTTGCAAAGTACAATGAAATACGCAAGCAAGGAACAAAACTATAAAATCATAAAGGATTCGAGTTATAAAGAATTGTCATCTTCTATTAGGTGGCACAATCATGCACTTCAGTATGTTGAATTGTAATAATAAATTTAATAAATATATATGGAATATAATAATTGCAAAATTATATTTCAGATATTCAAAGATACTTAACTCTTGTTTTTCGCCACTTTTATTTTATTCAGTGGTATTAAATGTTATAGCCACCAGCTCTGTGTTGATTCAAGTAAAAATTATTCTCATTTCTTTGTCTGATAATTTATCAATTTAACTCAACTTTTCAATTATATATTAAGAATATCTTATTAATTTTTGCAGACTTTAAACTCAATTGGAAAATTAAATCTGGTCATAAAATATGGAATGTTTGGTAGTGCTTGTTTGATTCATCTTTTTTGTTTAACATTGCCAGCTCAAAATTTATTAGACAGTAGCTTATTAGTTTCACAAGAAACGTAAGTATATTTTTATTTAACAGGACACAAAAATGACGCTTTTAGACATTTGAAGATGGGGCCATTGTTCAACTGAATCCAAAAAAGAATTACATTTTCTCCCTAGTGTAAAATAGGCGCTATTTTAATTCAGTTTAACAAAATATAAGCTTTAAGATCCTTCAGATATTTAAAATCAACACATTTGGAATAAAATGTATATATGGTAATATAGCGACAGGGAAATAATATCAGCCCAAAATTTTTGTAGTCCCAGAACTATTTGTAGTAATTTTGTAGCACAAACAGATGTGCTATCTCTGGGGCATAAATTTATTTAGCCTTTTGGGAAATATTCTTTAATTTTATATATAAATCTGTTTTCAACTTCAAAAAGATGTAACGGAGAATGGTATAATTTGCCACTTTATGGACCGAAGTTACTTGTGCCAATAATACTTCGAGGTCAAATACCATCAACTGTGACGATTGGAAAATTTTGTAACATGGATATGGTTGCGTTTGCAGCGGTAAGAATTATTGAAAATTTCGTTTTGTAATTTATTAAAAATTAATTTAAACAGATTTTGTTGCAATCATATCACAGAAAATTATAAGGTATTAAAATAAGCTGCAACGCTTATTATTTTAATCCAATTTTGCTTATTTGCATACCAAAATGGATTAAAATAAGCAAAATTAGATAAAAATAAGAAGCGTTGCAGCTTATTTTAATGCCTTTTAATTTTCTGTGATATTATATTGCGTATAAAATGTAAATGATGTATTAATTTTAAGCTTCTCAAGACGACACTCTCTTACTTTACGGTTCTTTCATCTTTGCGTTAAGATTTTCTCAAGATATATATAAAATTAAATTCTTATTAATGAAATATATCACATTAGTTGCACTAAATACATAATAAGAGTAATCAAATATCTTTGAGGTAATTTGGAGTCTTCAATATCATGCATCACTGGAAAACATTGTATTGCATTAACGATATTATATATATATTGACAAAAGTATAAAAGTTATTGATTCAAATATATATTTTTGACGAATTAATCACGTTTTATTTTATTATTAGTTTGTAATGAGTCATTTCAATTTTTCATTTAGTAGCCTCACAATGAATAATTATAAGTTAGGTAGCTGCATCGAAAAAAAAACATTCTGAAATGTTGAATTACTTAAGACTTATTTTAGAATATTTTATACTTAAATTCAGTATGTAATATTCTAATTTTAAGGCGGCAAGCTTCAAATGTCCCACCTGACCTAAGATTACCTTGCAAACTTGGGTCAGTTGGGACATTTGAAGTTTGCAGTAATCTTGCGGTAACGTTTGGCAATATTGCGCGGCAAGCTTCCCGCAAGGTTGCTGCAAGCTTACGTCCTATCTGGGCTGTGTTTAACCATTATTATTATTATTATTATTGGTAATTTATATAAACCTTTGTTAATTTTTGAAATTTTGTGTTTTCATTTTTATCTGTTCAATTTTTTTTAACATTATAATTTTTATGATTTCCATTAAAAACTAATTTATAACTTATAAACTAATTAATTCATGAAACATTACGAAAATAAAAGTTAAATATATATATATATATAAGAATACAGAAATTCTTTATATTTTGCCTAACAACTCCATAAACCAGAAGGAAATCAATATCATATAATATGTTTTTTTCGTTTTGCTTCAAACAAAACTAAGAAGTATATAATCATGGCAAATATTTTAAAAGTTACATTTCAATCAATTTATCTTTTTATTTTAATAAAAAACTGTGTTTTTCTACCTACTAATAAACAGAATGTAAGTTTTTCTTATAAATAATTTTACATTTTTCAAATATATTTTCAAAGTCACGGTATCTGTAGTAAAATACTAAAAACAAAAACATAGTAATAAAATAATAAAAGGGTAAGTCCACGTCAGAAATATCAGAATCTGCAAGTGGTTCTTCGATTTTAGTGATACTTGGTAAAATTATAGCTTTATATAAGAGCAATGTGTAAGTAAAAGGAATTTTTAAAATATCTAAAATTGTAGGAGTTATATCACTTTTAATTTTGATACTGCATTTTTTTCTTTCCTTTATATCTCGGTCAATTTTCAACCGATTTTGATGAATCAAAAACGATTTTTTTCAGAAAATTACGTATTTTCAGAAAATTTTAAAATAAAAATAAAATTTTGTTATTTAAATAGAAAAAAGCAAAAAACAAAATTTCTTTTAGATTTTTTTTTAATTTTTAATTTTTTAATAATATTCCTTTTTATTTTATCTTTAATTTAAAAAAAAATTCATCCTGGAGACTTTTTTAGATCTCGTGATATCGTTCTTTAAATATCCACATCTCAAGAAAACTAGGATCCAGATTTGTGTTTCTACTTTCATTTGTTTTATAATATTATTGTTACAAACTAGAAACTTTCGCGTAATAATGTTTTTATTTTTAAATTACTTGACTAAAACAAGTAAAAATTCAAGCAAATCAATATTTTATTAATAGATTTGAAGCAAAGTTTTTATTTTTTGTAATATTTATAATTTCAAATAAATTGTAATGAAACCTTAACAATGCAACCTGAAATTGTAGCTGAAGTTTTTAGCGCTTTCTTTTAGAGGATTCTAAAACAAATAGTTATTCATAACCATAAAAAATTTCAACAAACAAATGAAAGTAATGATAGAAGCAAGTCCTGCGGTTTTCAAATTGATGAAGACTTATAATACTTAAAGGACGATATCACGAGATCTAAAAAAGTCTCCAGGATGAATTTTTTTTTAAATTAAAGATAAAATAAAAAGGAATATTATTAAAAAATTAAAAATTAAAAAAAAGAGGTCGAAATTGAAAAAAATCTAAAAGAAATTTTGTTTTTTACTTTTTTCTATTTAAATAAGAAAATTTTATTTTTATTTTAAAATTTTCTGAAAATACGTAATTTTCTGAAAAAAATCGTTTTTGATTCATCAAAATCGGTTGAAAATTGACCGAGATATAAAGGAAAGAAAAAAATGCAGTATCAAAATTAAAAGTGATATAACTCCTACAATTTTAGATATTTTAAAAATTCCTTTTACTTACACATTGCTCTTATATAAAGCTATAATTTTACCAAGTATCATTAAAATCGAAGAACCACTTGCAGATTCTGATATTTCTGACGTGGACTCACCCAAAATATATTTAATTTATTTAATGTAACGTATTTTTAATATTAGTACAATGAAAAAAAATTTATTTGATTCAAATAATTGATTATACTTTATTAAATAAATATTTATTTTGAACAAAATAATTTTTATTTGAATTAAATAAATTGTGTTTGAACCAATAATTTTTGTATTTGAAACAAATACTATTTAATTGATCCAAATAATAATTATTTAATGCAAATAAATATTTATTTGATAATAGTCAAGTAACCAATTATTATTAGAGAAATGTTTTATTTGAACCAAATATAATATATTTGAGTTAAATAAACATATATATTTATCTCACAGCCTACTAGCAGCCCATTTATTTGGCGTAAATAAAATTTTTTATTTAAATCAAATAAATATTTATTAGACTGTGAGACAAATATACAATTTTTCTGGGTGTATTGTATTGTTTTTGTTTACAGTACTTTATTATTGTAAGAAATAAAATTAATATATTTGACATTTTTTTCTGATGACTAAAAAATTTTCCTAGGTAAAAGAAGAAAGTATGCTTGAATTAACGGAAGTGGAATTACCAAAATTTCCAGGTAAATACTAAAAAGTATATTAAATATTCTAAAATAGGTGCCAAGTATACTAAATTTCAGAATATTTTTTTTTTTCGGTGTATTATATATTTTTAAAATAGGAAATTTTAAGGATTTAAAAATAATAAAAAAAATTTTTAATTTCAGTTATCATGATGGAAATTCCAATAAAACTCGATATAAATAATCCATTACTTAAAAATCTTCTTGCGAAGGGTGCGGAAAAATATAAAAAATATTATGAAAAATCTTATGAACCACTTATCACCAACATTCGCAGTATCAAACATTTAATTAAAATACAATCAGAATTTATATTCCATGTAACGTTTGGAGCTAGTAACTGTACCAAAGGATTGAATGAACACTGTGTTCTTTTACCAAATGGAGAAAACGATGAATGTATCATTGATGCTTATTCCCTCTTTCGTTCAACTGAAAATGAGAACTATCGAGTCTTTATTTATTGTACTCCCGATGTATTAAAGGAATTTCCAAAAACTCCAGTGAATTTAAAAGTACAGCCTTACGTCTTCACGCCAATTATTCTTTCCAAATGGCCATTAAGATAAAAATGTCGGTTTATTTTATTTTTTACTTCATAAAATAAAATTAAAAATTCATTTTAATAGAAAGAAAAAGAAATATATTTATTATATTAGTATAATAAATGTATACCTTTACTGTACTGTCATTAAAAAAATATATATTTTCAACATTTTAAAACTGGTCTTCATTCGTCATTTGATTCATTACTCCTCATAAGGAGTAATTTACTATTTAAAAAACGATGATATCATTGTCATTCCTATTACAGTATTAAATATGAGATTTTCTTTTTATGTTTAACTTACACTCAGAAAAAAGATATGTTTGAACCAAATGTACCATTTTTTTTATATTTACCCAATTTTTTGGTTAATTCAAACAAAATTTGTTTAATTCAAATAATAAATATTTATTTCATCTAAATAACTGTTTGGTTTATTTTAATAAATTTTTTGAACAAAGAAAAAATTTGATTGATAAACATTTGGTTTATGCAACCAAATGTTTGGTTAACTGTATATCAATGCATTTATTTTGTTGATTTAACCAAAATTTGGTTGCTTCAAACGAATTTTTTTCTGAGTGTAGAAAATAAATTTTTCTTTTAAAACAAAAATATAATTCTTGGATTAAATTTAGCCGAATTCTCATTCAACAGAATTTTAAGTTATTCGAATTTTTAAATTCCATAGAATTTCCGCAATTAAGTGAATCTTTATTTATATGATTTTTTATTTATACGAATTGTTATTCGATAGAATTCTTAAAACGACGAATTTCCATTTGACCGAAAAACAATCGACAGAAAGATTGCGGAGCGAATTTTAAAATTAACCAAACAGAAATTTTTTTTTTTTAAATTGTGATTCGTTAATTTCAAAATTCGCGCCGAAGTTTTTCTGTCGATTACTTGTCGGTCAATTTACAGTTTTTTTTTTTTTATTTAGTATTTATTTTGTACTTAAACACACTGAAAGAAAAATTATTTGATTAAAATACTTGATTTCTTTACTATTCAGGGTGTCTAACAACTGCTAGGAAAAAAATTCCCTGACATTTCACTGACCTAAATTACACTAAAAAATTTTTATTTTGTTCAAATAAAATTTATTTTGATACAATTAAATCATTTACCTGTCTATTATCCACTAATTTCATATGTATTTGAACCAAATAAATAATGTTTCGTAAAAAATAAAATATTTAAGTGAAATAAATAAACTAATTGGGGACGTATAAATATTCTCAACATTTAATTTAAAACAATTTTTACTGCGTCAAATCTTAAATTATCAAATTTTTATATAGTAAAATTATATAAAGCAGATTTTCTAGTACATCAAATTTCAAATTAATACAATTTCAATTTAACGGAATTTATGTCAAGAAAAATTGCATAAAGAACAATTTTTTTAACAGAATTGTTATTTTAGTAAATTTCGATTTATCAAAATATTTACTTAACAGAATTGTCATTGAATAAATTCACAATTAACAGAATTTCTATTTAACAAAATTCTTAATTAACAAAGTTTTTATTAAAGAAAATTTTAATTCCAACTAGTTCTTATTTAACCCTTTGAAGCATACATTTTTCTTTGACAAGGAATTTATCTTTGAAGTGCATTATAGGGGGTTTTAAGGATCGCTGATCACGAATCCGAAGCCAGATTTTCAAAATTCAAAATGGCGGATCCAATATGGCGGACAATTTTTTTTAATTGATCATATCCGCTCGAAACTGGTTACTCAGGGGTTTTCGGGGTCGCTGATATTACGAATCCGATGTCAGTTTTTCAAAATTCAAAATGGCGGATTCAATATAGCGGACAATTTTGTTAAAATTGATCAAATTGATCACACACACACACACACACAAAAGCGCCATTTTGAATTTTGAAAATCTAACGTCATATTCGTAATCAGCGCCCCCAAAAACCCCCGAGTAACAAGTTTCAAGCAAATCCGATCAATTTTTCATTTTGTCATCCGCCATTTTGAATTTTGAAAGTCCAACGTCATATTCGTAATCAGCGACCTCAAAAACCCCCGAATAACAAGTTTCAAGCCATTCCTATAAATTTTTCATTTTCTCATTCGCCATATTGGATCTGCCATTTTGAATTTTGAAAATCTAACGTCATATTCGTAATCAGCGCCCCCAAAAACCCACGAGTTACAAGTTTCAAGGAAATCCGATCAATTTTTCATTTTGTCATCCGCCATATTGGATCCGCCATTTTGAATTTTGAAAATCTAACGTCATATTCTTAATCAGCGCCCCCAAAAAGCCCATGAGTTACAAGTTTCAAGGAAATCCGATCAATTTTTTATTTTTGTCATCCGCCATATTGGATCCGCCATTTTGAATTTTAAAAATCTGATGCCAGATTCGTAATCAGCGACCCCGAAAACTTTATAGACATTATTGTTAGGTTATATCTTATTGTTGTTTAGTCACAATTACATTTATTGTTTAAAAAAACGCTATTTTTAAACTTAATTTGTTTATAACATTTATTTTATTTATAAAAAACACTTTTTTAATGTAGTTATATTGTAATAGATATTCTAAAATACATTTTAAATAAATTTTGTTACTGAAATGTGTAAAATAGTGGCTAAAGTATATTCAAAAAAAGTGCAAGAAAAAAGGTGACACTCAGGAGTGTCACTATGCCGCAAAGGGTTACCACAATTCTTATTTAAGAAAAATTCTACCTTGTTCTTTTTTGTCAATTTTTATAGACATAAATTTCGTTAAATTGAAATTATATTAATTTAAAATTTTTAAAAAAAGTATTAGAAAAAATGCTTTATAAGAGTTCTGCTAAATAGAAATTCTTTTAAATCGAATTTTACTTAAATGTAAATTAAAAATTTTGCATAATATAAAATCTACTTTATACAATTTTGCTAAATAGAAATTCGATAATTTAATATTCAACGCCGTAAAAATTTTTATAAGTTAAATGTGGGTATTAGCATTAAATAATAAATTATTCGTATTAATGAATAATTTACTTTATTTCAAGTTGAATCGATAAAATAAAATTGTATGAAATAATTTTGATTTATATTAAAAAACCAAATATTTCACTGCAAAAAAATTAATTAATTGTTATTGCATTATTTGCTTTGGGAAAAAAGTAAAAAAAAATTTTTGAAACTAATAGTTACTTTAATTTATTCATAAAAAATTCCAGAAAATTAAAGAAATTCTCTGACTTTTCCCTGATTGACCGTTAGATCTATTATCAAATAAATATTTACTTGAAACAAATATTTTTTATTTAAATTAAATAAATTGTATTTGAAACAATAATTTTTGTATTAAAAACAAATATTATTTAATTGACTCAAATAATAATTATTTTTGATACAAATAAATATTTATTTTATAAAAATAAAGTAACCGATTATTTGAATCAAATAAATTTTTTTTTTTTAGTGCATAAAATTAGAATAAACTGACAATAATTTCCAAACAAGTAAATTTAAAAATTTTCAAAAAATAGAATAGAATAAAATTTATTTTCCTTTGACAATACAAAATAGTATTGTTTCTTGTCTAGAGATAGCCACATATTAATAAAAAAAAAAAAAAATTTTACATTTACATTCTATTTTCTCGATTTTCTATAAAACAACACAAATTTCATTAAATACTTTACAAATATCAATGTCTATTATTTTCAAAAAATAAATTCTGTCAAATATGCTTATTCGTTAATTCATGCATTATTTAACAATATCCAGTATCTTACGAATGTTATTAAAAAGATATATTTTAAGTGGAAATTACCGCAGTAGTAAAAGATTTCAGTAAACAAACAACCCTAACCTACAAATTTATATTTAATTACAAATTCAGAGATTTCACCAATGCAATTGGTATACACAGCACATTTAATTAGCAAAACACTATTTATTTTTATTTTATGTCAATAAGCGTTTTCCATGTTTCAAAAATATGAGTAAAATTATGATAAAAGTGGAAACATTTTTTCTTCCCCATATGAATAACAATTGTGTCGTCTGTTTGTTTTCCCGGTTTTTTTCCCTCCAGCTATCTGACGTCACATCTAGAATCAACTCTGACTTCACACGATCTAATTTATGAATTTAAAATTTAAAGAAAAACTGTAAATCCTAATTTATTAAACAAAAAAAAATAAAACGAAATAACTTTTAAGAAAACTTAGGAATTTTATTTTACGAAAAATTACATTTCAAAATTTCAGATATAACTTTCCGCGTGATTTTTCAGTAAAATTGTTTTTGGAAAATTTAAAGAAAATCTTAATTAGAATTTTTGCAGCAAAATTGCAATTTGTCATATTGCAAATTTACTGCAAAATTCCTGCAAACATTATTTTGTGCTAGGATAGTCTGCTTCTCTTAAATCGCCAATCACGTGACTGGCGAACTAATTCACTCGGCTTATTTCGCCAGACATCTGGTGAAATAGACATACACAGCGTTTTTATTTTATCAGCATACACACATTTCGTTTTTGTTCGTTTTACAGTTAACAGTTCAGTTGTCACTTGTCTGTGGGTGGGAAAACAGAAAAAAAATGTCCGCTCTGCGGAATTTCATGTATTTAATATTTTTCTATGTTTTCCTCTTATTTCAAGGCATATTATCGACACCTGCCAATGTTCCATTATCAAGTATTTCCGATTTACTTGTTGAAAGTGCTTTGACTACATTAAATGAAAATTCACCCAATCATCGTGTTTACAAAAAAGCTGAGCTCATAAATGCTCAAAAAACTGTAAGTGATAAATTATGTTATTTATTTCCTGTTAATATAAATATATAAACATAACCTTCAAAACAAATAAGATGCGATAAAAAATGTGTTTAGTTTTTCAATTTTTTTCTAAATGCAATTTTAATTTTATATGGTTCACAAATGAATTCTTAATATTTATTAATTTATTCTTTATTGATTATAAAATTTGAAAAAATAGGCTAATTTATTTTTTTTTTTTTAAGAGAAATTGAATTTGTTTTCTTTCTTTATATGAATTGATATGGAGCTATGATGTTTTGTTAGCTGCGCAATTGCAAAAAGTTTTTGTAATTTTTTATAATGGATTTATTTTTTAATTTTTAATTTATTACAATTTGATTATTATTTTGTAAAATACTTTATTAAATTCTTATTTCACATTAAATTAATTTATTAATTATTAAATTTTTTTGTGTATTATTACAATTTATTTTCTAATATTTAAAGAAAATTTAATTGCAATTTCGAATTTGTCTATTTATATAAATGAAACAATGTTTTTGTCATGAGTTAGTCACATTTATTTTTAAGGAAAATAATAATCAAACAAAACAATTGAATAAAAGATATTTGTGTTTTTGTTTAAGAAAAAAATTAATTAAACTTTTCTTTTTCTCGATGATTTAATAACAAAAAAAGAAAAAAAAAATTCTCTTTATTTACATAAATTTTAAACTAAGTATTATATCAAAATAAATTACATTAATGATAAAATAATAATGTATAATAAATATTAATATTTTATTTATATAATAATAATAATAATATTTGACAATATTTATTTTTTATTATTTTATTTATAATTTTATTCAAATTACTTTGAATTGAATTAAAAAATTTTATTGACTATTAACAAATTGAAATAAATAAATATATAGATAATTATTTAATTTTTCATATGTTCTAAATTTTAATTTTATATATGAATATTTCATTAATTAAATATGTTTATATTGCATAGAATAAAATGTAATATGTTCGTTAAAGATTATATTTTAATGAAATGCTTGCAATTAGATTGGAGATGAAATTAAAATAAATAATGAATTTAGTCAAGTATGTCAGGGACAAAGAATCATTTTAAATTCACAATTTTGCTTATCGTGCGCTATTATTCGATATAAATTATACTCATTTTTTTGACACTCATAAAATGACATTTATAAGAATTATCATTTTTTAATTGAAAACAAAAAAAATAAAATCCATTCTAAATTTTAAAAGTAACTTGAAATTTTGCTTTTGTTCTATTGGTTTTCTATTATTATTATTACAATTATTATTTATTGTTTATTATTATTATTATTATTATTATTATTATTATTATTATTTTGTTTTTTTGTAATATTATTTTCTTGTCATTTTCAATGTGCTTAAAGTTTTTAATTAAAAAATCATTTTTTTCCTTCATAAATTGTTTAAAAATTACAATTACAAAGGAAAAATAAAAAAAGTTAATTAAACATTTAATAAACTGTTAATTTATTTTTTAATATACAAAAAACAATATTTTATAATAAAATTTGAAGTTAAAAAAGTGATAAACAATCATTTTTCGTTCATTTGAAATTTTGATTTTTAAATAAAAATTTTTTTTTAATAATAATCCTTTTCGAAGGGTTAAAGTTGAAATTTTTAGAAATAATTAAATTTCAAAAAAAAAATTTTTGGATGGAAAATTTTAGAAATAATTAAATTTTCGATGCTTTTAAATTCAAATTATTGAAAATTCAATTAATTTTGAATTCAAATTTTTGAGAATAATTAAATTTTATTTGATTTTAAATTTGGAAAATAATTGAATTTCAGTTCATTTTGAATTGAAAATTTTGGGAAATAATTGAATTTTAATTGAAATTTTGGATAATAATTTAATTGAAGTTCATTATTGATTGAAAATTTGGATAATTAATTTTGAATAGAAATTTTAGAAAATAATTGAATTTTATTTCATTTTAAATTGAAAACTTGGTAAATAATTCAATTTTAAATTGAAAATTTTGGATAATTATTGGATTTTTTATTGATTTTGAATTAAAATTTCGGGTAACAATTGAATTTTAGTTTATTTTGAATTGAAATTTTTAAAAAATAATGCAATTTTATTGTGAAATTATCAACAATTGTTAAATTTCATAAAAATTTTAATTGAAAAATAATTTTGATGTATTTAATTAAAATTATTAAAAATAATTAATTTAGTGAAGAATCATTTTAGTTCAAAATCTGTTAAATAATTGAATTGAAGAAGATCTGAAGATCTACATTTTATACTAAAAAAATTTATTTTATTTACATTTTTTTCAAATGTAAAAAAAATGTCGCATTTTATTAAAATAAGTCGATAAAAGTCTTATTTTTGAAAAAAGTCGGAAAAAGTCGTATAATCCGAGGCCTGTAAACATATAATTTTCATTATTATTATTATTATTTAATATGTAATAATATTCTTATAAATGAAATTTTGTTTTTCATCTAATTATAACTAAATTATAAATTTAATTAATTTATTTATAGAATTATAAACGGATGGTAAATCTTTTACAAATAAAGTAATATTAAAAAAAAAATATGGTAATCAATTAATTTATAAACTGTCGTTAAAAGCAGTTGTAAGCATGTTTTATTTATAAAAAAAAACGTTGCTTTTAACTTCCGCTTTACTCTACGTTAATTAAATTTTCTTCTTTTCATTGTAATTTAATTATATTCATTTCTTATAACATAAAAACGAGTCATTTTTCTTTTAAATTTATTTTTTTTTCCTGTTACATAAAAATCTTACATTACGTTTTAAATTTTATTTACACCAAGAAGAAAAACGTAATATAATAAAAATGTAATCTAAAATTATTATCCAATTTTAATAATTATATAATTATTATAAACATATATGACAAACAATTTGAATCAAATTTTGTAAATTAAGAATAGTTTTGAATTTCAAAAATCTAAAAAAAACTGTATTTATTTCTGAAATTAATTTTCCTGTTATTGTGGATAATTCTCAATAAACTTTGTTTGTATTGCCAGAGTTATAAGAAATCAATTACTGATAAAATACGATTTAAATAAATGGGGGTTATCAATGATTTATATTTTTTAATTATTAAACGATAAAAAAAGAAACTAGAATTGCTTGAGTAAGCTAATTATTTATTCAAAGATTAGATTTTTTTGTCAATAGAAATTCACAAATTTACGCACTAACTTTCTAAGGCCTTGATATTTCTATTTCGATAAAAAAAAAATTACTAAAATTCAAGAAATCGATTTAAAAAAAAAATTTTTTATTTTAATTCAATTGTTAGAGTTTTCTTTTTTTGCTTTTGTTATATTCTAAGGATTGTATTTCAATCAACAATAATTATTTGATTTTAGTATTAAATAGGAAAAAATTTTTTTTTTTTTTAAATCAAAAATTTCATTTGTAAAATTAAATATGCAATAGAATTTAAAGTAGAAGAGAGGCAATTAATATGACGCACATTGATATCAAGAAATTAACACATTTTTTTAAAGATGAAAATAAAATTAAAATTATTTTTTATTTCAAAAATTTGTTTTAAAACAAAATTAGACATTTAAATGCAAATGTTTGATTTTATACAGAAAAGTTTAGTTCCTCATTTTTGAATGAATAACATATTTATATACTTTTTATGTCTTATCAATATTTAAGTGTCTGATTCATAAGAAAAATTAAATAAAATATTTCATAAAAATGAATTCTTTGTAGAATCTTCTCGTGATGCTAATTTAATGCATATTATCTCTAAAGAATGTAAAATGAATACAAAAAAAAATATGTTCACAAAAATTTAATACAAATTTTCTCTAATTTAGTGAAAAAATTGTTCATTTTCAAATTTAAGACAAAACGTCATTTTTTTTAAATTTTAAATTTTTATATTATGTATTGAAATTAGCAGAAAAATTGTTTTTTTATAGAGAAAAATACTTTTTTTAATACTTTCAAATGAACGAAATAAATCTTTTTTCTATAAATTTTTTCAAAATTACTACAACATTAAAAAATAAAAAAAAGTTTAAATATTAATAATTTATAAATTTATTTTTAAATACAGAAATTAATATTTTATAATATAAAATTTTGAATCTTTAAATTTAATTTTTAACCATTAAATGTTATATTTTAATAAAAATTACAATTTTTTAACAGTGGAATATAATTTGTGCTAAAATTCATTTTTTGAATAACTAAAAAATCTGGTAAAAAAAAACCAAAAAATTATTTTTAAATATAAAAAGTTAAAATTTCCAAAATAAAAATATATTGTGCTGAATTGTGCTTATTTTTGTTCACAAATTCATTTTTAAAAAACTCAAAATTCCGGGCAAAATTTAAAAAAAAAATTTTTAAAATGTCTAAAATAAAAATTTTTAACAAAAAAACTAATACTGTGCCCAATTGTCTTATTTAGAGAATTTTGCAATTTAAAAAAAAAAATTAAAAAAAAAAATTTTTGCCTTAAATTTTTAGACGTTTTAAAAATGTTTTTTAAACTTATTTGCCCGGAATTTTTTTAGTTTTTCAAAAAATGAATTTGTGCACAGAAAAGAGGAAAAAATTCAACACAATATTTGTATTTTGGAAATTCCAATTTTTATATTATAAAAATTATGTTTTTTTTTGGTTTTTTTGCCCGGAATTTTAAGTTTTTCAGAAAAATGAATTTTTGCACAAAAGAGCACACAATTCGATCATAATTTAGCACAATATTTGTTTTTTGAAAAATTTATTTTAAGTGTTTTAAAAATATTTTTTAATTTTTCTGCCCAGAATGTGGAGTTTTTCAAAAATTTTGCAAATTAAAATTTATACACAAATGATCACAAGTCAAGTACAATATTTGTTTCTTTTTTTAAAATTTTTATTTTAGACGTTTTTGAAATGTTTGTTTTTAAATTTTTCTGCCGGAAATTTTGAATTTTTCAAGTAACGAATTTTTGTACTAAAGAGCAGAATTCAGAACAAATTCAGCATAAAATTTATTTTTTTGGTAAATTTTATTTTTGAACGTTTTAAAAATGTTTTTTTTTTAACTTTTTGCCCCGGAATTTTAATCGTTTAAAAAATTGTTTTTAATTTTTCTGCCCGGAATTTTGAATTTTTCATGAAATGAATTTTTACACACCAGTGTATAAGAGTCGAGCACAAATTCAGCCCCATATTAATTTTTTTTTGGTAAATTTAACTTTTTGACGTTTTAAAATTGTTTTTTAATTTTTTTGCCCGGAATTTTGAATTTTTCAAAAATTTTACAAATTTAAATTTGTGCACAAATGAGCACAAGTCGAGATTAATATTTGTTTTCCTTTTTCTTTTAATTTTTATTTTAAATGCTTTTGAAGTGTTTTCTAATTTTTCTGCCCGGAAATTTTGAATTTTTCAAAAAATGAATTTTCACACAAAAGAGCAGAATTCAGTACAAAATTAATTTTTTTGGTAAATTTCATTTTTCGACTTTATAAAAATGTTTTTTTTTTTAACCTTTTTGCCCGGAATTTTGAGTTGTTCAAAAAATGAATTTTTGCACAAATGAGCACAAGTCGAGAAAAATGTAGCATAATTTATTTTTTTGCTAAAAATTTTAAACGTTTTAAAAATTTTTTCTAATTTTTTTGCCCGGAATTTTAAATTTTTCAAAAAATGAATTTGTAGACAAAAAAGCTCAAGTCAAGTACAATATTTGTTTTCTTTCTTTTAAAAATTTTATTTTTAGACGTTTTTAAATTGTTTTTGTTTTAATAATTGTGCCCGGAATTTTGAGTTTTTCAAAAAAAAAATGAATTTGTGCACAAAAAAACACAATTCTGCCTGATATATTTTTTTTAATTTTTAAATTTAGACGTTTTAGAATAGTTTTTTTTTTTTTTTTTTTGTCCAGAAGTTTGAATTTTTGAAAAAATGAGAAAAAATTTAAATCCTTTTGGACAATTATTTTTAAAAAAATTAATTTGACTTATATTTTTATAAATACATATAAGAAATCAAAAACAAAATCGTGCAATAATTCTTATAAATATATATTCTATTACAGTTTGAGCCGCCCTTTATAATTTATCATCTTTCACTGAAGCTCGATCCAATTTGTAAAGAAGAAACATGTGCTCCAGAAACATGTTCCGTTCAAATAAAACAAGACGATCAAGGATCCACCATCATCAATCAATCATCAATTCTCTGTTTAAATCTCAATCCCTATGTACCACCGGAATTATCAACAAATTTCGAAACACCAACAAAAGATCAAGAAATGATCGAATCACTCGAGAAACAAATAGATGAAAATTTACGACTAGATCATGAAATTCAAACATCAGCCGATCACAATGATCGTCCATTTATTGCAGTTCCCGCCTCAACATCACATTATTGTCCCGGATGTCCCTATAATCTTAATCCAAATCTTCCGGGTCTTTCGGCATTTAGTGAAAAAATTGTCAATTCAATGGACAATTCATTGGCCGGTGAATATAAATATAAAGTGATTCAAATTTTACGTGTAACACGTTCAGTGCCACCAAATGCAAATGTTGTTCGTTATGAAATTCTTCATGAAATTGGCGAAACCAATTGTTTAAAATCAAGTCATGTTGAACGTTCACAATGTGATTTACATTTGAATACACCAATAAAAACATGTCATGTGACATTGGAAGAGAAACCATGGCAAAAAAATAGTCTTAGAATAACAAAAAATAATTGCACTGGAACAACACTTGAAAATGAATTGGACGCAAGTGTTGGTCCAAATACAGTGACTGAAATTCCTGAATCAACAAATCGTGATGTCGATGATGATATGAAGACAGAATTTTATGATCAAGTCGCTCAAGAGGGTAAATATAGTACTTATGAAACAATGATTGATCAGTATTTTGAATCGCCAATTTTAAATTTGACAAATGAACGCGATTATGTAGAGGAACCACAAAAAAAGATACAACTAAAAAAAGATTCCGATCTCGAGAAACCAAAGGGTTTTGTTGATAAACAAAAAGAATTCGATGTATTTTTAGAGGATTTTGATGTACCTATAAGGGAAATATCAACGCCAAAAGATGATCGTATTCCAGTTCAGGAGGAAACAATAAAATCGGTAAAAATTCCCAATGAAGAAATATTACCCGAATCAATTCGCGTGAGACGAGAAACAAAAAGTGATTTAATAAATGTTCATGATGATTTATTGGGAAAAAAATTGGCAAGAAAAGCAATTACAATATTGGACGATGAGGATTCAGATTCAATGAAGGAGGTTGTTATGAAAGTTCTCGATATAAAAAAAGAGAAAAAAAATAATGGTGATTATTATTTAAAATTAAAAGTCGCTAGAACAAATTGTAATGAAGGTGAAATGGATTTTTCTGAAGAGCGTACATGTCTTCAGGATATTGTTTATCCAATTAAAATTTGTAAATTAATATTATCAATTGATGAAAAGAATTCTTTGAATAATTTAAAAATAATTCAATCCGAATGTTTTGATGAAATTAAAAATAGACGCCGACGTAGTGAAAATTTGGGTGGACATAAAAAAATTGATGTTAACGATCCTGATGTTAAGAGATTTGTTAATATGGCTTTAAATAATTATTCGGAGAATTTGAAAAAAGAATATGAACCAATTGTTGTTAATATAAATGATGCGAGTGTACAAATTGTCTCGGGTAAATTATATAAAATTAAAGTAACATTTGGCGAGAGTAATTGTGCACGTGGAATAAAAGAAAATTGTCTCGCAAAAACAAATGGCGAATTAGAGGAATGTCTTTTGAAAGTTTGGCATAAACCATGGTTAAAAAATGAAGAACCACAAATAACGTACGAATGTAATGGAAGAAATAAACGATCGGCAAATGTTGAGAAAAAAATAATGCCCGGTGCACCACATGAAAAAGATGTAAACGATCCGGAGATAAAAAAATATGCAAATTTTGCACTCAAAGAATATTCGAAAAATTTAGAAAAATCTTATGAACCACTTATTGTTGAAGTATTGAGTGCAAGTAGTCAAGTTGTTGCTGGTATACTCTATAAAATGAAAGTAAAATTTGGCGAAAGTAATTGTGCAAAGGGAATAAAAGAAAATTGTCTTCTAAAAACAAATGGAGAATCTGAAGTGTGTTTTATTGAAATTTGGTCAAAACCATGGGAGGATAATGATGAACCAAAAGTTACTGTTAATTGTAAACATGAAATGAAAAAAAGAAATCTACGGGGACAAAATTATCAGCAAAAAATGTTGAAACAATGGCAAGAAATAACAAATAATAAAGATGGAGAGTCGAGAGAATTATTTAAAAATTTTGTTGATAAATTTCAAAAAGTTTACACAAACAATGAAGAGAAAGAAAATCGTTATGAAATTTTTCAGAAAAATTTAAAAACAATTGAACAACTAAGAAAAGAAGAACAAGGAACTGGTGAATATGGAGTGACAATGTTTGCCGATTTAAGTCACGAGGAATTTACTTCTTCGCATTTAGGTTTTAGAACTGATTTACAGCAGGAAAATGAAATTCCCTATCCAATGGCAAAAATACCGGATATTGAATTACCAAATGAATTTGATTGGACGACAAAGGGTGTTGTTACTGAAGTTAAAGATCAAGGTTCATGTGGTTCATGTTGGGCATTTGCTGTAACGGGCAATATTGAGGGACAATATGCAATAAAATATGGAAAATTAATGTCCCTATCGGAACAAGAATTATTGGATTGCGATAAATTGGATGAGGGTTGTAATGGTGGATTACCTGATTCGGCGTACAGAGCAATTGAATCGTTGGGTGGTTTGGAACTTGAAAGTGATTATCCTTATGATGCGGAGGTTGAACAATGTCATTTTAAACAAACCAAGGCCAAAGTTCAAGTATCGTCAGCGGTGAATATTACATCAAATGAGACACAAATGGCGCAGTGGCTCGTTAAAAATGGACCAATTGCAATTGGAATAAATGCTAATGCAATGCAATTTTACATGGGCGGAATTTCACATCCTCCGAAATTCTTGTGCAATCCTACAAATTTGGATCATGGAGTTCTCATTGTTGGCTATGGAGTACACAGTAAGTTTTTATTTTTTTTTTTTTTTTGCTTTCTTAGCCTAATTTTTTTTTTTTGGAAAAAATTTATTTCCATTAATTTTTATTTTTTCTAATATTTCAAATTTATTCAAATAATAATTTAATTTTTCATCCATTGAATATTATTTGTAATTTTTGTGTTTTTTTATATGAATAAAATTGAATCAGAATTTCTTAAATAGATTTTACATTTTTGACTTATTTTAATAAAAATCGACTATTTTCGACTTATTTAAATAAAAAATGCGACTTTTTCAACTTTTTTTTTACATTTTTTTACAATTCTTTTTTCTTTAAATACCTACGTCTATTTTAGTTTATAGTGCAGATTTTTATTTCAATTATTTAACAATTTTTTCTCTGAATTAATTATTTTTAATAATTTTAATGAAATTTTTCAGAAGTTCAATTATCTTAAATTACTTTTCAATTAAAAATTTTATGAAATTCAACAATTGTTTACAATTATTATATAATAAATAATAAAATGCTTGGTCTGTCCTTCTGTCCTAACTTAAAGTTGGCCTTTTCTGATTTCACGTGTTTTTTTGAATAGTAATCTTATGACGTGTCAAATTTTGACAATTCTTTTTCTCATTTTTGCCAAAGTTGTATAATTGTGTTTCCAAATTTCGGAATAAGTTTCTTTAAAATTCCAAATTCGAAAATTCAATTCACGAAGCTGAAGTACACAACGTTTAACAACGAAATTTTTTTTAAAGTTGTATATTGATTCAAAAATTCTATACAAATACAAAAAATTTATGATGAGAAAAAAGATGCGCTAGGAAATTTCATACAAGATAGTAATTTAAAAAAAATTTATTTTTAAAAATTAATTTTTAAGGTACCAGGGGCCAACGAATACCTATTAAATATTAATTATAAAAACACAGGCCTCGAATCAACTTAAAGACACAAAAAGTCGTTTTAGTCGACTTATATTCCAAAAAAAAGTGGATTTGTTTTTTCTTTTAACAAAAATATTTTACAGATTTTTAAATAAAAATTTTTTTTTTTTAATAATAATCCTTTTCGAAGGGTTAAAGTTGAAATTTTTAGAAATAATGAAATTTCAAAAGATATTGTTAATTTTCAAACAATTATTTAATTTTACAGAACTAAAAATAATTTATCAAACAATTTTTGGAAAACATTTTTTAAATTTAATTGAATTTTCAAAGATTTAAAATTGAGATTTTTGAAATTAATTGAAACTTTAAGTGTTTTGTAATTAAAATTTTAGATGATTTCACTAAAAATTTATTAGAAAATGCGGACACAATACAATAATTTGAAAATCATTTTTAATTGAAAAATGTTTTCAGATAGTTGAATTTTCAAAGAATATTATTAAAATAGTTAAAAATAATTGAATTTCCTTAGAGTTATAATTGAAATTATTAAATTTCAAAAAAAAAAAAATTTTGGATGGAAAATTTTAGAAATAATTAAATTTTAGATGCTTTTAAATTCAAATTATTGAAAATTCAATTAATTTTGAATTCAAATTTTTGAGAATAATGAAATTTTATTTGATTTTAAATTTGGAAAATAATTGAATTTCAGTTCATTTTGAATTGAAAATTTTGGGAAATAATTGAATTTTACTTGAAATTTTGGATAATAATTTAATTTAAGTTCATTTTAAATTGAAAACTTGGTAAAAAATAAAATTTTAAATTGAAAATTTTGTATAATTATTGGATTTTTAATTGATTTTGAATTAAAATTTCGGGTAATAATTGAATTTTAGTTTATTTTGAATTGCAATTTTTAAAAGATAATTAAAAAAATTGAATAATTTTATTTATTATTAATTTTAATTGAAAAATAATTTTGATGTAATTGAATTTGTGATGTATTTCATTAAAATTATTAAAAATAATTAATTTAGTGAAGAATCATTTTAGTTCAAAATTTGTTAAATAATTGAATTGAAGAAGATCTGGAGAAGATCTGCATTTTAAACTAAAAAAATGTATTTTATTTACATTTTTTTTCAAATGTAAAAAAAATGTCGCATTTTATTAAAATAAGTCGATAAAATTCGTATTTTTGAAAAAAGTCGGAAAAAGTCGTATAATCCGAGGCCTGTAAACATATAATTTTCATTATTATCATTTAATATGTAATAATATTCTAATAAATTAAATTATTATTGATAATATTAATTTTTTATTTCTTTATAACAAACAATTAAATAGTCAATTTGTCGCGCTTGCGCGCGTTTAATTTTGCTAGTTACATAGTATAATAAAATTACCAAAAAATTCAATTTAAAATCTTTTAAAATTTCTCATATCTAAAACTTTTTGAAATTTAATAATTTTAATTATAATTCTTCTGAAATTCAATTATTTTTAATAATTTTTATAATATTCTTCAAAAAAATTCAATTATCTAAAAAGATTTTTCAATTAAAAAATTTTTAATTTCAATTTGTTTCTTAAATTTTTAATAAATTCTTCAGCAACAGAAATCACGAAAAAATTTCAATTCAAAATCACTTGAATTCAATTATTATTTTCCAAAATTTCAATTTAAAACCTTCTAAAATTTAATTATTTCTAAAAATGTCAACTGTAACATTTCAAAAATTTAATGATTTTAAATGATTTTTATAATATTCTTTAAAAATTCAATTATTTAAAAGCATTTTTCAATTAAAAACTTTTGAAATTCAATTTTTGTCTATAATTTCTAATAAATTCTTCATCAACAAAAATTTCAATTAAAAAACACTTGCGAAGTTCAATTAATTTAAAAAATCTGAATTTTAAATCTTTGAAAATTTAATTACTTTTAAAAAATGTTATCTAAAATTATTTGATAAATTATTTTCAATTTTGTAAAATTTAATTATTGTCTGAAATTTAACAAAAAATTGTTTTGAACAAATAAAAATAAATTCGGCTAAAAGAAAATTCTGTGAATTAAAAATTCTAACAAATTAATTTTTTGACATTATTCGTGCGTCTCCTGAAAATATTGGAACAAACAAATTTGTTTTGTCAAAGTTATAAAAGCAATAGAAATTTTTAGCTGTCTTAAATAAAAAAAATGTCCCGTATTAGTCGCCTTACTTATTTTATTCTATATTTAGTCTTATCTGTGGTTGAAGAAAAGACAAGACAATTTGAAATATAAATAAGAAATAAAATGACTTTTTTTTCTTTCTATTTTATGTATAAAATTTTTAGTTTAATTTTCCATCCGAAAAATGAACATTTCATTTAATTTAAACAAGTATGACAATTTATTATAGATTTTTGTACAACATATACAATTAATTTTTTATTAATTAATTAAAATTATTTCTAAATGATTTTATATAATAATTGACATTATTTAAAACATTTTTAAATTTAAACAGATTTATAAAAAAAAAATTTTTAAACATTTTATAATATTATTGAACCAAATATTTAAAAGAACTTTTGAGTTTTGGAATATTAAAAAGTTGAAAAAAATTCTCTACTTTTTTTTTATAATTCCAAAAAAACGATTTTTTGACCTATAACAACTTCTTAAACTTGATTCTCATCTTTTTTTGAAATAAAACAAAATTTCATTTTTATGAATATTTAAAAAAAATTTTAGAATGTCAAACCAAATGTGATTTATCGAGGTCGCTAATTACAAATTTGTAGTAAATTAAAATAATTTACGTAGAAGCTTTGGTATTTCTTTGTTTTGACTATATAGATTCGTAACTAATGACCTTGAAAACCTGTACATTCTAATTTTCACGCAAATACATATCAATTTTTCATTATAAATTCTTTTTTTTTTATCAAAGATGCCTATAAATTAAAAAATTTTTGTATAAATGAAAAATATGTGCCTCTGTAAGCTAGTATTTTTTTTCTTAAATATTCCATCACTATTTTTTTAAATATGTGAAAAATGTCAAGATAATGAAAAAGTTTATTAAAAAAAAAAAAATTAGAAAAAAAATTCTATTGTTTTTTTTTGCACAATTTTTATTCTTGAAAAAAGATTTTCATTTAAATATTTTTATTATGTATTTTTTAATTAATTATAAAATAATAAAATATTGAACAGAATTTACATGTCTAGCAAAATATTCATAAAAAATCATTTTTATTTAAAAAAAAATTGTTCTTTTATCGAAATTTTATTTAAGAAAATATTTACAAAACAGTATTTTTATTAATTGAATATTTTTTAAAAAAATAAATTTCAGACATTAATTAAATTTTTGAAAAATTATTGATTTAGCGAAGAATTTTGGATAAAAATTTATAAATACTTAAATTTTCGATTAATTAAGATTTTTAGAAATAATTGTATTACAAAAAATTTGAAATTGAAATTTTTTGTAAAATTGAATCGTTGTAGATTATTTTACAAATTAACAATAATTGATTTTTATAAAATTTTTGCAAATAATTGAAATTTCAAAGAATTTTTGTTAAAATTTTGTTAATTAATTACAATTTTTTAAGTATATCAAAATAATATTAAATTTTTAAAGAGATTTACTATATTTTTTTAAATTGAATTTATGGAAATTAAAGATTCAAATTTTTTGTAAGTTAATACTTTTGAATTTTTTTAGACAAATTTCAGACAATAATTTTAAATTTTAGAAAATTTTTAATTAAGACTTTCTGCAAATAATTTAAAGATCGAAGAATTTATGTTAAAATTTTTTTAATTAATTAAATTTTCGAAGTTTAGCAGTTAAATTTTTTGTTAATGATTAAATTTTAAAAGATTTTCAATTGAAAATTTACAATGAGTTGCAATTAAAAATATTGATTTTTTCTATTTTTGAATGATTTTAAACTGAAAATTTGAAAACTAATTAAATTATCGAAGAATTTATTCAAAATTATGAAATAATTAAGTTTTTTTTTAAAAAAAATAATAATAATGTAAATTATATTTTTGAAAATAATTGAATTTTCGAATTTATATTGAATTAGAAGAATTGTAAGTAATTTAAATTTAGTAAAATTTGATTGAAAGCTTTGAAAATAATAGAATTTAAAAAAAGAATATTTCATTAAAACTTTTGAAAATATGTAATTGAATTTTTTTAAAGAATTTTAATTGCTCTTTATACAATGTTTGTTTAACATAATTTTCATTTATCACCATTTTTTAAAAATAGAATTCACATTTGATAAAAAGAACAAAATTCGAAAATTTCCAAAAAAAGGCGTAAAAGCCTTTTTTTTAAATTTAATTGAATTTAATTAGTTAATAAATATTTTACTTTAAATATCTAATGTTCTTTTATATTATTTAATTTATTTTTTCATTTCTTAATAAGAATATTTCTACAAAAATATTATCAAGAAAATTTATTTTGAATATTTCAAAACCGAACTAAGACAAATTTTCAAAATTTTAATTAAGTAGGACAAATTTAAAAAAAATTTAAAGTTCTATTTAAAATTTTTTTAACAGTCTGATTTATGCAAATAATTTGAATTTAAAATTTTTGCATAGATTTTAGTTTTAATGGTCAAAAAAAATTTCAGAAAATAATTAAGTTGAAGCTTTCTTAAATAAATGAATTTTTAAAGAAATATTCAAATTATTAAAAATAAAAATTGAATTTTTCAAGAAATATTAAAATTATTAAAAATAATAATTGAAATTTTCTAGAAATATTCAAATTATTAAAAATAATAATTGAATTTGGAAAGAAATATTCAAATTATTAAAAATAATAATTGAATTTGGAAAGAGTCACAGTTGAAATTTTTAGAAATAATTGAATTTCAAAAGATTTTGTATAATTTTACAGAATTGAAAATAATTTATCAAATAATTTTAGATAACCTTTTTTAAAAATAATTGAATTGAAAAGAGTTTAAGATAATTGAATTTGTAAAGAATTTCATTCAAATTATTTAAAATAATTAATTTAGAGATGAATTTTAGTTAAAAATTTGGTAATGTAATGTAATGTAATGTATAATAAAAAATACGTATTTTGTTTAAAAAATTTTGTTAAAAAAAAAAGTAAAAAAAAAGTCGAAAAAGTCGCATTTTAGTAAAATAAGTCGAAAAAAGTCGTATTTTTGAAAAAAAAGTCATGAAAAGTCGTATAATCCGAGGCTTGTAATGATGTAATAAAAATAAATTTTTCATTTTAGCATATCCAATTTTTAAGAAGACACTTCCTTATTGGAAAATAAAAAATAGTTGGGGACCACGATGGGGAGAAAAAGGATATTATCGAGTTTATCGTGGAGGAAGTACCTGTGGATTAAATCAAATGGCGTCTAGTTCAATAGTCACCTAAAAAAATAAGAATCTCAGAATAAAAGAAAAACAAAATCTTTATTTACTTGTAAAGAGAAAAAAAGAACAAAAAAAAAAACTGAAGTCACACATATATCATTTTAACAATAACAATGTGTGATTGTATCGAGTAATTATTATTTTTTTTTCTACTCACAAAATGCTTACAAGAATTTCTCAATAAGCTATTTATGAGAAGATACTTGTCTCTCTAATGACAAAATAATCAATAGAATTTTTTATTATAAAAAAAAAAAGAAATTGAAAAAAAAAAGAAATTTGTAGTCATAGTCAGCTCTCTAATTCTTAACCAGAGATTGTTAATATTAATATATTTGTAAAAAAAAATCAAATTTTGCAAAACACGTTGATTGTATAAAAAAAAAACGACATGAAATGTCGATTTTTATTTTTATTTTCGAATTTCGAAAAATCTTTTGTTTTTCAGACATAAAGACTGATTTTATAAAAAAAAAGTCTTAGTCTGCAAAATTTCCCTCTTTGATTTATTTTTTCTTTTTTTTTTTTTTTTTAACGACACAAAAAGAAAAACAAATCACAGAGGGAAATTTAAAATGTAATCAATTTTAATTGAAAATTAAAAATATTAATTTTTTCAAACGTTTAAAAATTAACTAATAAAAAAAAGTTAAGATATTCAGGAAAATGAAAGAACAAATAAATATTCAAGAATGTTTTGTTGTTTTATTGAAGGCGAAATTATTGCGAAATATATATATATATTTTTATTTTTTTGTTTGTTGAGTATTTTTTATCTATTATTCAATTGTATATGTAAAACATCGACCTGGTAATAAATGTAATTTTTATTTTCTTAAACTAAGAATAAACAAAGAAATAAAGGAAAAAATTCTCATTTTTTTTTTTTATTTCTTATTTCACCTTCAAAAACTGTTTTTTTTTTTTCTGAAAAAGCTCTAGTAGATAATTTCATAAATTCTTTTCTAATTTTTTAAAAAGCTGTCACACAAAAATGTTACGTTAATTTTATTGAAAGCATTTTTTGTTACCAAGAGAAAAATAAAACTTTTTTTCTTCTATATCAAAAATTTTTTTAATGCTAATTATTATCTAAAGGCAAAAAAATATAAGAATGCACAAAATAAACAAAACTTTTTTTTCAAGTCAAAGTTCTTTATGAAAAGGAAAAATTAAAAAAAAAAAGAAGAAAACATTGACAATTCTTTTAAAAACAACTGACGACTTTTTTTTCACTCATATATATATATATATAGAAAATTGATTGATAACGAAAATCAAGACATACTTTTACGTCACTATTTTTAAGGTCGCAAATATTATATCCTGAAAAAAATCCAATCTTTCAAAAAAAAATTAATTAAACAAAACAAAATTTGCAAAGAAAAATATTAACTTGAAAATTTAACGTTTTTTTTTAACGTTAACACTTTTTTTTTGAACTGACACATTTTTTTTAAATAATGGAAAAAATGGATTTTTTTATTCTCTCCTCTGTCTTTTTTTTAATATGAAAATAAGATGAGAAAATTCAGATTGTTTTTTTTTTTTTTTCTTTTTCTTTTTCTGACGGATTGATATCAATCAGCTGTGTAAACGCGTGTATGTAAAACTCAGAGAATGTACAATGAATAATAAATGATAAGACATGAACACTAATGACGAAGATCAATTTAATAATAATTATAAGATCCCCATTGATTATATGATCCATAAGCTTGAGGTCCACCTTGGCTGTATTGCCAATTTTGATAATTCGCATAATTTGGATCCGAAGGCGGTGGATATTGTTGGTATCCCTGTTGATAACCACTTTGACTGCCGTATTGGCCACTTTGAAATTGTTGTTGCGATTGATAGGGACCACTTGGTCCACTGCTGTATTGATAGGAAGATTGTGAGCTGATTGAAGGCGGTGGCGGTACATTTGATTGATCGCCAGATTTCATTTTTTTCGGTGGTGACATGTCACTGAAAAAAAAAAAAATGTTTTAAATTCAGGTATTTAAGAAAAAAACGCGTTAATATATTTATTAAAAAAAAATACTATATCCGGAAAGAAAAAGTCTAAAGAATATTTTCATATTAAATATTTGGACGAAATGGACAAATTTATTTGATTTCCTAGAATTTATTAATAGTAAAAAGAAAAAAGAAATATTTCAAAAACAGTAAAATTAATTAAGTACTTTATAAAACTATCAATATAAATACGGAACAAAAATTTTTTTTTATACTTACAAAAATAGATCGTAGAGAGATTTCGAATGAACCATTAATAGTTTAAAATTTGGGTAAATTAAAATACCGATAAATTAAAACTTCAATCAATTAAAATTTAGATAAATTAAAATACGGATAATTTTAAACATAAATTAATTAAAAATTTTTAAAATAATTTTAAACTTAAGTCAATTAAAATTTAAATAAATTAAAATTCGGATAATTTAAAATTTAAATGAAATAAAATTGAGATAAATAAATTAATATTCGAAAAATTTGAAACATAAATCGATTAATTTTTATAGATATATGTATATTAAAATTTCGTTAATTTTAAGTTTCAATTGATTTGGATTTGCATTTGATTGAAATTTTAATTAATAAATTTTGTTTCAACCAATAAAAATTAGAATCGATTTAAAATTGAATAATATGAAATTTAAATTAAAATCAAATTGAATTTTGGATAAATTAAAATTTAATTTCGATTTTAATTTTATTTTAATATTAAAAATTTTATTTTTTAAAATAATTTTTTAATTACAAAAAGAAATTATAGTAAAAAAAAAATAAAGAATTTAGAAAAACTTACGATTTACTGTCGTCGTTCTTTGTTTTCTTTCGTTCCTTGGCTTGTTTTATACATTTTTGGAATTGTTCATGTGCCTTGAGAACTTTTTGAATATCGGGACTAAACTCCTCGAGAAATTCAACTTTCCTCTGTGCAAAAAGAACTCGTTGTTCTAAATCTGCGTGTTCTCTATCGATAAACATATCCATATAGCCAACAATTTCTTGTGTATCCACTGGATTCCTCTGAAGACCCAAATCTATTAACTGTAGATACAATCTTGGATTTTCCTTGTCCTTATCTGCAGCCTACAAAATCAAAAAATATATAATTTTTTAAAAAATAAAATTAAAATAAATTTTTAAAAAACTAAAAAATATTTAATGAAGATTTTTAAAAAATACATATTTTAAAATTACACAATGAAATATTGAATTATTTAAAAAGTTTTTAATTTTTTACCTTAAGTAAAACTTTGACAGCTTTGTCAGTGTCATTTTTGACTTTACATAGAAATCTCGCATATTTAACAGCAATATTATTGGCAATTGTACGATTTTTGCTGTTAGCAATATAATTATCATAAAGAGTGCATGCTTTTTCCAAATCTCCCCTTCTTCTCTCAAGATTAATTCTTCGATAAGCAATTTGTAACATATTTGGAAGAACATTGTCAAAATTCTCAAGAATTTCTGCGGCTTTCTCAAAATTTCCTTTACTTTCTTCAAAAGTCGCCCATTGAAGATGAAGATTTGGCTTTTTTGGATGATGAACTGTACAGGCACGTGTGTAAACATCACGAATTTTCTCCGCATTATCGATCTTTAAACTTTCCAAATAGCGAACAAACTGTAGATTTCAAAAAAAAACATTTTTACTTTTTTGTCAATAGAAAACAAAAATTATTACTAAATTATTGAATTAAAATAAAACTGAATAAATAAAAGAGAAAAATACCTAATTTTGAATTAAGTCAAACGAAAAACTGATTTGTTTGTATACTGAAAAATTTAGAAGAAATTTTTTTAAAATAATTTACATTTTATTATCACTTAATTTTTGTTGTAATTGAATGAATAAATTATGAAACAATTTTGAAATTGTCAAAAAAAAAACAAAAATTTCTTACCCTCATCCAAAATTCGTCATAAAGTGCACATGCAATAAGACACCTTTCAAAAAGAATAATTATTCTGTTGGAATCCTTCTCATTGATTTCAAAATCTAAATATTCCTTCCAATTTTTTAACTGACATCGCTCTAATGGTTTCACATGGAAGTAAGGTCTTTTTATCTGAAAAATATAAAAATATATTTGCTTTTTGTAAATTAAATTTTTAAAGAAAAAATTCCAAAAAATTGATATTTTGAATTCTTAATAATTTGCAGTTAATTGACAAATTGTAAAAATCAAAGGAATATATTAAATGAAAATTAGATTAAAAAAAAAAATTACCTATTAATTTTTATTTAATTCTAAAAAATTATGGTTAATAATTCCATTACCTTTCTAATCATTTGTACATGTGTATTTATTTAACAAATTTTTTTTATTTCTACAACTATTTCATAGTACATATTTTTAGTAATAACACGTGTCTAAAATAGAAAATATTGAAATTGAAAAAATTATTCTCATAAAAATCAAAGATTTATACTAATTTTTTGTGAAAAATAGTAAAATTTAGGAAAAAAATTTTCAATAGGTTTTTATTTAGTTTTTACTAAGTCGCATTTTTTTGAAGAAAAAGTAAAAAAAAAAAAATTGTAAACTACGAGTTATGAAAAATGTTAGTTAATTATAATTTTTCAGAGAGCAAAAAAAAAAAAAGCAAATACACTTACGCCTTCCTCGTAACTCCACCTGGCAGCGACCGCATTCAAATTAGTTTTATGCATCTTACGTCGGCTACTGATGATTTTCTCTCTAATTGCCCTTGTCTCTTCATCGGTGGGTGGCACTTCATGTGGCGGTGGTTCTTCACCTGGTGGTGCATCCGCTGAAGATGAGGGTGTAACATCCTCTGATTTGAGGAGTAATTTCACCTCAGAACGTAACGAGAGAAAATCGTCAACACTGAGAATTTGATTTGGTGCATTTGACGAAACAAATTCTTGGAATGAGTCAAAATGTGTTGAATTTGACCATGTGGGAATTGTCAATAGACGATCATAAATTGCCGTCACTTTACTCAATCGTTTACCCTCCGTCTCCCATTTAATGTAACTCTCCCATAATTTATCGGACCTATAATGTTAAAAAGAAAATTAGTGAAAAAAATAATTTTTTTTTTGAGACGCAGGAATCAACTCTTAAACTTAATTTGTTAGAATTTGTATTTGAGAGAATTTTATTTTCTAGAATATACTTTTAGCAGAATTTTCAATCCTTCGACCTATTTTTTAATAGAAATTTCATATAATCGAATTTTTATATTAGAGAGTTTTTACTTAAACAGTGTTGCCACAACAATTTTTTATTCTATTTTTCCCTGAATTCAAGTCAGAATTTAAATTTTTTCCCCTGATCTTATAATGAAAATATTTCAAGAGGTTTTCAATTATATAAAAAAAAAATAAGACAATCATTTAAAAATCAAACTTTTGCTTCTAAAAGCAAAAGTTTGAATTGAAAATTTCAAAAATTATAATTAGTAGCATTTTTAGAAACTTTATATTTTTTCAGTATTATTATTTTCTCAAATTATATTATTTGCTAAAATTTTCATTAAATAGAAAAGTAATTAAAAATAATTTTTATTTTACAAAAAGAATATTGAAAATAATTATTTTCTAGTCGAATTTAAATTTATTCGAATTTACATTTTACGAAATGAAATTCTTTTTAAAAATTCAATTATTTTCAAAGTTTTTAATAAATTTTTACGAAATTTCAATAACAAAAATATAATTAAAATTACTATTACCAATTTAAAAAAAACTTAAGTATTTCATAATTTTGAATAAATTTTTCGATAATTGAATTATTTTTGAAAAAAAAATTTAACGTTGAAATTAGAAAAAATATAGTAAATTTTAATTTTATAAATTTTTGCATGAAATTGTTGAAAATTTCAGATAAAAACATACATTTTGAAGAATAAAAACTTAAAATTGATGCATGTATATAAGAAAGTTATGAGCATTATATTATTTATATAATAATAAAATGCTTGGTCTGTCCTTCTGTCCTAACTTGAGGTTGGCCTTTTCTGATTTCACGTGTTTTTTTGAATAGTAATCTTATGACGTGTCAAATTTTGACAATTCTTTTTCTCATTTTTGCCAAAGTTGTATAATTGTGTTTCCAAATTTCGAAATAAGTTTCTTTAAAATTTCAAATACGAAAATTCAATTCACGAAGCTGAAGTACACAACGTTTACCAACGAAATTTTTCTTAAAGTTGTATATTGATTCAAAAATTGTATACAAATACAAAAAATTTATGATGAGAAAAAAGATGCGCCAGGAAATTTCGTACAAGATAGTAATTTGAAAAAAATTAATTTTTAAAAATTACTTTTAAGGTACCAGGGGCCAACGAATACCTATTAAATATTAATTATAAAAACACAGGCCTCGAATCAACTTAAAGACACAAAAAGTCGTTTCAGTCGATTTATATTCCAAAAAAAGTGGATTTGTTTTCTTTAATTTTAACAAAAATATTTTACAGATTTTTAAATAAAAAAATTTTTTTTTTAATAATAATCCTTTTCGAAGGGTTAAAGTTGAAATTTTTAGAAATAATTAAATTTCAAAAGATATTGTTAATTTTCAAACAATTATTAAATTTTACAGAACTAAAAATAATTTATCAAACAATTTTTGGAAAACATTTTTTAAATTTAATTGAATTTTCCAAGATTTAAAATTGAGATTTTTGAAATTAATTGAAACTTTAAGTGTTTTGTAATTAAAATTTTAGATGATTTCACTAAAAATTTATTAGAAAATGCGAACAAAATACAATAATTTGAAAATTATTTTTAATTGAAAAATGGTTTCAGATGGTTGAAATTTCAAAGAATATTATTAAAATAGTTAAAAATAATTGAATTTCCTTAGAGTTATAATTGTAATTATCAAATTTCAAAAAAAAAATTTTCGATGGAAAATTTTAGAAATAATTAAATTTTAGATGCTTTTAAATTCAAATTATTGAAAATTCAATTAATTTTGAATTCAAATTTTTGAGAATAATGAAATTTTATTTGATTTTAAATTTGGAAAATAATTGAATTTCAGTTCATTTTGAATTGAAAATTTTGGGAAATAATTGAATTTTAATTGAAATTTTGGATAATAATTTAATTTAAGTTCATTTTTGATTGAAAATTTGGATAATTAATTTTGAATAGAAATTTTAGAAAATAATTGAATTTTATTTCATTTTAAATTGAAAATTTTGGATAATTATTGGATTTTTAATTGATTTTGAATTAAAATTTCGAGTAATAATTAAATTTTAGTTTATTTTGAATTGAAATTTTTAAAAAATAATTCAATTTTATTGTGATTTTTTTTTTAAATTATAAACAATTGTTAAATTTCATAAAAATTTTAATTGAAAAATAATTTTGATATAATTGAATTTGTGATGTATTTCATTAAAATTATTAAAAATAATTAATTTAGTGAAGAATCATTTTAGTTCAAAATTTGTTAAATAATTGAATTGAAGAAGATCTGAAGAAGATCTACATTTTATACTAAAAAATGTATTTTATTTACATTTTTTTTCAAATGTAAAAAAAATGTCGCATTTTATTAAAATAAGTCGATAAAAGTCGTATTTTTGAAAAAAGTCGGAAAAAGTCATATAATCCGAGGCCTGTAAACATATAATTTTCATTATTATCATTTAATATGTAATAATATTCTAATAAATTAAATTATTATTGATAATATTAATCTTTAATTTCTTCATAACAAACAATTAAATACTCAATTTGGCGCGCGTTTAATTTTGCTAGTTTAAAAATAAAAAATTATTAAAATTCTTAAATTTTGAAAAATTTATATCTCGTAAACGGTTTGATGAAAAAATCTGCCGGTGTAAAATTTCAATCCCGCCTTTTTCCCGGTTGGGTGGCCTTCCTAAAAATTCTATCCTAATTTTATAGTTTATTCATGTTTTCTTTCTTTTTTTGTTTTACCTAAATTCGAGACCACAGGCAGAAATGGCATTTTCATACTGCTCTCTCATCTTCTTCTCATCCTTCTCATAAATGACCTTACAGTGATTGATGTAATGAATCCAGAGATCAACGCTGAGTGAAATTGCTTTAAGTCCCGCGTCAAAAACCTGTGATAATTAAAAATCCTTTTAAAAATTAGGACTCATGGCTTTCTGGTTTGCCGGTTAAAAAGTGGTTTTTTTTCGGGTAAGGATTCACTTATAAACCTATAGAGAATTCTCATATTATAAATTGTCTTTTTATATATATAAATATAATTTTTTTTTTCTTATAGCTTTCGTTAAGCATATAGCGGTTCATTAATTCGAAATACTCACGTTTGGTCGTGCGCGTTCTGTAAATAAATAAGTACTTGATAATTAACACAGAGATTGCAGAGCATTGTGGATTCACCTTTAAAGTTCAGGGAAGTGTTCCGATCAAGGCGCCTCTCTCTCTCTCTTTCTCTTCCGCCAACATAATTTTCTTGTATCTCTCCCATTTTTCCGTGGCCCGTTTCCTAAGGTTTTTCTTTTTTTTTTTCTTTAAAAAAAAAAAACAAAAAAACAAAAAAAAAATGCCCCCAAAAAAAAGAGAAATATTTTTTTGTCTTCATTGACAAAAAATCGATATACAATTTCGCAATCTTAATTTAAGTTTACAATATGTTATTGCTCAAAAAAAATTTTTTTTTTTTTTTGAGCAAATTTTTAAGTTTTTTGTGTTTTGTCTTACATAGGCTTAAAGTAACTTTTTATAATAAAAAAGCACAAAACATACGCACACACACACAAAGTGATACACACAACAATAAATAGTTGTGACGACGGTTAATTCGCAAATTCGAAACAACGTCTTAGGTAATTATTTAATAATATCGATTAAATTATAGCGATATTTTTTTAAATATTGATAATTAAGATATTGATAATAAAATAGAGATGATAATAAGAATATGTAATAATAGCACTGTCGCAACGGTTCTAGTAGAATAATAATAATAATAATGATAATAATAATAATAATAATAATCATAGTAATCATAATAATCATATTTAAATAAGTAGCTAATCGATAAACGAGGAGAGTCGATAAGGTGCCGCAAGACGTGCTAGGCTGTTGGAAGGGAAAACCATATTTATGTGCGTGCACACTGCCCACGCCTCTTCCTACCACGAGCTAGTTTCATTTAATTAGATTATTTGCGTTAATCAACAAGTAATATATCATGTACGGTATTCAAAAAAAAAATAAAATAAATTTAAAAAAAAAACAAAAAAAAAATTGTTTTCTTTTTGAACAAACATGTATAACCTTTAATCGCACATAGAAATTGAGATGGACTCACCTTTTGCACGTTCTCGGGATCACCCTTTTTCTTCTCGTAGTCTGCATATTTTCGCCAATAACCATAGCAATATGGATATCGCTCCAGGAACTTTGTATAAGCTTCTCGAGCAGCCTCAGCATCATTCTGTATAATTTATCGAAAAAATTTAATTTATTTCTCTCTTTTTTTTATTTTTATTTTTTATGTGTCTTTCTATTATTATTTCAATCAAAAAATCATTGCCGATTAATTATATAATTTTTGAAAAATAATTTTTTCCTCATAAAGAAAGTATTGAGCAATTCCATGGGATGTGATAACAAGAATTTTTTATGATTGGAGCAATTTTATTGAAACCTTGTGAATATGTTCCTTTATTTGTACAGAATGAAAGCCCACAAATAATTTTTTATAACGCGGTGCAAAAAAGAGGCACTTTTTTAGCACGCCGTGCTAAAAAGTGCGTTTTTTTGCACCTTGTCATGAAAAGTATCGTTCGTAACTTGTGTTAATATTTGCAGATTTTTGAAAAAAACACTTTTTCAAAAATCTGCAAATATTCACACTCGTTACGAAATATACTATTTCAAAATTTTCAAAATTTTTCGAAATATCTCTAATTAAAAATTTATGTCATTTAAAAAAAAAAAATGTAACTTTATTTCTTGTTATCAAAATCAGATCAATTTTTTTTCAAATTTCTTACAAAAAGATGCTATTTTAAGAAAAAAAATAGTTCATGAAAAAAAAATTTTTTTTGCCCGGAAAAAATGCAAAAAAAAATTTTGAATTCATTTTGAATATTTCAAAACCGAACTAAGACAAATTTTCAAAATTTTAATTAGGTAAGACAAATTTCCAAAAAAAAATTTTTAAAGTTTCATTTAAAAATTTTTTTAAAGTCTGATTTGTGCAAATAATTTGAATTAAAACTTTTTACATTGTTTTTAGTTTTAATGGCCAAAAAAAATTTTCGGAAAATAATTAAATTTAAGCTTTTTTAAATAATTGAATTTTTAAAGAAATATTCAAATTATTTTAAAAATAATAATTGAATTTTGAAAGAGTTACAGTTAAAATTTTGAAAAATAATTGAATTTCAAATGATTTTGTAAAATTTGACTGAAATAAAAATAATTTATGAAATAATTTTAGATAACCTTTTTTTAAAAATAATTGAATTGAAAATAGTTAAGGATAATTGAATTTGTAAAGAATTTCATTCCAATTATTTAAAATAATTAATTTAGAGAATAACTTTAGTTAAAAATTTGGTAAATAATTGAAATAAAAAAAACCTGAAGAAGATCTATATTATTGTATAATGAAAAAGACGTATTTTGTTTAAAAATGTTGTAAAAAAAAAAGTTAAAAAAAAGTCGAAAAAGTCGCATCTTATTGTTAGTAAAATAATTCGAAAAAAGTCGAAAAAAGTCGTATAATCCGAGGCCTGAAAATGCATGTAATGAAAATAAAAAAAAACGTAACTAATTTTTATTATAAAATAAAGAACAAAAAAAAAAAATAAAGAAAAATTGAATTAGTTTTTTACCTCTTGGTCAACGTATTGAAGAAGATAAGTCCAACCAGTAAAATCAGATGGATCTTCATTAACGGCTTTCCAATATTTTTCCAATTCGGGTAGGGATTTCTTTTTCGGTGATGCGGGTTTTGTTTCCAATTTAGCGTCAGATTCCGTATCCGAAGCCAAAGCCACTTTCTTTGCTGGGGTTTCGTCATTATTTTCAGAAGTTGGCGAACTTGGATCGTATTCACCGTCGGCGTTTAATTTACGTTTATCTGGAAATTTTTATTTTATTTAGAAACCAGAAAAAAATCAATCAGATACGTAAATACAAACATTTAATTGCAATAATTATTGCGATTAGAAAATAATTTTTAAATTGTGTACATTTAAATTACATTTAACTTATATTATAAATAATAAATTACGTTAAGGATCAAATTATCGTCAACGATGAGTGATTTAGACGAAAATTTGGTCATAATTAAAAAAAAAAAAGCTGTAAATATGTTGAAAAAAATATTAAGATATGTTGTAAATCGAAACATTTTTTGTCATTTCTCATCACTCACTTAATTTATTATGTTTGTTGCGTTCTTTATAAAATTTATATTCCACACACTTTTTGACCTAGAGGGCCACATATATTACGGTATAGATATATGTTAAACTCTATTTTATTATTATTATTCTCTAGATATGTACATATATATCAATAACGGTAAGATAGAAAGTTAATTAAAATTAATTATGAATCTTTTTTGTAATTTTTTTTTAAAGTAATAAACATAGTTAAAAATATGCAACAAGTTGAACTTTAATAAACAATATTATTAAAACTTTCAAACAATGCAAGGGACATAAATTATAAGAACATAAAATTGTAAACTTAAGATTAAGATTTTAAATCTGTATTTTTTTCTAAATTTTCAAAAATGTTCTAATTCTTAACTGGCACCATGGGTCCAGTAGACCCGAGCATTTTTTCGAGCTCATGAATTTTTAAGTAAAAAACACGCAATTTTTCGTTTTTATTTTTCACAATTTTTTTCAACTAACTTAAAATTCCCCAGTGTGAAATTTCCAAGACTGAATATTGGCTAAATATTGGACCAAGTCTGGGAGTGTAGAGACCAATGCCAAGGCTCGAATTTCAATATTGGCCCAATATTCAACCAATATTCAAAAATAAAAAAAATCAGACTTCAGCCAAGATTAAAAAAATTAATTATTAAAACTAAAATATAATAAAATTTTTTGTTATATTTATATATTATATTTTATTATATATATAATAACATTATTATTTCCCTTCGGATCAAGGGTTATATATAAAATCATCCGCAATAAACGGAGAAAAAGAAAAACATTTTCTAACGTCATGCTAGACATTAACAATTATCAGTTAAATAAAAGAGATATTGTAAAGATTCTATACATATCGCGGATACTTATACCCTAATCGATTGATGTTGTTTATGAGAGAGAAAAACACTGCCATCTGGTGGATAGTTAGAAAATTAACGTAGCGCGAAATTCAAACTGTAAGTATGAAGAATTAAAATTAAAAAAAATTATTTTTGATCATTGTAACATTAATTAAGTTTTGTTTAATGCAATAGTATGCATTCTTAAGTAAATACATTTTCAAGTAAATGTTTATATTTACAGTTTTTCCTTTACGCAATTTGAATTTCGCGCTACGTTAATTTTCCAACTATCCGCCAGATGGCAGTGTTTTTCTCTCTCATAAACAACATCAATCGATTAGGGTATAAGTATCCGCGATATATACAGAATCTTCACAATATCTCTCTTATTTAGCTGATAATTGTTAATGCCTAGCAGAACGTTAGACAATATTTTTTCCTTTTTCTCCGTTTATTGCGGATGATTTTATATATAACCCTTGATCCGAAAGGAAATAATAATGTTATTATATATAATAAAATATATAAATATAACATAAAATTTTATTATATTTTAGTTTTAATAATTAATTTTTTCAATCTTGGCTGAAGTCTGATTTTTTGTATTTTTAAATATTGGTTGAATATTGGGCCAGTATTGAAATTCGAGCCTTGGCATTGGTCTCTACACTCCCAAACTTGGTCCAATATTGATTAAAATAGTGGACCAAGATTGGCAAAAGTGCTCCCAATATTGGACCAATATTCAGCCAATCGTGCTTTTCCTACTGGGAATACACGTTTGAGTACGTCGGGTCCAGAAGACCCGTTGTGCCATTTACGTTCGAATTGTGCCAGTTATGGTTTAAATATTTTATGGTTATTTCAATTTGAGTTTTTTGTGTAACCTTCTTAATGACTCTCACCAACGCAGACTCATTTTTACGCATCTTCCACCATCATTCAAGGAGGGATGAAATTTTGCAAATTGTTGGAGTGGAAAATCCAAAGAGAAGAAACAATTTCTACCTTTTTTTCCCCCGGTCATGACAACCGATGCCTTATCCAACTTTTCTCCAGCTAACTGGTGAGTCAGTGTTTTTAAATTCTTCATCCTTGATGGATTTTGGTCTCATCGCGGATTAGAGCCTTTGGAATTAATCAGCCAACTTCATCTCCAAGTTCGAGCCTAGACCGGAGTTCGCTTCTCTCTTAGAGTAGGAGTTTGAAGTTTTGGTATAAATAAAATGAACTTGTATGATGTTGTTTGTTTGTTTTTTTTTAAACCCACTGTTTCTGTTGTTTTTCTAGTCTAAGTTCTATTTGTTTCTTTATAACAAATCTAATTAATATTTATTGTAAAGAAGAAACTAGGTGAGACCTCTTTTCAAACGGAAGGTCAAATCTTATAATTTTCAAATAAACTAATTTGGGTTGTTTTTTTTAATTTCTAGTAAACGAAAAATTTCTTAATTACGTAACAGGATAAAAAATATTTTTTTGAAATTCTAATTATTATTTTTTCAAAACAATTTTTACTGTACAAAATGATACAAAAAAATTTTTTTTAAAAATAAAATTGCTTTGCTAACTTCTTGCACGTATGGTTTATCATAGAAATTATTTCGTTTTAAAATTATAGAGAAGAGTTGTTTTATATTTCTACTTTATTTTCTCCATTGCGTACTTATTACAAAGTTTTACAATTCTTTTTTTGCAGCAAATTTAAAAAACTAACAGTGAATAATAATGATAATATAAAGATAGTAATATACAAAATTGAAACACAAAACTTAAAGTATAAAATTACAAACTGTAAAGGACAATGCTATACGTTTAGATATTTATGCATTTGATTAATAATTTATCCAATTCATCTTCATATTAATTTCCCTCTTCATTTTCCTACCCCCTCAATGTATTTTTTTCAATCATCTGTGTAGCATCTTCAGAAGCCCAAATGTGAACTTGATTTTCTTCAGATTTGACACATAACCTACATGAAATGTCCTTGTACCTTGTACCCCTTTTTTCCCACGTTTCCGCATGTTAATCTTGCCCAATGTTCTTTTTCATTATCTCCTTAGTCTCTCAAAATTCTTCCTTCCCTACAAAACTTTTTTAATTTTTATTACATATTTGTCTACTTTTTCTTTTAATGGTAATTTTTTCTAAGTTAATCAATTTTATTGTTTTAAAAAAGTTTTTTTCATCCCTTAAGGGTATGTGGGAACCTCCCACGTGACCTAGTATGGGAAAATGTGTTTTGGTAGTATACGTCCTACTCTAAAATGAAAAAAGATTTTTGTTTAAAATTCTGAGGGATAATAGATTTGGGTTCAAGGAATCTCGCTGTTCTCCGAAAAATACATAATTTTGTGTTAAATTATTAAAAAATGATGTTTAAAAAGTGGCGTTTTTAAACGAAAATGAAAACAAAGATGGCGGCGCATACACAGACGTTGCTTGAGTGTGTCAGTGCTCCAGTAAACAGCGCCAATTCCAGCGAGTGTCCGCTAGTGAATGAACTACGATATAATACATTATTTTACTATTTATTGCTTTATTTTTATTATTTTTGCGTTTTGTTATAGTAAATGCGAAGAACAGCGAGATTCCTTGCACCAAACGAAATCATTTTTCCAAAATTTTAACCCGAAATCATTTTTTATTTTAGAGAAAGTTTTGTTACATCCGGAGATATAACATAATTAATTTAATAATTGTTTAATTTTTAAGTCTAGACTTTCGTCCTACAACTTAGGAATCTTTTCGATTAGATTTCTTGTTGAGAAAATAAAATTTTTAGAAGGTTAGGAAATGATTTTAAAAGGAATTGAGAAAATAATTGCGCACTGGTAGCACTAAAATTTCTCGGAAAGGTTTTCAATAATTATGAAAAAATAAGATTTTATAATTTTGGAATGTGATAAAATATCGCGCACCATAGCACGAAATTTATCGGAATTGAGAGATGGATAAGATTAAGAAAAGAAAGAAATAATAGATTTTAAATATAAACTTACTTTTTTTTATTTATTAAAAATGATTTTCCCTAAAGATGCAAAAATTAGGAGAACGTCCTTCGAATTCAAAAATAGGTTGTTTGGACAGCAATTAAAATAACAGGAACTCGTAGAATTGAATTGAATTTAAACAAGATTTTTAAATTCAGAAAATAACTTTGAAAGTAATTTGTCACTGAATGTATAACTTTTTAATCAGAGAAATTGAGATTGTATAATTTGTAAAATAACTTTAAATTTTGAAAACTTGTAATGTAGAAAGAATTTGAAAATAGGAATTTTGAATGTTGAATAACTTGAATGACTTGAAATGCTGAATAACTTGAGTAACTTGAATAACTTGAATGACTGAATAACTTGAAAAATACTCAATATTTTAGGGAAACATACGTTTTTAAAGGTTTGTCCCCACTACTAATTTTGAGTTTTTGGGGTAGATTTTGAAGAAGGGAGAGATTTTTTGTAGAAAGGGAAATATCTTGTAGGCGGAGAGAAAAAGGGAGTTGAGAAAACTTATTATTAGAGTTTCTCAAAGAAAATGGTAAAAACTCGAAAGAAAAAATGAAGAAAACTCATTTACATTTTCTCCCTATTGGGCCCCACTGACCCAGCCCTTAGGGTTGGTTCGAACGTGTGGGTTGTCCTTCAGAGACACAGATTTCCAAAAGTAGGGATAAATTCTTTAAAGAAGGGAAGATCATCCATATTTTGCATCTTTTACAATTAAGCTAAATTTTTATTATTAACAATGATTATTATTAATATTATTTATTATTAACAATTATTATTTAATTTATTTTACATATTCCTTTTTGAATTTTAATTGTACGATGATTTTTA